CGACATGACGCAGTCCTGCAAAGAGCACTGAGTGTGGGAAGGCAACGCGGTAAACTAACCATTGTCCATAGATGCCTAGAAAAGGCCACCAAGGTTAGCAGATTGAGATGTGGTGTTACAGAATCCAGACACTTACTGAAATTTCGCGATCGGAGCTCTTCGCCTAGCGACATGGTGGGCTAGCAAAAAAGGATTGGGTAAACTAGGACTGAAGATCAAAGATGGGGGGATTCGCGGATGATCAGAGGTGTCAGTCCGGCAAAGTGTACACGCGGTTGACTATCCAGGGCGGTCAAAGAATGAAACAAACAAAATGGGCAGCAACGATCAACAATCAACAGAGCGACGAGCAACGTGAATGAAAGATATGGGGATATGACGATCACTGCAGTGTTCCAAATGTTCTAAAGTCCCAATGTTGCTTTTGATAAGATCATCCCGTTGTTTTCTAAGACGGGGCTTCCAACATAATCAATCACCAGGCAGACGCCAATAGTCAAGGCCCCAATTAGTTGGGCTATTTCTACTTCTTTCGATGCATAAAAGATTCATAGTCTATTTTTGAAATTTATGGAAGAACTTGATCAACTAAGCTATGATTCCTATATAAGCGACTCACCAGATAACAGATAACATCTTGAATTGAGTGGCGGGCTGCAACATTCTGCATCAGCTTAAAACTCCTGCTGGGCTTCTCGCTTTTGGGCGAGGTATCGTGCATTCTGCATCTTATTTAGTCAAGACGTAATGACAGGACTATCCACAATATGGAAAGTAGACCCTGGAAAGCAGTCACTACATAGGTATGTACACTCTACGTGTATGTATAAAGAAGTCGAGAGAGATGTCTATATTAGGTGAGCACCTAAAGAAGCACACAACGTAATCTGAACATATTCCCGAGGTCCCCAGGTGCCCAGGTGAACGATGGCATGCTCAATCTTTATTATCCAGTCAACTCTCGCAATTACCTCAAAGCATGTACCTGAATAACGGAGAGCGATCACCCAGCGAGTCAGGATTCTCAGGATACTCTGAAGGATCCATGGCATCCCGCTTCCGGTTAATACGCTGGTACGTGATGCGCAGAAGGACTGTTGCCATCATACCCACGACAACAAAAGCAAGCTCAAGAGAGTGACCAAGGATGTAATTTGGCGCATCTTGAGCACGGTAGAAGTTCGAGGACATAGCTGTTGAGTAAGGACCATTAGTATGAATCTCAATCTCCAATTGATGCGCTATGCTTACCTCCTGCCAGGTTTCCTAGTCCAATGTAAATGGCCATGCCGGCAGCTCGCTTGTAGTCACCTGCCATATTGACACTAAGCCATGTGACGTTTCCGGGGAAGGCTGGATAGATTCCTTTTGGTGTGTTAGTTGGTGTATACAAGTATGCGGATGTTGGTTACTTGGAGGTACTTACCGACGACCGCGACGAAAATACCAAAGTACATAACACCTGGCACTCCCCGACCTGTAGATGCGAGACAGATGATGAAGCCGATGCCGATCATGGCCATGAAGAAGAGAATGAATGGGGATCGTTGCTTGCGTCTGTCTGATATCCACGCTGCAATAACAGCGACAATTGCTGCAGTGATATAGATTGGTACCTGATATGATGTCAATCTCCGCTTCAATAAGAAAGTCTCATAGAGAGCTTACAGTAAGGAGCTGGGCGGTCGAAGACTTATAGCCTAGGTCCTTGATGATCGAAGGAAGGAAAAGAGAAATGCCGTATAGCGGACAAGTGATACCCCAGTACACTTTTTATGGATCAGTTAAAGATATATTATACGCAGAAACGACAAAACTTACTGAATAGACCCAACCAAATTTGCCAGTCGGCGAAAGCATCAATGACATAGCGCATTTCGAACTTATCATTCGTTTGGTCAATCTCGCGCGAATCTGCCGAGTTTTGAATCCGCAAGCTGTGGATCACAAATCGACGCTCTTCTTCAGTCAAAAAGGTGGCGGTTTCCGGAGAGTCGTGAATCGCAAATGGAGCTATAAGTGCCACAACAACCGTAAGAAGACCCTCAAGAATGAAGATCCATCTCCAGCCAGCATATCCGCCCACGCCGTCCATTTTCTAAGAATTCCGAGAATCATTAGTAACGTTTTCATTGCTGCCAGCGGGCAGCGGACAGAACACTTACAGCAATAGCGTATGCAAGGAGCCCAGAGAATGCACCCGCAATACTGGCAGCGCTGAAAAAGAGAGCTTGTCTGAACTGTGCTCGGTGACGTGGATACCAGAGCGTAATATAGTATGCCACACCGGGATACAAACCGGCCTCTGTTTTGTTTCATTGCACTGATTAGTCTTGACTAGAACAAGGTGCAGGTTGGGGAAGGGCAGACATCAACATACCTGCAACGCCCAAAAACAGACGAGTTGCGAGAAGTCCACCGTAATCGTTAACGACACCCATCAAGGTCTGTTTGGAACAAATCCATTATTAAATACTACCCGAGACAACCCTCACATAACGCGCGCACTCACCATAACAATTCCCCAGGCGATCATGATCAAGGGAAGCCATCTCGAGGGTCTTAGCTTCTTCAGAAGCAGATTGCTCGGCAATTCAAAGACGCAGTAGGTAAAGAAGAAGACGGTCACTACCCACAAACATGTGTCAATTGGTCATTCTTTCATGAAAACAAGCAACTCAAGGGATTGGATTCATCATACAAGTCCAATTGTATTGCGGTCCCGTCATATGGAGATCGTCAACAAGCCCCTCTATCTTTGCATTGCCTATATTCCCGCGGTCCAAGAAGGCTAACAAATATAACAAGCTCAGCATGGGAATAAGACGGATGTCCATCTTCCGGAGGACGGCTTTTTCATCAACTCCCTGGAAGGTCGGTGAGCCGAGGCTGGATGCTTCCGCGTCTGCAACTAGCTCATCCTGCTTGAGATCGGCGATGTATGGGGAATTTTGGACTGGGGTATCATCAGATTGGTGTAGGGAGGTCTTCTCCGGTGTGCCCTTTGAATCAACCATGGCAGGCAAAGAGATGAGAGAAGAAGAGAGTCAACCAGCGCGGGCATCATTCCGCGAGTATTTATACTAGACCCTTGAAAAAAGCTTAAGCTAACCGGGGGCAAGTCCGAAAACTGGGGATAATATCCCTTGGCATGAGGGGTATACTATATTGGGGATAATATATTGGGGGTACTTCCTTGGCAGTTGATCGGCCTCGGGTTCTTTGATTTGAAAGCGATATTGAGTAATATTGCGTGGCAAGTTCATTGATAGCGGGAACTTTGCAGTTTTTAATGGCTCATATATGCGTTATATATCAAGATAAGGACTATGTAGTAGATGTGAGTACAATGAGTGAGTATAGAGGTGGTGGCACGCTGTTCGCCCCTGGTTACTTGCGGCACAACCCATGGACGCTAAAATACCTTGTAATTACCAAACTGTAGTCCAGTCCGATTATCATGTATTCTGAGCTTAGCGCTCCTTGCGTTAAATCATACATGTACCCATAATACGAACCTTCCAACCTTGGAAGGTTGGAAGTTGAGGTCAATCTTGGAGAGGCCCTCATCATATCCACCACGACTTCCACGGTTCAGAGTCAGATCGTTCCATCCATGGATTCATCTATGCCCTGCCAACTGGCTTAAATTTAGCACCGATAGGGTTTGCCAGCAACGTTTGGGACAAAGTTCGGGATACGAGGCAAAATACACCATAGCCCGTCTGGCTGTCCTAACCCAAAGGAACGAGACTACCAAGCCTGAACTATTGTGCTCTAATTCTATCTCATCCTTGGGACAGGCTAACGTATGCCTTAAAAAGGAGTGATACCAAGGCAACAACTCTAGCAATCCTATTGGGCAGCAGGTGTATTGCACTCCAAACTAATAGCACCAAACTCCCAGTGTAGATCAAAGACTGGAAAATGGAATCCCAGGGGTGACAGCCTGTGCCTTGTTATGATCAACTCTAGCCGTTGAGTTACCATTGTGCTACCGGAGAATTCTTGTTCAACCCTAGAGTATACCACTTATGTTGAACCAATTGAGGTCTTTTGGACATTGAACCCTTAGGATGCAGATGGTATTTGCTAGCATAATATAGGAGTGTACCTACCTAGGTAGGCCTATATGTAGGTATGGGTCAACAGCCACATAATGTAGGTATCTTTCAAGAAAGGAAGTATCTGGCCCATATCGCTCTTTCCTTCTCTCACGCAGCTCTTAGGTTTCCCGTATCTTCAACACTTTGCCTCCCAGGTTATCCACTCGTCTCTCGAATATGTGGTCCGCTTTTGTCCCACTTATGGGGACTTATGGGGGCTTATTAGTCGTCAATGACGGTTCCGAAACCTGAATGCTTGGAACCCTACTTTGCCTGAATGGCAACATCTCGCCGTAACTTGCGGAGCCTGGCCTATAGATTCACTACCAAGTTAATCGAGTTCCTCACTGCCACATCAATGTGGAATGAACCGTTCCAATTGCTGAATATAGCTGCATGATCTACAAGCTCAGGATCGGGAACCGACTTGATGGTTGAGTCGGTGACAATATCACCCGGGATTCTTCTCTTCCTTGTCTCTTTTCATCAAGTTGTTCTCATTTTCCTCGGCTTATCTTCACAAATCATGTCTTGCATTTGCGTATTTGCTCATGAAGCCCCCCGAAGGGACATCTGGAGTGCTATAAATGACGTTCTTACCTATCGAGGATATAATCCCACTAAACCCCCGGGGCCCACTCCACACTAATATACTGCGGAGCAAGTTCCCTATTGTAATGGACAAATTGATACTCTACTTTATAGTATATCGGCACTCAGCGACATTTGCCCTCAGAGTTAGATCATCACGGGAAAAGCTCCGACATTCAATCATCATAGCATCATAGCGCCACAACCTCTCTTTCCATTAAAGTGACCAACAATGACTATCACCCAAGACCATATCCCACAGGGCCATCTCCCATACCCAGAACCTCCAATTCTCAAAGCACAATGCCATCAAGCGCATGGACCAAACCCGACACAAGCAAACGGCCCATTGCCGTAATCGGCGGCGGCGTGATGGGCCGACGAATCGCCATGATGTGGATAGCCGCCAACTTCCCCGTGATGCTGTGCGAGAAAGCAGTCGACTACGGCGGCGCAGTGGGCTACGTCCAGGAACACGAAGCTGAGCAAGCCTCCAAACAAGGCACGGATCCCGGCGAACTGAAAGCAACAAACAACCTAGAAGAAGCCGTCAGGGACGCATGGATGGTCATCGAAGCCATCCCGGAGAAACTGGAGTTGAAGATCGACCTCATGGAGCAGCTGGACAAACTCGCCCCGCCGGACTGCATCATCGCCAGTAACTCGTCGTCGCTGAAGTCCAGTCAGATGATCGTCAAGACGGAGAAGAATTACCGCATCTGCAATGGTCACTACTACATGCCGCCTGAGCAGTTGTTCTTCGAGGTTATGGGGTGTGGCTACACGGATCCGGAACTCATTTCGTTTTTGATGGAGAAGGCGGCTCAGGCTGGGCTCTCGCCTGTGCATGCTAAGGTTGAGTCTACTGGGTTTGTGTTTAATCGCATTTGGGCGTCGCTCAAGCGTGAGATTTTGCTTGTCATGGCTGAGGGCGTTAGTGATGCTCATACCATTGATGAGATGTTCAAAAGTTGGTTTAAGGCTACCAAGGGTCCTTGCCTGATGATGGATACTGTTGGCTTGGATACTGTGTACAATATTGAAGCTGTGTATGCCGAGCAGCGTGGTGTGGATACCAGGGCCATGGATTGGTTGAAGGAGAACTATGTTGACAAGGGCAATCTGGGTGCCAAGGCTGGAAAGGGATTACTTGAATAAACATCATTATAGATTGTTTTTAGAAATTGCAATACAAAAGTGTTCTAGAAGAGACTATTGATACTGCAGTTCTGAGCTAGAGCTAGTGTTATAAGACAGGATCAACTGGAACTATTGATTTATTGGGTATAAGATAGAATTGTACTCTCGCCACCGGGATTATATAGGATGGATTCATGTCGCCTCAGACAGTCCAATTAGGCATGACAATGGGCTGTAAATCCCTGAGGCCATGAAACACGATTTGAACCAAATAGACGGCAGCGACGAGGGTGAAAATCACCCTCGTAGCCAGTCGCCAAAGTGATGTACAATAGCGTTGAAGAAAGGTAAGGATAAAATGAAATGACCAAAAGAAAGTAAAGGAAGGCATGAGGATAGGTATCGGGCGTCCAAGGAAAACTGGACAGGGAATCAACAGTCATAAGAAGTATGAGTGCCCAGGAGACACAATAATAAGAAATTAGGCAAGGAACGTAGGTGAAGTGAGAGGGTAATTAGAACAGGACATCGGCAAGGAAAAAGCGCGCTCTGAGACCTCGGAGGAAAGGGTACAGAGTGAAGGGCATTAGAGGCAGACCCTAGGGTGCGACTTGCGATCATTAGGGTATAGCACACCCATAGGGCCTATTAGTGCAAAAAGGGTTGGGAGTGAAGAAATTAACCAGACAGGGTTGAGGGTTGAGGACGAACGCGAAGCCTTGACCAGAGAAACAATAATTAAGGAGTTTTCCTGCGGCGATGGACTTTCCATTCCGCTTTAGCGACACGCATGAACATTTCGGTGTCTTTGATAGGAACCCAGCTGGTGAGGACTTTCATGATATTCTCAAAGTCGGATTCGAGAATGATTTCACGCATGCCATCAATAAGGGCAGCAGATGAAGCATGCAAGACGTCAAGACCTTGGCCAAATGTCCTTGGGTTCTCAGGAGGGGGGGACTTGTTCTTCCCTCCAGAGGTTGCGGGACGAGCAGTGTGGTCTTCGGCATCTCCAAGGAGCATGAAGACGTCCCACACCCGAAGCTGAGCCGGGAAGGGGATCGAGTAATTAAAGAGAGTGAGGTACCAGCGAGTGCCGTAGGCTGTGGGTGGGATTCCGACCTCGTTCTGCAAAATTAAGCGTCAGTAGACACTCGTGTTTCGAGTGGAATTGACTTACCAGTTTCGTGGCCACTTCACCTCCGGCGAGCCATTCCCGTTCAAAGTCGGCCAAGGCCTCCATTAAACCAGCAAAGCCGGACTTGTACAGCTCTTCCAGGCCTCGCAGCTGCCACAATCTGACGAGCATAATAAAAGCGTGTTCCTCATCGTAATACGCCAGTAATGTAGCCGCGAGAGTTGCCATTCCCTGTACGTAGCCCGTATCAGGAAAATAGAGTGACATGGCGTGAAGTACACGGAACAATAGTCTTTGGCCACCCCGATAGCGCCTCCGAAACATGATATGGCTGGAGATAGTCCGCGGAACATCGATATCAATCTGGACGTCGTCCGGCGACGAGATGAACTGGAGCTCATTGAAGGCTTCGATGAGCTCGTCAGCAGGGGGGGCTGCCCTTGTGGCGCCGGGCACTGGCTTCAAGAAATGAGTACCAGGCCGTTGACCGCCACCGATCTGGAATGCCTTTCCAAGTTCGCTCAATCAACTTTGAGCTCTGAGTATCGAACTCAAAGGTCATGCCGCCGCCGTCCTTGGCCTTCTTGGTCGGCTTAGCCATCTTGGTCCACTTGTCTTCACGTTGCCACTCCTTCCTTCGCATTGCGCGAGTAACTGGTGCATCTTCTGTCTCACCACCAGATTGAGTGGGCAGAGTGAGCATGTCGGCCGCCTCATCTTTGGCTTTTCGATCGCGGTTGTGAGGCAGATGATTGGTCGCCGCACGCAGACGAGATGTCGAGCGGCGCAGTGGAGGACCATAGTTGCTTTGTGATGAAGATGGACGCGCGTTCAGGGAACTTCGGGATATTTTGCGGACTAGAGACGGCCCATTGAAGGAACGGTTGCTGGCTGGGGCGGTTGGTGGGCGAATTGAACGTTTCCGCCGAGGTGCCTCGGAGGCCAGCAGAAGGCTGGTCGTGACTCGTTGAAGCGGGTTAATATCGGAACCATTGGAGTTCTTTGCAGGTCGAATGAAGCCGTAGCGATCGACTTCTTCTGCACCGACATTTTGCCAGTATTCAGCACCACCAGCTAGCTCCTGAGTTTCCCTCTTTAATTCTCATACGCTCCACTTCGGCAGACGCCCTTGGCTTTGTTTCATTTCCAGTCTCATTCGTCTGAGCGAGTGTCTCAGAGGTTTCAGCGTCCGGGACTACACCCTCCTCCCATAAGACCCCGTTTTCTGAGGCCATTGCTTTCGCAACCTCGGAGTCGGTAACATTGTCTTCGCCCTTCTCGTACATCAGCCGGACTCTCCGCGACAGCATGTCTTCGTCTGCCGATATTGCTCGGCTCGGAAGACTAGTCTGTCTCGGGCGAAGCCTGCCCTGAGGTTTCACGTGCCGTGGAATCGCTTTCGGTGTTCCATTTTCTCCTTCGGGCCGGGTCATGATTATGGCAGGGGGCGGGGCAATTTCAGATGTCTGTCGGTCCAAATGTTGATCACAATGCTCTTTCGATATTTCCTGAACTGGGTGGGCTAGCTCTTGACAAGCTTCATTCTGTTCTAGACTTTGCTGGGGCGGGTCTGGTTGGCGCTCGGGGTGCTCGGGGTGCTCGTCTAGCTTCTCCTGAGGTGGTTTCGGGTGAGGACGTTGCGCCTGACTCTTTATCAGACTTCCGCGATTGGAGAACTTCATCGGCTTATCTAGACCATCCAAAGAGGCTGTCGGTATATCTAAGGGGATACCAGTAAAGGGGCGCTCAATTTGAGGCACTGGCGGAGGGTCTTCCGAGCTGAATTTCCTCTCGATATCGAGGGACCGTTTCTTCAACCCACCCCACTTTCTTTCTGACCATCGAGAGCCCGGCCTTGAGCCCGGTCGTGAGCTGGGACGGGAACCTGGCTCATTCACGACAATGCTGGGCACGCTGCGCAAGGAGGGCGGGCCCTCCGATCGAACCGTGCGGGTTTCATCTCCAACGGACATGGATGGCGCGAGCCGTGGGAATGTAAGCGCGGATGCATGGTCATCACTCGGACTGGCTGATGCAGCGCTTGTGCTTGAAGATCGGCCATTGGAGGCTATTGGCGCATCGGCTGTGGGCAGCGAGACCGACCGGGTCGCAAAAGGAACGTCGGTATTTTCAAAGGGCACGGCGTGAGTCGTCGGATCGGACTCCGATCGGTCGGGCGATAACGATGCAGAAACCTCATTCACCATTATCCCGGCATGGCTTGCGACTCTGCGCGTGGGCTAGAATCGCGTGAATGAAAGGAGTGTACGGAGCAGGGATGCGAATGGGGGGGCCTTAAGCGAGAACCGGGGATCAAAGTAGAAAGGAGCGACAAGGGGAAAATACACAAGGGAAGTTCAGCAAAACAGAATCTCCAGAATTAAAATTGAGAGATACCTGGAGGAGTGGAGTTATTTTGGGTCGGTCTTGGCGCTATTCAAGTCAGTTCTGGGCTTTGACGGCTCGGAGGCATCCCCTACATGTGATTATGTTACTATAACTTCATATATACTTAGGTAGTTAGTAGTTAAGTAGTTCTAGTACGGAGTACATTCAAGATATATAGAATATCTTCCTTACTATTATGGATCGAGTTTCCTCTTGTCCTCGTATCCTCAAAATAGATATCAAGGGGGTTTGTCCCACCTCCATGGGCCGCGTGTGGATCGTGAGAGGCCAAGGGGCTTGTGGTGGAGTACGCTACTTCCAATGTGCTTAGATTAGAATCATGGCCCAACGGGGGATGTGATATCAAGGATCTGTTTAATTGTGTCCATTAATACCCAACTATGGAGTACAGAGTACGTGGACAACACAGAGTAGATTCAATTGAAACCCCCAATCCCTCCTAATACGCCCCAGATGTACAAACGCGTGGAACTCCTGTGGCTGAGGCTTGGATAACCGGCCGTCAATGCTCAATGCAGTTAAAAGGGGATAATACCCCCCCAGCTAGAACCAATGTCAAAAGAAAGAAAGAGAAAAAAAAAAAAGTATCGTAAGGGCGTGAAATGGTCAATCCAGCGACTCAGCGTTAGATCCAGCTCAAGCCACAGCAGCTGTGTGAGCTGACGGCGAGTCGCGAGTTGGTCGCCGATCCACAGGCTCTTTAGGCAAGAGTTCGATCTGACGGACCAAGAAGCTCTTCTCGTCCATAAATTGATCGTCGTCAGTTCGGTCATCCAAGAATTTAGGCAAAAACCTCAACAATCGATCACGGTTATTGATCAGAATTCGTTGCACTGCCACCGATTTGTTCGGATTGGCCACGAACACCTAATCTCTTGTCAGCTCCTCTGTCTTTGTTGTAATTTGAGGGAAAACTTACCTTGAAAACATGGAACCCTTCGTATTGCACCATCTTGCGATCATCCCGTAGCAGTTTCATGCAGAGCTTGAGATTATCTCCACTCTCCACATATGCCATCATCACATTGTAGTTCGCACGGTCCAACAGGATCTCCCCCAGAAGCTTGATGCTTTGGCGCTTGGTGACATACGAGTCCGAGTGGATCAGAATGTTATTGAATCGCGCAAAGAAGAGTTCAAAATTGGTCGCCAGGTACGAAGTCATAAGGCTCTTATGGCGGGTCAAAATATCCTGTGGAACATATTTTAGTCACTTATCGTCAATAGCCATCGTTCTGGACCTTACCCTGAACGTAGTGTACGCATCTGCGCTGACTTCGAAACAGCTCTTGTCGATCCAATCAAAAAAACCTCCAGAACACTCCGTCTCCCCTCTGCCGCTGGTTGGGTTTCACGTCTGATAGTCGTATTGCGGATTCTCCTTCACTGGATTGATCATACAATACAATCGCAGTGATGACATCGAACTTCAGTGCCTCTCGGAGAATGACCCCGCAAGGCATTGCACTTTGACTCTGCATGTAGCCCCGGCATAACTCGACAATGATTTCTGGGCGATGGTGGACAAGGTATGAGATAACAGGAGGATCCTTTTCGGTCGCATATGAAGTAGGCCGGAACCGAAGGATATGGGAGAATACGGTCTGAGTGTCTTTTCTGGCTTCGAAGGGAAGCAAATGGATGCTCCGGGATAGATCAAAGAGTAGATCTTCTTGAATGGTTGCTTGTACAAGTGCATGGACTTGATCCACTGATGGGGGAACCTCTAAATAAGAAGATTATTGGGTTAACTCCTTGACATTGCGCCTTGGGTATTACTTCCAGGAGACCAACCTGGTGTTCCTTGTACTATCACCTTCATTTGACTAAGTTGCTTAGCTAGCTCCTCTTCGGCCTAGTGCACTCGTTAGTCGGATTGTTCTCCACATGTTTGATGTCTTCAAACAAACCTTGGGAGCATTCTGGGAGTCATGGATCCTCGATAGTAATTCCTTTGTTGTCCGGACGATATCAGCAGGTTGCCGCGACCGGCCGCGATTGAAAAAGAAAGCCATAGTGAGATGGAGAGAATATGCGGCAAATTGAGAAAGAAACTGGAGATTAAGGCAACATGGGATAAGTTAAAATTGCAACGGGAGAATCGAGATCGAGTCCAAGGGTAAGCAAATGTGATGTATTCGATTGCGAGTTGCGAATAAACAAACGGGGCGGGGCAACGGGGGTCCTTCTGCCTGAGGCATCCACTGATAACGGAATTTTTTTTTTCTATCAAAAATGCTATCTCTACCCCTCCCCCTCCAAGGTCAAAACAATTTGTTATTGACCATTATACAGTCATGTCTTCTTCCAATGTGAACCCACCTGTGGGTGAGAGTTTTCCCGACTCACGTTCGGTATCGGATTCGTCCGATTCTAGCAACGAGGAGGGCTGGGAAGATGTCGAACCTGATGAGGAGTCGCAGCCTGTGGTTGGGCTCTTCACTGACCAAATTTTCCCCGATGCGCGTTCTATGCTGAAGGAGTGCAAGGAAAAGTACAACTTTGATCTGCTGAAGATCCAGAAGGACCTTGGTATGTCCAGTTTCTACTCCCGCGGGGGTCTAACAATGGAGGCTAACTATTTTCCCTTCTAGATCTGGATTTCCTCGACAATATCAAGTTGGTTAACTACGTCCGCACCGAAGTTAAGAAAGGGAACAACACCCCTGATGTCTCGTCCAAGTCCAAATTCGAGGATGATGTCTATCTCAAGCCCGTTTTGGAGGACGACGCTCTCTTGTATAGCTTGGACGACCTTGCCGAAGAACAGGGCGAAGACGCTGTCCCCGCCACCGAGACAAACCGACAGGTTTTGGAGCTCCAGGAGAACTTGGAGCGGTTGCAGACCCAATTCTCAGAGTACCGACTTGCGGTGCAGAAGTCGATGGATGACCAATTGTCGAAGGAGGATGATAAGCTTGCTGAATCCAACCCTCAACCCTCGGCCAAGGCTGTCGACAGACTGCAGGATGCTGAAGATGGATACTTCGTCTCTTACGCTTATAATGGTATGGTACCTCGTTCAACTTATTATGCATATGACGCTAACATAGTCTAAAGGAATTCATGAATCTATGCTCAAGGACACCATCCGTACCGACGCTTACCGCGATTTCGTCTACGAAAATAAGCATGTTTTCAAGGACAAGGTTGTCCTTGATGTGGGCTGTGGTACTGGTATCTTGTCCATGTTCTGTGCTAAGGCTGGCGCAAAGAAGGTCATTGCTGTGGACAACTCAAACATCATTGACCGAGCTAAGGAAATCGTTCATGACAATGGCCTTGGAGATGTTATCACGTAAGGGTCATCACCATCCCCCAATAAGATGACAAGACTGACTTCTATCCCAGCTGTATCCGTGGCAAGATCGAAGAGGTTACTTTGCCCGTCGAAAAGGTCGACATCATCATCTCTGAATGGATGGGTTACGGTCTCCTCTTTGAGGCGATGTTTGATTCTGTCATCTACGCCAGAGATCGGTATCTCGCTCCTAATGGCCTTATGGCTCCTTCGCACGCTACCCTGCGCCTTGCTCCTTATGCCGATCCCGATTTCATCGCGTCACACATCTCGTTCTGGAACAACGTCTACGGTTTCAAGATGGACAGCATGCTTCACAAAATCTACGATGAGGCAGTGGTCCGAAGCACCCAGCCATCGACTATTGTCGGAGAGTCTCAAATTTTCTTGACACTTCCGCTGCACACCATCACTGTCGAGGAGCTGTCGTTCTTGAAGGAATTCCAGGTCACATTGAACCAGGATATAGATGCATTGGATGGATGGGCTATCTGGTTCGACATTTTCTTCATGCCCTCCAGGGAGTCTGTTTTGCCTGAGGATGCCATTCCCTCTGATATGCAAAAGAAGGGAATCGTCTCGTTCACCACTGGCCCTGATGGAATCGAGACCCACTGGCAGCAGACTATACTTCTCATTGACCATGCCAAGGATCACGCCAAGCAAGGCTCCCAGGCCTTGAAGAAGGGCCAGGTCATCACCGGCAAGATCGGCTATGAGAAGGCCGAGAAGGGCTCTCGGGGAGTTGACATCAGTGTTCAATGGGAGTCTGACTCAAATGAGAAGGGGGTCCAACTATGGAGCCTCCAATAGGATCGAGCGATCTTTTGATACGTTTTCTAATGAATTAAAAGAGATATGACTATTTACATAGAAAAAGGACGGCACCCTATTATCTTTGTGTCGTTTACTTGACCCAGTGAATATGAAAATGATTTGCATTTAGGAACGGACAATGTCATGGGTATCGTTTGTTGTGATCGTAGAAAAGAATGGAACATCTCAGCTAGGATCGATCCTTTGCTTCAGTATGTTTTTCCCGCCGGCGAGCCTCATAACGTTCATCGTGACGATGATGATGATTGCTACGAGATGAGTCGTGGCGAGGGCGATGATGATGGCGATGACGGGAGCGATCTCGACTTTGATCTCGACGGCGACGATGATGCCTGTCAGAACTTCGGTCCTTCTCACCCTCTCTGTCCGGCGCATCCAGCTTGAACCCATCGAGGCTGTCCACTGACGGGGATCGCCTTTGCCGATGGCTTGACTGCCGTAGCTCCTCAACTTTCAAAGCTTCGATCTCTCTTCGCTTTTCATCATTCCACCGTTTTCGTTCCTGCTCCGTTGCTTTCAACTGACGCACACCCCGCTTCATCGCTGCAAGTGGGTCATTCGCACTCATACGAGCCTGTGTCCTCTCCTTACGCCTTGGGTCCTCATTACCCCACACATCTTTCTCGGGCATCGACCCTGGAGCTGTTACATTTTGTTCTGTAGAGGAATACCACGGTTTCTGGCCAATAGTCTCCTTGAAGCCTGCGGCGTTGGAGAACCTCATTGTGTATTGGTCTTCGTAGCTGCGTTTCTTCCGTGCTGCTTCAGCCTCTGCTTCAGTGTTCTTCTCTGTTTTAGCACTTGCGGCTGGGAACAGGCTGATATGGCCGGGCTTGTCTAGAATCGGGGCTTGTGCTGTACCAGCCTTGCGAGAGGCGAGCATCAACTCTTCCCGCTTAGCAACTGCTTGTGCCGCATCCTCCCGAGCGTATCGTATATCTCGGTCCGTATCATCTTCCCCGGCGATCCGCCTTCTCTTACGGAATCCTCCCGCGTCGCTGGCGGATTTCCTGTCTGATCGAGTGCCGGCTTCAGGTGACTGAAGAGAGGGCGCCGGTGGAGGTGTAGGCGGACGTTCGCCGCGAAGAATTTTAATCCTGCGTTCGGCATCCACCTGTTGCATGATACGTTCATCTTCTTCCTCGCGGGCTTTTGCCTGCGCCTCGTCGCGCCTGACGCGGGCGATATTCTCGGCATTGTAGACGTTCCATGACTTTTTGCCGAGCAGATGGCTATAAAGAATTAGCAAGATTCGTAGATATTATAAACTCGAAACATAAAAACATCACTTACAGAGGCATCTTGGAAACTGGCTCACCCTTGCGTGGAAGTTGCTGCTCGATAGCAAAAGGCTGGTCTTATCGATAATGACGTCCCCACCGCCCGACGCTGTTCCCGGGGTGGCCAAAGTGCCCGTCGACAGCTTTACGGCTCCAACTCTCTTCTCTTCCCTTCATATTTGCTTCACCCTGGATATTAGCATATATCCAGCAACCTATTGAACATAATCATTCGATAATTGACCCCAGGTCACCGGCGCTGTGGAGCTAACAGACTTACACAGTTGCCTGCTCGTTTCCGACACAGTGTTGCTAAGACAATAGCTTTAACAGTTACCACCTCAATCTCTGTGATTAGCGACAACCAAGCAGTTCGTCATGTTCAATCGCGGCAATCTCCCGAATCCTTTCGGTTCCAGCGGACAATCGAACCCCAACCAAGCACCCCCACGGTATGATACCGATCGCTCCCCCTCACTCACTGCAGGCTATGCAGCTCCTACCCGCGATGCCGATGTGCCGATGACTGATGTATATGATACCCTAAGTGGTTACGGAGGCCCACCTCCACCAGGAGGAAGACCCCCGCCGCAGCAGATGCCTTCTAGGATGCAGTCCGGACAAAGAGGTGGAGGCCCGACTTGGACTCTTCATCCTAGCAAGAGTCCGAACGATAACTACACATTTGGAAACCTGTGAGTATCCTCTGACAGCTTTTTATTCTCGGGGACTAATACAGAACAGCGTTGCTGTTTCGCCGCAGGACATCCCACCCTCACGAGATGGCACCGACGTCCTCCTCCTTATCAATGACCTCTTCGTCTTCTCTGCTCGCCCTCTCGATGGCTTTCCCCCTGGGTATATGAGCATGTCGGACCCTCAGCGAACATGGGCCAACATCGGATTGAGAGACTCGATCAAGGTACAGCTGTATGATCCGTTTAGCCAAGGCGGGCAGGCCTACCTAGGCTCCGCGGATATTGAAGTCAGCTTCGCATCTACCAAAAAGCGGGTTGAAGCTCCCTATGACCAGGATGAACTGGCACAAGCAGTGATCAGGGTAAGCCTACTTCATCCCAGTCCTGAATACATGCTAATAAACCTCAGAACTTTGAGAACCAGCTATTCTCACCTGGCCAGAGGATCCTGATGGATAATAAGAGTATCCCGCTCTTGCTACAGGTCAAGACCGTTCAGCGGGTTGATTTGACATCAGAGAAGGCTGATCTCAGTTCTGGACAAGTCGAGACCGATCCTGCGGCCCGGGGCATTCTCACACGGCACACTCAACTCAACTTCTTTAAGGATACCCAGACCGGTATTAACGTGAAGCCATCCAACCGCCGCCCGGCGGCCAACTCTATCATCCAACCGGGCTTCAAGTTCCAGGATATGGGTATCGGTGGTTTAGACTCTGAGTTCAGTACGATCTTCCGTCGTGCTTTCGCCTCACGAATTTTCCCCCCTGGTCTGGTCGAGAAACTTGGTATTCAGCACGTCAAGGGCCTCTTGCTTTATGGACCTCCGGGAACGGGTAAAACACTGATTGCTCGGCAAATCGGAAAGATGCTTAATGCTAGGGAGCCCAAGATTATCAACGGTCCAGAAGTTCTGAACAAGTACGTGGGTCAATCGGAAGAAAACATCAGAAAGATGTTCGCGGATGCCGAGAAGGAATATAAAGAAAAGGGTGACGAGAGTGGTCTCCATATCATCATCTTTGATGAGCTGGATGCAGTGTGCAAGCAGCGTGGTAGCGGAGCTGGGGGTGGTACCGGTGTCGGGGATAGCGTGGTCAACCAGCTCCTTTCGAAACTTGATGGTGTAGACCAACTGAACAACATCTTGTTGATCGGTATGACCAACCGAATGGACATGATTGATGAGGCGTTGCTGCGTCCCGGTCGTTTGGAGGTGCACATGGAGATCTCGCTCCCTGACGAGTATGGCCGAAGCCAGATTCTCAACATTCACACTGAAAAGATGCGGAACAATAGTGTCATGGATAAGGATGTTGACTTGGCCGAGCTTGCCCGTTTGACCAAGAACTTTTCTGGTGCTGAGATCGCAGGTTTGGTCAAGTCTGCCTCGTCCTTTGCTTTCTCCCGCCATGTCAAAGTTGGTACTATGGCTAGTATCAATGAAGACGTGGTAGACATGAAGGTCAACCGGGCCGATTTCCTCCACTCTCTTGATGAAGTCAAGCCTGCGTTTGGTGTGTCCGAGGAAGAGCTGTCCAGCCGCATTCCATATGGCGTTATCCACTATTCTGCTACTATCAGCGAAATCCTTCGGGAAGGCGAGTTATTCGTCAAGCAGGTTGGAGCGGCCGAATCGACTCCACTTTTCTCTGTTCTGCTTCACGGACCTCCTAGCAGCGGCAAGACCGCCCTGGCAGCACGAATTGCTATTGACTCCGGCTTCCCCTTCATTAAGCTGATTAGCCCGGAAGACATGGTTGGCTTTAGTGAGCCAGCAAAGATCGCACACATCAGCCGAATCTTCGACAGCGCCTACAAGAGTACCACCAGTATTGTTGTCATCGACAACATCGAGCGGATCATCGACTGGGTGCCGATTGGTCCTCGCTTCAGCAACAGTGTGCTGCAAGCTCTCATGGTTTTCCTAAGGAAGCAACCAACCCACGGACGTCGTCTGTTGGTCCTGGCCACGACAACTGAGCGTGCTCTGATGAAGCAGCTGGACATCTACAACTCCTTCAACTCGGATATCATGGTTCCCAATGTTAGTTCCTTCGGTGAACTACGGTTTGTCATGGAGAAGTCAGGTGCCTTTGATGCGCAGGAGATTGCGCGAGCCCTTGAATCAGTCGGTGGACTTGCGGATGACGGGCGCTTGAGCGTCGGCATCAAGAAGGTCCTCTTGGGTATTGAAACGGCCAAACAGGATTCTGACAAGGTTGGCCGCTTCGTCCGCGTTATCAACCGCGCTATTGAGGAAGAACAGAGTTTCCAGTAAACGTAGTTTATAATGGGCTTTCTTTGTGCTGAGTACTGGGATTATAACTAGATTAACTCTGAAGTAAATATATCCTTGCAATTCTAGTTTTCCTTCTGTTGGTATCTTAGAAGCCGTCGCCTCTAGGGCTACCCGGCAAACATCCATTCCGCAATCCGATTAACCACCTTTGAGAACTACCTAGGTATGAAACGGCCTACGACCATAGGGATAGGGAATGCTTTTCCAGGCTTACGATAACTTTTACTTTCGGGTTTCAGTTTGACGCTTATACAAAGACCGGGTCTTGCTAGTTGTCATGTTAACTACTTGCAAACACTCAATGGCAAAACACTGCACATGTGCAGGCCTTGTATATAAATCAACAGACTAAATGTAAACTCTCGAGCTTTGGCCTTCACTTAGCTCGTATTGAAGTATAAGTAACAACTGTTTTGGCGCGTCAGGCCAAGATACATCAGCCTTCAGTATCAACCTCGCAGTTACACAATAACATCAATTGATACAACATTGAACAGCCAGCGGTACTCTACAGCCCTAAAGGGAATCAGGCATACTTCTCAAGGCCTGATATTACAGGCCTACAGGCAGCAATTCTTAGACCATACCGAAAAATAGGTACAACCAATACCATTCAGAGAAGTCTGTCTACTATACGTCAAGAGACACAAATTACCTATCGAAGATATACACAAAGACCCAACCAAAGAAGCAAAAGCGCGCCAATCCCAACAAAGAACCAAATAAGTCAGAAATAATCCCACCTCCGTCCCAAGATCCCAATTTTGTCCATACCAAGGGGGTTCCCCCATCATATCAGTCATCAAGAAGCCCAGCCCTGGAGCACAGCCCAATCAATAGTCATCATAGGCGTACTTCTTCGAAGAGCGTCGGTACTCCTCAGGATGGGCCTTCTCAGCCTTAGCCTTCAGGGCACTAATTCCAGGCACGTGTGTCAGCCTTCTAGAAGCACTCATCGGCGCTAATGCCGCAGGCACGGCGCTGATCGACGTGCACGTGCCAAGCTCACCCGGCGGAGCGGAAGCCCCTGTCGCGGAGCGGAGCGGAACTTGCACGTCCATCGTACCATGTCTGGTTCTAGGGGTAGGTTTGGCTTACCTGACGCGTTTTTGCGTCCATTCCAGGTCACGTTTCGTCTCTCGTGCGGTTTTTAGACCTTCGGAGAAATTTGCCCGTGCGCCTTTCAGTCGGCGTTGGGCGAGCGCTTGTAGCTCGAGGAGTTCTTGCTGCTTTGCGTTCAGTTGGCCGGATCTGCGGGTGCGGTTGCTGTTAGCTTGTTCTCTCGAATCTTGAGATTCGTTTGGTATTGTTTTGCGGATCACCAGCCCCTGGTGGTGAATGTTGCAGGTGGAACTGTTGATGCTGGATGAAGTATTGAAGGGGGACTCACGTTTGCGCTTGTCGTGCCAGTCCCTTGTCCAATGGGGTTGGATCAAATGCATCCTGCATGCGGTCGCTTAGGACGTCCACGACATCGACGCCGGAATACGATGCAAAGCTGGAATCGTACTCGCCGGCAGAGCTGAAGGTGAGTCCGCCAGAGGAGCGACTGCCGGCGGTGGTGCTTGCATCAGAAAAGTCTGGTGGCGAGCCAGAGACTCTGGAAATGGGATAAAGAGATGCTGATGCTGGCGCCTTGGAGGGTGCATGGTGGTATGGGTAAGCGGTAGGCTGGTAATAGTGACGCTGGGTGGCCATGACGACGATTGACTGCAACAACAGCAAGTCTTATAATGGAGCAAAGAGGAAGTATGAAAGTCAAGTGTGCTTCAATGAGGTAAGATGAAACAAGAAGACGGGAAGAATGTAGAAGAATGGGCAAACGGGCCTAAGTGGGAGTGATGGGAAAGGAAGAAGAAGGAAAGACAGTCTCCCCCGGGCCAGACGAGGGATTTTATAACCTTCCGCGGGGAGTCTTCTGTCCGGCGGATGCTCCCATCCTGGCGGAGGCAAATGTGATGGCAAGGATTGCGAAGGCCTCGAAGGAGCCATTGGACCACTCGGGGCAGATTGACTCGCACCCCCTCCCTCTGTACCTCCAATCCCCGAGCTCCGTCTGCACGTATGTCTCCGTATCTGCCCGCCGATTTGCCTCTTGGACCGCCTTGACCCCGCTCAGAGTGGGAAAAAAAGACTCAATGTGTCTGGGCGAGGACGCCAGCCTTCCTTCAGGGTTTCCGCCGTCCCGTGGCGGCTTGGTACGAAACAGGTCTCGATCTACGCCCCTCTTCCTGGTCTAAACTTTGGTGGCCAAAGTTTGGACTGGAACTATTCAGGAATTGACTAGAAAGGGTATGGAGGGTGGGTTTAATGAGGGTAGGATGGGTGGAGTTGGTGGGAAGGCGAGATATAAATATGGCCTTGGCCGTCCTTCCTTCTCCCACTTTTCTTGACTCTTTTTTCCCCTTCTCCTCTCCTAATTATCCCTTTTTTTGGCCGCCCTTGTCCCCGTTGAGCTAATTTTTTCTTCAGAAATTCGGGGGCTGGGAAGAGGACGATCAAAGTCGATTCGGTCAACAAAAGCCCAAAGATAAGACGGACTACACGAGAACCGGTATGACATATTTTCCCCATCTAACTGTTCAAGTCTAACATGATGGTCAGTTTCCTACACATATACAAACGTTGTTAGTTGTATATGTATGTAGTGGTCAAATACGCGCTTCCGCGAAAACCAAACAGATTCCCGGGAATCGGGATGTTTCGCCTTACATCATCTTGGGGATCGGAGCCCAAGAGCCCAAAAATGAGGATCGCTGCATTCAAGGTCACACGGAGAGTGTTGGACATCATTGCATGAACTAAAGGACCGTGAGAATTGGCATTCGAAACTGTTCCCGAATCGGTGACCCCATGCTTCTTTTGCAAGGTTCCAACAAGAATCATCCTGGCAATATATGAGCCAAAAGGGCAAACTGTGCGACCAATGCGCAAGAAGTCCAGGTCGAATGACAAGGAGAAGAAGGAAAAACCACAAAGTGAATGTTAATCCTAGTTCCTCCGTTTCCCACCTTGATGCGGCTGTTATTGCTGCACACAATGAAAAAGCCCACCTTCTCGTACGAATCCACCAATAACCACCAGAGCCTCTGGCAGCAGGGCAGAGAGCATTACTGCATCGACAAGCGCTCTAGACGCCCATCAACGTGGGAACAGAACACGCTGCACCCCACTCTATGCAGACAGTCGATGACTTGCTTGACGATAGCTATGGGGCATGTACGATAAAGGGAATCCATCCGGCAAGCCCCGTCGAAAATACTATATATCGAGAAATGCTGTGCCGCCCATAACCCTTCATCATTGGTCCCAGATACTTGCTGACATGGAGACCACGCAGGCCCAACTAGGTGGGAAGGAATTGGGACTGCAGGGCACACCCTTCGAGGCCCGTTCTAAACTGCATCTGGATTTGGATCTGCCTTGCTGACTCTGAGACTACTTGTTCCCTTCCAAGGTTTCTCCTTTTTGCCCTGTTGATGCCTCACCGTGCCTAAAAGCCGGCTTGCATGCCTTACAGCCTGACAACTCACGATATGTCCCGTCAACCCACAATGCTACCGAGGAAACCCTGTGACACCCTCAGTTCTCTAATCTATCATCGAGACCCTGGTTTGATGAATATCGCACGGATGCCATTCCTCTCGCTTCATGCTGAGAATGGCTGAGCCCGATCTCTTATTCGGCCAGGCCAACATCGGGCAGCACGGCAACCAATGACGCACAGTACTTACTTCGGCTTAGAATGGGCCATACACCTTTTTCCTTTTCCTTTGCTTTCACTCTTTGTCATAGTCTTCCCACTAACTCCTGATCCGCCCCCCCTTCAACTCGGACTCCAGACCCAAAGGTATATTGCTTTGAACCTTCCAGTGCTAATACTCCGTATACGTACGATGTCAACAGATTGGTTACACCAGCACGCTGTTTTGGTCCGAATATTAGGAAAGAATCTTATGCTTTTATTGACTATGGCGCTCAATTAATGTAATTCTATCTAGGGTTACCCGGGTAATGTGGAAGTATTTCCAAGAGTAATCTTCAACCTTTACTTCTTTCAAATTCTCCTCTCAAATGCAAGTCAACTCCAATCCAATCCAATTCAAGTTTATTTTTCCAACGCACAAGTGGGGGGTTGCGGGGATTTCCTACTTTCTTCACCGCCACATGCGCGCCAACTCACTCGCTTTCCCTTTTTGGGAATCTATCTCTACCTACGGAGTATGTATAACAAGTACTATAGTATATAGTTAACTACTTAATCTGTACTATTTCCCATTTAGCTATGGACTTGACAATTCACGCCTTCACTTCTGAGGCCTCTCTAATGTACCTCTGGTGCCTAATAGTACTTGTTGATATTTCCAGCCCCTTCTAATCAGATTTAATGGGTTATGTTAGTAGATATCAATAGCCAGTATTAGCCTGGACTATCATAATGTACATTATATAAGAGTAGAACTATGGAAATGGATGATCTACTTTAGCTCACAGCAAGTGATGCAATATATTACGATGTATATTTCAACCTTGACCACACCATTAGATAAAAGTAACCGTGAACAGCCGAAGTATCTGACATCTTGCACCATGCACCATCAAACGCCGAAAGAGGATATTGAAACCCAAGTGAAAAGAAAGAGAAAAAGAGATAAGAGTAAAGTGAAAGGAGTTGGATTATTAACAAATACAGATCCAGAAAATAGATAGGTGCCACGCGCTCATAATCTGGTATCACAAGAATATAAAGAAAGGCCAAAAAACAAAACAAAAAACAAAAACAAAAACAGATTCTGCTTGCTTGGTGAACCAAAAATAAGCAAGAATTAGAGTACTGACGCCATGATGCACAGGCTCAGAGGGCGGAGGGAATCTGTGCTCGTGAATGATCAGAGAGATCGATAAACGAACAGATGCCCTCCTGACCCTGTGCAAATGCAAATATCACAATGAAACTTCCAAAATGGTGAGAACAGCCCTAAAATGTAAACGAGCACGCTTCACGCGTGTCTAGCGAACTTCCAATGGCTCCCCTGTGCAATCCACCAAATCCGAAATCACATTTCTGTCCGAATGAGCCACCAAAAAAGTCACTCCGTGATCCATCGTAAGAATATCGAATGCTAGAACCGGGGAGAGGGATATGGCTGGCTATATATGTATAAAAAAGGAATATTAAAACAAAGGTTTGCTATTAAAGCAGCAAAGATGTCAGGGGTGAAGGTGGGTAGGGCAGGTAAAAGACCTGGGGAAGCCCCTAGCGGCGAGTAGCGATGTTCTGTTGTTGCTCTGGGTTAAGACGGTCTCGCAGAAGCATGAGGGGGCGGCCGGGCTCGAGAAGACCCATCATCATCTTCCCCAATTCATTGTGCTTGATCGGTTTGGTGACATAGTCATTGAAACCTGCCCGGGCAGCGTTCTCAATTTGGTCTGTCATTGCATTTGCCGAAAGAGCCATGATTGGAATCTGTGGGTAATGATTCTTTTGCTCCCAGTCACGGATGTCTTTGCAGGTATCGTAACCATTCTTGATGGGCATCTGAATATCGCACTACAAATAAACGCGGTTAGTTTTGCAGGGGGACATGGTACAAAGTAAGGCTCACAATGATGAGAGAATAATATCCTGGCTCTTTAGAAAGTACCATGTTAGTGCACTCCAGTCCGTTGGATGCAGTCTCCGACATCAGCTTGATCTTGTCCAAATACTTCAACATGACCTATATATGGGTTAGAAATCAATTCAATCGAGTTTTCATAAACCAACTTACATCTCGATTGGTCTCGTCATCCTCAACGAGCAGGATTCGATAACCCTTGTTGCCCAAAACTTCTTTGACCATCTTGGAGACGGTTTTGAAGTTGTTATTGATCTCGCGTGCCATGTCTTGGTTGCGATCCTTGCTCAGCTCACGCTTGCTCTTGGGATCGAATATAGTCGAGAAAGCAGAAGGTTTGACAGGCTTTGGCACAATGAAAACCTGCTTTCCTGAAGCTGCTAGCTCCTTGACCCGTGAGCTGATCTGACGCTTTTGATAAAGGTCTGAAATTATGACGATGACGGGCGCGGGATCCAAGGCTGGGTCTGACACGCTTTGAATGACCTCCAATATATCATCAGTTGGAAGGTTCAAGACAAGATGTGTACAAGGCTGGGCACCTGAAGCAGAGTGCATCGCATCTTTCCATTCATCAACATCAGGTAACGTTGTGACTTTGAATGCAATCTCATAAGGAACGACCTGCTCAATGTGCTGCTTTATGGCTTGCCGCGCGTTTTGGAGCGGACACAAGGTCACGATGGAGAAAGGACCATTGACAGGCACAGATACTGGTCCTATTGGTGTATCCGGAGAGGCAGATGGTTGAGACGTAGGCGACGGCACGGCGGCCGGTGTGTCGAGCCTGGCAACAGCAGGTTGAATGTTTGTACTGGAGACTGCATCTGGCAGATTTTCCAAAGCTCCTGCCTGCTCCAATGGAGGTGGCAAGGGCGCGGAACCTATATCCGGGGTCGGGAGAGCAGAGGATGTAATTGATAACGAGCCAGAAAGGGGAGTGTCGGCGCTTTTGCCGGACGAGTCGGAGTCTCTTGGAGCTAGAGGAGGGGCTTGTTGATAAGAGGTTGTTCTGGGCTTTGCCGGCCTTCTTGAAGCAGTTGAACTCTGGCGCATCAATTTGGGCTGCTCAGAGGGGGAAGGTGGCGGGGGAGCATCGACCTTGACGTTGAAAGAAAACTTTGCTCCCTGGCCCTCTTTGCTGCTGGGAGTGAGTTTGCCGCCATGCATTTCGACGAGTTGCTTCGACAGGAAAAGCCCCAGGCCGCTACCTGCATGTTGCTGTGTCCCATTTTCTCCAAGCTGACTGAATCGTTGCATCAATCGTTCCGCGTCCTGAGAGCTGAACCCTTTTCCGGTGTCCACGACCTCAAAATTCATGAATGCCTGTGTGTCATCGGGGTTTGCAGATGGGTCCCGATACATGTCACAGCAGATGTGAATTTCACCTTGCGCAGTGAATTTGACTGCATTGCCGAGAAGATTGATCAGGACTTGACGAATTCGGAACCGGTCTCCAATCACCATCGATGGCAAGTCCTCGCCTATGAGATAGTTGATCTCAAGACCCTTATCGATCGCTCGTGAGGCAATGGTATCGATTACATCCTCGATCATCGATCGAATATGGAACCAGGATTTGACCATTGACATCTTGCCAGCTTCGACGCGGGAAACATCAAGGATATTGTCAACCAACTCGCGAAGATTGGTGGAGCTGTTTTGGATGGTGTCAAGCATTCGCCTCTGGTCACTATCAAGCTGCGTATCCAGGATGAACGGAATAGTACCAAGAATGCCGTTAAGCGGGGTTCGGATCTCATGCGACATGTTGCTGAAGAACTTTGTCTTGGACTCCATTTGGTGATTCAACTGTTGCATGGCCTTGTTGAGTTCTCTTTCGAGGTTTTTGCGGTCGTTGATGTCGGTACAAGTTCCGTACCAGGAGGCTTCCTCGCTCCCGAAACTGCTGGTCTTGACACGTACTACGCGAACCAAATGCCATCGGAAATCACCACCTCGAGAACGAAGGCGGATCTCGGTGGAATAGAAGACCCGGCCATTCTCATCTTGCTGCAAAGAAGCAATGCCGCGCTTCACAAGTTCATCAAGAGCTGACCCGACCATGAACTCATAAGGTCCGCTATCATTTTGGTCTGTGTTCCGAGATGTTCTGTTGAGAGACAGCTCACCACACTTTTCGAGATCGTCAGGATGGACATGTTTAGCGAAGCCGAGGTCGTGTGCTTCCTCGAGCGGCTGACCGGTGTATAGATTCCACTGCTCGTTGACGAATATCAATCCGCGGTTCTCCGTTGCCTCAAACACAACCTGTGGGATCGAATTGGAGAATGCACGATACTTCGCATCAATAGCAAACTTTTCCCTTTCTTGAATTGCCTCAAGCTCAGCAATATGCTGCTCATGAATGTCAAGGAAAGACCCAATCCAGTACAGTACCTCTCCTGTTGACGATAACAACGGGTTGGCCCGGAAAATGAACCAGCGATATGCGGATTCATCGTTGAATCTTCGGACCCGCACTCTTTCAGTGAACTGTGCGCCCGTGCGCAAGGCATTGGCCCATTTGGTATGAACATGCTCACTCTCGCTGCTATGAATGTTCTGCCAAGGATCTCGAAACTTTTGCTCCTGGTGCTGACTTCTTCTGTAGGCATCAAACTTGGAATTGGTCCAGATCACCTCGCCACTCTGGGGTTTCGCCAGGAAGAGATGCAATGGGATAGAATTAAGCATCAGCTGGGCTATCGTGTCAGAGAACGGGCGCGGAAGCTCCCGTTGCAGTTGGGCGTACAACGAGTTCGTAGAGGCTTGACGTGATGATTGCTGGTTTGGTGAAAGGGGATTGGGCGGTCTGGTTTCTTGCAGTGGCGATGCGGTACAGAAAGATTGATCTCGTAGGTTGCTCTCATCGCCGGTGGTTGGTTTCCAGGCCGCTTTGTCCGGAGAAATTGGCGTCGATGAGTCGATGTTGGTGGTCTTCGACTTGACGAGCCGTGGTCTGTGTTGGGGTGCATTGTCTCGGGCGCTTTTATTTTGTGGGACATTGAAATAGCTCTCAGCACCTTCTCCACCAGATCGTGAAGCCACTCCTGGAGACTGATTTGCGGACCCGAATCCAATATGGCCAAGATCAAATCCAGGGGTCCCCATCGCAGAAACAGCAGGACTGAACTTTACAGACGAACGATCACTAGGGCTAGTGGTACTCGCTTGCGCGGACATTGGGTTGTTGTTGTCGCCAGCGGAGTAGTCGACGTGACCGCTTAGTCCCGCAACAAGCTCTAGCTCACTGCTTGCATCTGAAAAAGTGCCCCCGAGACCTAAAAGATGACCATAGCGGGGAGTTTCCACCTTGGATGAGAGTTGTCTCTCAAGCTGGCTATATCGCTGAGCCAAGCAGAAAGAAGTTGTCAAATGCGGCATCAGAAATGAGAGTGATTGCCTGAGGTTAGCAGGATATGGAACAATTGTGCACAGCATCGAGACAACGGCAACAGGAAATCTCACTGTCGATGAGGAATCCCGGTTAGAGTGGCCACCATGTAAAAGAGGAATATGGATAACGGTCTTTGAGTGATCGATCCCAATAGCCTCTAGTGGAAGGTTATTAGAGTAGTCGTGTGAAGGCGGATGCTTGGAGAAAGCCCCTTCATCGACCGAATGGCTTGTGAAGAACGGGTTTTGTTCTGCATGTGTGCGGGGAGCAGGTGATGGAGCAGGGGACTGGGACCAAGGAGACTGCGGAATCTGCTCATATTCATCATACTGTTTCAATCCACTGACGCCGAGGCCTTGCTGCATCGGCACAGCCCCGGTTCCCCTGTCACTCGGACCATCGACATCAGGAGTAACTTGAACCATCTCATTCGGACTGTCGGCGGACTCGGTCCAACGCTGTGGATATTGCGCGCTCTCTGTATATTCACGTGTTAAGACGGTGGGACGGGTACGTCCAAATAGCCTGACCACGCCTGTACGCTTGATGAGAGGGTCTAGCTCTACCTCCAACGGTCTCGGTATGGGAAACACGGCCTGCCGCATACTGCCGAGGAGACAGTTGAGCGTATCGTCTTTGGCTTCGGAGCTCTCACCCATCAAATGATCCGTGGATGGCGGGTTTGGGGGAGCGATATGTACGTGCTTTTTCTCGGATTTGACATTCATCTTCGAAACTTGTGGTTGGTTGGGATCGTGAGGGGCTTGGCCTTTGTTTTTATCAAACCCAGCGAATGAGTGCCGTGATAATAAAGATGGCCGCGAAGGTCCAGGTATTTTAGCCTGGGATACTGGTTCAGTTTTCTGTTGGGCGCTCTTGCGTGAGTGAGATGTCTCCGTCGATGGTCCCTTCCCTATATGACGCGCTTGAAATTCATGCAATGACGTATCCACGTTCTGGTTAAAGATTGCCTTTTGGCCCCAAGGTACGTTCTCCAAATCGGTCACATCTCCAGGGACAGCGAGTGACACACGCTCAGCCCCGTAATGCGTTTGCAATATATCAATGAGGTTGGACCACCACGCTTCGAGTCCCGCATCCGCATTCAGCTGAAGAGTGAGATCATAGAGATTGGGACTGGTAAAATTCGGATCTTCCTGGATCTGGCTATGATGAGCAGGCAAAAAGGTCGGATGTGGTTCCACGGCTTTTGGTTCTGTGGGCAGAGTTTGGGGCCCTGTCGAAAAATGAGGTTTCTCGGATGGAAGCTTCAATCTAAATGGGCCCCCACGCGCTGTTGGTTCAATCCCCATTTTGGCCGGTTTATTTTGCATGGGTGGGAAAGGATAGGACGGTGTGTGTGCTGGTTTGCGATCGGAAGGCGTCTCTGTCTGGGCACCTTTGATTGTCCCTGCCGAACCTGCCGAGCCTGCGGAGGTATTGGTATTCACGGTTGCGACTGGAGCCTCCGTTGAGGCATTGGACAAGGTATTTGACAAACGTCTCTTTCTTGGGGTATCATTCGAGAGGGCGGAGACGGGTTGGTTCTGGGACGAGACGGGTTGGGTTTGCTGCATCTGTTGGTATACAAGGAGATCTTCCATCTGCCTTCGAAGTTCCTTGAGAGTATGCGAGCTGCGACCTTGATCCTCCTGTCGCTCGGCTTCCGATCGTGCGTCCTCGGTAATGGGTGTTAGACCGACAACCTGCTCTGCAGAGTCACCGCGCGATAAACGAGATGGTTGGAGGGATGACTTCTCAAGAGCATCCACCCTATCCGCCAGTTCATCCACCAATTTTTGGGATTGGTGACCATGTGGGGAGCGGTAGCCAGGCGATCTGAGAGGCTGCATATGAGATTGGGACACCTGCGGATGTGTCTCTGTTGGCGAAGGGAATGGAGGACTCCTCTCACTATGGACATCCTCATTCTCACACCTCCAGTGGAGGGAAAGGGAATAAAAGGATATCAATAGTTGTGGATGAAGTATAGGATGGAACGATGTGAGGCGTTTTATGGCTTGACCGTCGCAAATGAGGGAGGTCAGATGTTGAGTGGGGTAGGAAGAAAAGAAAATAGATGCCAATAGAATATCGAGTTTGATCTTAGAATGATAGCCCTGGAAGATGAAGCTGAATAAAGTTGGAGGGGGCGGTGTATAGACCTAGGTATCAAAGGGGAGGGGATTCGAGAAAGAGAAAGGAAATGTACCCGCCAGGCCCATTGGATCGATATGGGAGTGGATGGGAGGAAAAAAAGTGGACTGGGGGCGTGATGCACCTGGGGAGAATTATGACGTAGGAAAATAAAAAAAAACTTGGTGGCTTTTTTCTTATATTTCTTATATATAGTTATTAGTTATATTAGTTATTACCTAGGTATTATATCGGTATTTCCTCTATAATGGATTATAAATATGTTCGTATGTTAAGAGTTGACCTTTCACTTCTTTTTTTCTCTATATATCCAAGTCTTCCCCTTAACACAATATAAAAAGAAATATGTGACGTAGCCCTATACTGTACCTGGCTTACCTGTACTCGGGACTGCGGTGAGCAATGACGATATTCGACCAAATCCAAATTTCTCCCTTTTATGGGACTGTGGGATGAAATTTATGAAATTCTATGAAATATTCCATGCTATAATAAAACTACATATGTACATACTAGAAAACTGGAATATCTAGAATCAAAGAAAGCACCGGGTCTGAGACCAGAGAATCCAACCCTATCCCCCTTGTTCAGCCTCGCATTTACGGGGAATGGGGTATTGTAGTAGGTCAAAAGCATTGTCCTGTTGCAGATGCCTAACCCCCCCCTGGGAACAAGGGGATCGACCCGCCGACGTCAACGGGGCTCCTGTGGCGCCAAATCGGCTCGATGTGGGAATGATTAGTGCATCGACGGTCAAAGCCCCCTTTTCCCGCAGGAATTCTAAAAACTGCGAAATGGATAATCTGGGGTTTGCAATACTTTATTTTATCTCGACAATATATATTGTTCCGAACGGTTGAAAGTTGAAACCTTTTCAATACCTACTACCTAAGTAGACGTTCATCAGAGATCCATGGATTCTCCTGTCGTCATTCGGCATATATATACATTCCATCTCACTTGGCTGGCTCCTTTATATGTACAATATAGTCTGGGCTCTCTAGCTGCACATATAGTTATCCCTTATTCTTCCAGCTTCTTGTGGGGCTATGCCTACTTTCATATACTTAGCTGTGGATCCTGACTGAATGAGATATCTCATCAACATTATACTACTTCCACTGCTCCGCTGGGCAAATTGCAAGCTGTCAAAAATTATTCGAAGTTGAGATTTATTCAAGTGTACTTTCCCAGGAGTCATATGTTCAATAGCCTCCAGGACTATAACCAAATCCTTATGAAAATACAGCACCCACGTAGAATGTCAAAACGCCATGCAATCATATACTCATATAACAGAACTAGCAGAGTCCTGGAGGTTCCGGCTCCAAGTCCACTGACTGTGCAGGCTCTCGGCTATTTTTGCCAGCTTGGTCACCCACATCCAAACCGCGCCGAGGATTCAACTCCCTCTGATAAACCGGGTGCTCGTTATCCTTCAAACCCGACCCTGTAGGGTCCCTCCGAATGAGAAAGCCCTGCACGCGCGCATCATTGGAATCCATCTGTTTGACAGTGCTGTCTCTGCGGTCCTGTAGAACGCGCGCCGACTTCTCGTTGACCTCACGTAGGCGATCATTGTAGCCACTATTCACCTGTCCGAGCCAGGATGCTTGAAGGGCGCCCGCAAACAGCACCAAGAGGATTACAAGCCGAGTGAAGGTGCGCTGGTCGACAACATGCTGCTGCGGTCCTTGGTGGCGGTTATGCCAGTCCTCCCAATCTTCCCAAGTGGCATTGGCGTAGATGTTCGGTCCATGTGAAGCTCGTTCTACTCTTGTATCCAGTACCGTGTGGATCCATCCAGTGCCATTTCGATCATAGGCCGCTCGTTTGATCGGGTCGGAAAGGATTTCATGTGCGTCCACCACAATTCGGTAGCGCTGCAGTCGAGTTTCAGCGGTTAATTGATGGAAAAGAGGGTGGTCTTTCAGAGGTCGGTCAGGGTGGTAGATCTTAACAAGGTCATAGTAATTCCTTTTCGTGTACGTTGCGCTGCGGGGTAGGTTCAAGACATCATAAGGAGTGAAAGATGGATTGCTGGGCCATGAGTAGTCCTGATGTGGGAACCCTGCTGCGGTGGCATAGTTACTGCGTTTGTATGGTGCCTGCAGTCCATAGCCCGTAGAGACTTTATTGTTGGAACGAGGAAGCGGGGAGACCACGGTCGAGTTCAAAATGCGCAGGCTTTGGCAATGAAAAAGATTGATTTTCTTGAACATTGTCACATGGTGTCACTTTAGTGAGCACGGTCAAAATATCCGTTGTGCTCGTGTCTTAAAGTTATCGTGAGAGGAGTAAGGTGAGGCCCTCGTGCTCCGGAACGGCGGCTTCGGGGATGGTCACGTGTGCACAGGCGTTCGAGGTTTGACCTAAAGATCTCCGACACTTTGAACGAAATATTTACGCTTACCTTTCCCGCAGTCACATTTCAACAACAATGCCTGGGTCCGACGACGACCGCCCTGAACGCCGGCGCCGAGATAGGTCGCAAGACTCGCAAGACGACCACTATTCGAGCTCAAGAAGACGCGACCAAGACCGCCGGAGCTCTCACCGGGACAGCCCTCGACGGAGATCATCCCGCAGCCCAGCTGAAAGAACCAGTCGCCGAAGTGATCGTGATCGACCTCGCCGTGAGCGCAGAGAGCGATCCTCAAGCTTAGCTGGTGAAGACCGCCGCAGGCACAGACACCGCAGCCATCGACATCATGATACCCGGGACGAATATGAAGCACGATCTTCTCGGAGGCATCGTCGTACGCGATCACGATCTCGCTCTCGCTCACCCCAAAGATCACGCAGCCCTCCACCCCGAGCATTGGAACGACGCGGTCCCCTCCCCTCACAGTCCGACGCATTCACCGACGTGGCGCACCCTTCAGATGCACCGGCGCCAGAAAAGCAAAAGCCGAACTTCAACCCCACTGGTAGACTCGCAGCCGAAAGCAATACAATTCAAGTCCAGGGTGGTACGGAGATAGTTTTGAAATACCATGAGCCCCCAGAGGCGCGCAAGCCGCCCCCCCAAGGAAGCTTGGCGCATGTATGTGTTCAAAGGGCAAGACTTGTTGGAAACGGTCGAATTGAGTGAACGCAGTTGCTGGCTGGTTGGTCGTGAGCGAATGGTGGTAGACTTCCCACTCGACCATCCCAGCTGCTCGAAGCAGCATGCAGTGCTACAATTCCGATTTGTTGAGAAGCGCAATGAATACGGCGATCGCATCGGCAAGGTCAAGCCTTATCTTATTGATCTTGAGAGTGCAAATGGATCGAGCGTTAACGGAGAGACTATCCCTGGTGGTCGTTACGTGGAAGTCATGGATAAGGACGTGATTCGCTTCGGTCTAAGCTCGCGCGAATACGTCCTCATGCTGCCTCCCAGCTGAAGAGTGATGCCTTCAGCTTTGTTGAAAGCATTGAAGCGCTACGGGGTACAACAACTTCGATGAACGGAATATGGCAATAATATTACATTTCGGATCATAAGTGATGCGAGCTTAACCTAGTCTTCGCGGGCAGACAAGGTCGAAGCCTTGAATCAATGCGGCGCTTGGCCTCCTTGGACTTCCCTTCAAGCTGGTCCATCGCCTACTTTACCTTTTCCTTAGCTTCGTTCAGTGCTTCTTCTGCCTTGCCCTTACCCTTGCCTGCATACTCGGCCGTCTCACCCTTCACCTTGCCTGCGTATTCGGACGCCTCGCCCTTCGCTTTGCCTGCATACTCGGATGCCTCGCCCTTCACCTCTCCCCCCTTTCCTTTGCTTGCTTGGCCCCAGCGCCAACGACGTCCTTGAGCTTGTTGGCGGCTTTCTCTGTTGGCAAAGTCACGTTAGCATCAGTCTGCACATTGAATGGAAGTCATGTAGATCTGTGAGATCACGTTTGAAGACGTACCGCCTGTATTGATGCCCTTGACTGCTGCGTCGGAAACGGTCCGATCGGCTTTCTTCAGTGTGTCTTTTGTCGCATCGACAGGTCCCTTATTGCAAGGGGCTGTCGCTGAAATGGAGCGAATTGCCTGGAAGCCAGGTGCAGTTTGTACAGCCACCCGGGACCGGAGGAGAGGAGCGAATCGTGCTGCTGACATGGTTTTGGAGGTGGTTTTGTAAGGGAGTGAGTGGTGTGGTAGAAGTTTCCGATAGCTCAGGCTAATTGGCGTATAATTGATGAAAATATTTTATGGATTTCCCCAGATCAATGCAGGGTAGCTTGTTTAAATAGGTTCGAGCTTTAAAATGTGGCCGTATCATACTTGGTTTCTACTTGGTCGCCGCTCAGCGGGTAGTTGGTTTTCGGCGACGTCATGAGTATGTAGTCCACTTCTTACGTCGATGGACAGTCAGCTTTGGCCTGATTTCCAAGGTTTCCTTTGCAAATCAGGTTTGCTCATGGGATTTTATACACGTCCAAATCCGGTTTTGAGGTCATTTTTGGAGTCATTGTTTTCTGGCTGATCGACGCTCTGGGACAGCAACATGTACAACATATAGACCTCGGGATAGTACCCCAATTACTACTAGGGAACAAGAAGATTGCTAACAAGCACCACAGAGATTGAAGCGATATATCGTTGGATTGGATTGGATATCTGCGAAGGGGCAGAGCGGCCACAGCTCAAATGCCTGATTTTTCAGGGTTGATGCCTTAACGTATTCGGTAAGCGAGCTGCGCATGTAAGCCAGCTGCGCAGCCCAAAACACATAGTAAAAGCGATAAATTACAAATTGATATCTCAACAAAAGTGGTCTATAACCACTTCTCCTTAAAGCATACTATGTTTTAGGTGATATCCAGCCCCTTCAGGAACTTTTAAAGAGTTTTCATAACCTAGAGGTTGAGTCGATATATATTTCTACCTTGGGGCAGAGTAATTTTCAATACCATAATAATACACAGTTCCAATTAACTTAAGATTAATATATAGAGATCATAAGCCTTATCAATAGCTATCGACAAGCAACTAAACCAGAAACAAATGTGGTTGTTCAGATATCAAGTTATAAAATATCGCATTTACTATGTGTTTTGGGCTGCGCAGCTGGCTTACATGCGCAGCTCCCTTACCGAATACGTTAATTTGCCTAAATCTGCCTGATTTTAGACTGGCAGAAAATGAAGATACCTGAATTACTATGACATTTCGCTTAATAAGCAAAGTACCTATCCATCCATGGATGGATGTTCAGCCCGGTAAAATGAAGCTATTCCCACCATCTAAATCCTTAGATTTGTCTAATTCTAGGCGTTGAGGCTTTCCCACAGCGTGGATCTCTATGTAAACCTCCATATTAGGCAATATGAAGCTATTCCCACTATACAGATCCTCAGATTTGTCCTATTCTAGGTATTAAGGCTATAGGAATAGCTTCAATTTCGTGGTTTATACGGTCGGAAAGCTTCAAAACCGATAGATTTAGACGGTGAGAATGATATCGACACCTGAAATTTGATATATATGAGGATTTGTGTGGTGGGAATACTAGCATCAATTTCAAAATATGGGGGTTTTGTACGGCGCGAATAGCCTCAATTTACAATACACTGTGTAGAGCGGTGTTAAAAGCGGTCTAAATTAAGGCATACATCAGGCATTCACCCTGAAAAATCAGGCATTTGAGCTGTGGCCGCTCTGCCCCTTCGCAGATATCAAGAGCAATTGACTCATATTCTAAAACTGCGAGAACATCATCACCTTCGGAAAACTCCGACATAGTGCTTGGAGACGGATATACGGGTAACATCTACAACATAGTATTTACCATATAATACAGACTAGTAGTCTTGTTAGTAGTCATTTTGGTCTTATCCTTCAGGAGTCTTTTTAATGGCCTTATTAGTAGTCTTCTTAATATAGGACCTTGGCCCAGAAGATCCAAGGATATCCCTTGCTGACTACAGTGGGATTTTCTAGACCACACTCTTCCTGTACCTGACTCGAATGAATCTCCGAGCATATCACCCGTAGATAACTATATGAATGTAACGTGATGACTAGGTAGAAGGGGAAGAACCTAAACAGAGATCTCGAGATACTCCGAAATATGTGGCCGAAGTGAATCCCAAAACCAGGGTGTCCTGGTTATAGTCTGTCACCGCTAGTCTAAGTCGCCATACACTAAAATATAACCACATGAATCGAATGCTGGGACCAAAGCTCAATGGGGGCCCTAAGACGAAGCCTGATTGCATGTCTTGCGTTTCTTTCATAGCATCGGCCCGCTTTGCTGTTAAACTCTCCGTGAACAGGGCTCGTCACTTCGGAGTGTGTCAGGGTAAACTTACGACTATGCGTCCATGTGCCAGGATCCCAATTCGGATATTGTGCAATCAAAAGAATGAACTCTAGGATTGTCTCAAGGTCCAGGGCAACCCCAACTTGGCCAAGGTTCGGAGTCTCAGATTAAGAAACAGGATATAGATACGTCTCAACCCTCATATATATAACACTTTAATCTAAACAAATCGCTATTGTATTTTAACACGTTGGGATCTCGCGATGCTTAGATCACTCTATAATGAGAGCATTTCATCAACGATCAGTTTTGCCTCAAAATGTAGGGCAAACCCAATCTGGAAAGCGTCCGAGGTCTCATCATGAGTGATCCAACAGTCTGCAACAAATCAGATTTGAACTGCGTCGAGGTGAAACCTTAGATTTAGATGGCAATCTAGATTCTCTGTCCCACCCAACTATGAGAGTATGTATACACCAGTGTGACCCTGGGATCCAAGGTCCGTAGGCAAACTACCAAGATGACTTCTGTAGTTATAAGAAGAAGATATCAAAATGATATACATTCAATAAATGCATATTAATTTCCATTGACTACCTACATATGTAGGTATTGCCCAGATCTGGTGGCACCTTGGCGACCCAGTAAATAAAGCTTGAATTGGATCAAGCTCCCGTGGTCATTCATATCCGTGACTTACTGGTTCTGCTAGAAGCACATCTCGGGCTGAGTGCATCTACAGACTTATCCAGTCTTATCTCAACAATTCGCATTATATCATTACGTTTGAAACAAACAACACGCAGTGAACTTGCAGAGAACTCACACATATCTCCCGCATGGCTCGCATGTAGCTCACAGAAAAGCAGATGGAATAGAGATATCCATGAATGAATTTGGCAGAGAAGTTGTATATAGTGATATAGAGAATACCGGAACATACTGGATATAAAGGGAAAGATATCAAATAACAAAAATTCCCACCTGTTCCTTCCAATCGGCGGAAAACCTTGGAAGGTTCCTGGCCCTCATGTCAGCGATGGTTAAGTTCACCTGGGCAACCCTGGAAACGTTTTCTTCTCTCCTCTCTCTCTCTCTCTCTCTCTCTCTCTCTCTCACCCTTCTCTCTTTCACCCTTCTCTCTTTCACCCCCTTCATCAAAACATCTGTTTTGCTTTTTCTCTTTCCCGCACTCTGTTCTCACTTGATCTATCTCTACTGCGTTGCCCTTCGGTGCACAAAGTCACTCGCTGAAAATGGAGTCCACAACACACTCCAGTCACGTTGACATTTCTGAGCAACACGTCGAGAAGACGTTGACCGGTGATGTCCCCACCGAGCAGGAAAAGGTAGGCCAAACTGAAAAGGCCGAGCTCAGTGCCGAGCACCCAGCAGACGGACCTACCACGTGTGAGGGCCCCCAGTATCCAAAGGGTCCCCAGCTTGCTTTGATCACACTGGCATTGTGTTTGGGCGTGTTCTTAGTTGCTCTTGGTACGTCCACACTTCCTTGTCTTCTAGCCATTGGAAGTTTACCGCAGGGCACGACTAACGCATATTCTCTTACCCTATAGATAACAGCATCATTGCTACCGCAATCCCAAAGATCACGGTCCAATTCCACAGCCTCGAGGACGTTGGCTGGTATGGAAGCGGTATGTCAGAGGCCGAGGTGACCTAGGTGATGGGGCTGAACTGATCCTTTTTTTTTTACTTTTTCAGCATACCTTCTCACCACAGCTTCGCTCCAGCTACTTTTCGGAAAGTTTTACACCTTTTTCAATGTCAAATGGACATACCTCTTCGCCATTGGCTTGTTCGAGCTGGGCAGTCTCATCTGCGGCGTTGCCAACAGCAGTCTGACACTTATCATGGGCCGTGCCGTTGCTGGCATTGGGTCCGCGGGAATTTTCTCGGGCTCGCTCATCATTGTTGCCCATTCGGTGGCCCTGAAGAGGCGACCATTATACAATAGCTGTATCGGCGGCATGTTCGGCATTTCGTCCGTGGCTGGGCCTCTGCTCGGCGGGGTTTTCACCGACAAAGTGACATGGCGCTGGTGTTTCTACATCAACCTTCCAATCGGAGCCGTCACTGTTCTGGTTATTACAATCTTTTTCACTGCCCCCAACCCCCCATAACAAAGAATCGACATGGGCGGAGCGCATTAAGAAGTTTGACCCTATGGGTACAGCTCTTTTCCTCCCTGCCATCGTCTGCTTGTTGCTAGCTCTGCAATGGGGTGGCACCATCTATGCCTGGGATAGCTGGCGTATCATTTTGTTGTTTTGCTTTTTCGGTGTTCTCATTCTCGTCTTTCTATTTGTCCAGTACACACAGAAAGACAATGCTACAGTGCCACCACGAATTTTCTTCCGCCGCACTGTTTGGTCGTCTGCCCTTTACAGTTTCTGCCTCGGTGCTGCCTTCCTCGCCTCTGTCTACTTCTTGCCCATCTGGTTCCAAGCCGTGAAAGATGCCAGCCCCGTCAGCTCAGGTATCATGAATCTACCCATGCTGATTGCCGTTGTGGTTGCCTCCCTCTTGTCGGGAGCCATCGTCACCCGCATCGGTTACTACACACCCTTCATGATTCTCGGTACAATCCTCCTCTCTATCGGCTACGGTCTCATGAGTATGTTCCACACAAACACATCCAAAGCTGTTTGGATCGGCTACCAGATAATTGCCGGGGCCGGGGCCGGTGCTGGTATGCAGCAATCTATGATCGCTGTCCAGGTTGTTCTTGATCTTTCTGATATACCTACTGGCACGTCCATCATCGTCTTTGCCCAGACTCTTGGCGGTGCTCTCTTTGTTTCTATCGGAAACACCGTTTTCAGGAACAAGCTTGTTGAGTATCTCGCCAACTATACCCCCAACGTGGATACGGCGTTGATCCTCGAGACTGGCGCCACTGGCCTTCACAGTGTCGTCGACAAGGCCGACCTACCCGGAGTCCTGCTTGCTTACAATGACGCTCTCACCCAGACCTTCATTGTCGGTGCAGCTGTGGCCTCCATCAGCATCATCGGTGCTTTGTGTGTGGAGTGGAAGAGTGTCAAGGGAAAGAATATTACCGCAGGAGCAGCATGATTGATTTTCTGCGACCAATTTCTTCGTTCTAGCTTATTTATTGCATGTTAGGATCCCTAAATTCTTTGAAAAGGAACCCCTTTCCAATTTCATGTACGTATTAGATGAATTGAATACCCTTAGGCTCATTTCACTTCTTCGTTAAATGTAACTCCCTGCTTATCGGCCAGTGATAACCCTAAACTGCCACCCGTGGACCTCGGGAGCTGTGCAGCTGGGCAGCTAACCCAAGACGTCTTAGCGTCCTGTTAACCCCAGATAAGCAGCGGAGAACATCGAGTTTCAGGTTGACTTCACAATATCTTGTGATCCTGTGGCACATTCCAATCTATGAAATGCCGACCAAGCGACGGATTTTGTCCTGCCAGCCGTGTCGGCGATTGAAGACACGATGTGAGGTCCTTCCGGGTTCGAGACAATGTGCTCGGTGCATCTCTCTAAGGTGGGTGGCCCAATACAACCCCGTCTTTTATTGAGGATTTGCTGGGGATTAATCGGTCACCAATTAGGCTTGAATGCTCTCTTCCATCCACATCTGCTATCACTAGCCCAGATTCAGCGTTCATTGGTAGATCAGAGAGAAACTCTGCGCAGCCTACTACATGCCATTGTGCAGCCCGGTATTGCTAACTCCGCTTGTATAGACCTAGGCTCTGATTACTGACTGATAACTACCAGGCTTGATGCTATCGAAGCTTCACTCGCTGAGATGAAAGAATTACTGAAATCTCACCTTCTCGGCAATGACCGGTCTATGACAAGAGACCCTGCCAATGAAATGCGAGCCATGGGCAGTAATTTAAACCCAGCAAAAGATATTAACGATAGCAAAGCCAAAGCCACTATGCACGTGCCCTCAGAGACAGATATATCGGCAACCACCGACATCCAACCAGCACCGATCACAGTCGTCCGCCACGTTGGAAGTCTAATCACCGAGCCCGTAATAACCGGGGAAAACGACACGCTCCGGGGCCATATGACCGAAATGGGCTTGGACTCGGACAACTTCGCCAGTGTTCTTCAGCACGGCTTCGAGCAGATAACCTCATGGTACCCACTTCCACATGGAACCCTGGCGGTTCTCAAACAGGAGCATCCTCTGCTCTTCGCCATATGTCTTCTAGCAGGTATGCGAGCAACGGCCGGTCTAAACCGCACCAACTTGCACATAACCCTTCATACATTGGTCAAGACCCACTTGGGCAAGAAGACTCTAGATACGCCCATCGATCTCTCCACCATACACGCCATGCTTATCTTCAGCGCCTGGAGCTTTGGGCCTCTCGTGCCAGGTGGTAGGTATATTGATAGCTGGCTGATGAGCAGCACGACCATTACCCACTGCATGCTCAGCTTTCCTCTATCTGAGCTTGTGTCTCTGGTGGGCTTGCACGATAAAACGAGTCGGAACATGTGCAGGATGTGGATTCAGGCGTCGCTGGTGCATCTGAAGTACGTACCCTTCGAAGTTACAGTGATAAACCCCGTGAGACACGTGAAGATCACAGCTGACTGGGTTTCAAGATACGCAATTGGCACCGGTCGGCCCTCAGTGGTTCCATGCGAACGTCTTCATCCGTGGACGGAAGTTGTCAAGTATCCCGGGTTTGAAACGTTCGACCACATCATTGCAGCAGAGCTCAAGCTCTACATTCACCTGTACGAAGCCATCTATCACACCGTCAGTTCAGTGTCAGAGGCTTGGGAGATGGTCAATGGATGGGGACGCAAATATCTTGGAGGTGAGCAAGCTAATTTAACCGTGCTGGCAGGGTTTCCAAAGCTAACTTCTAAACACAGAAGGCAACAGTATCCTAAGATGGGCGCACTGTTGTGCATCACTCATTTTATCTCGATGGGAACTAGCAAAGCAGAATAAGTCCACGCCTCCCGACGCTCTGATGCGCAATGAGCGTATCAACGGGCTGACCGAAACGGTCATTCGTCATGCTCAGCTGGTACTGAGAGAGATCCTTGTCCTCTGTACCTCTGATACTGCGTTTGTTAGACCAACATACGACTACCTGCTTACCGCATATGCGGGCGTGACTCTAGCAGAGTACTGCGCGAGCATATCAGATGTGCACGCGACATATACGTTGATGGAAGATGTTCGGACGCAGGCTAGGATCCCCAAGAGCATCGAGGGAGTATTTAGCTGGGCGACGAATGTCGTGCAGAAGAAGGCAAAGGATCTGTTGGATTCGAAAGTGGCAGTAGTTCCCGATGACACCTTTTATACATATGCAGGGCCGGTCGCAGACTGGGCGCCGTTTCGGTTTATCGACTCGATGCCTGCTTCTGAATGGGACGGGATGAATGGCTCTATGCAACAATTTTGAAACCTATACAAGTCGCATTGTCTATTATCTGCGGGTAAATTAAATTGGAATACATCTCTCTCCGAGTAATTCTTATCTTCAATCAGAAATGGGCTTTCCGTGTGCGAGTTCAATTCGGTTTCGATGCCACTACACGTAAATGTTAGACACGTCCAATGCCGGACAAGTATAGATGAGGATAGGGCTTACTTTTCCACAAGAGATAGGCCCATAAAGCGCAGGATGATCCTCATCAATACACGAGGGCACAACCTTACAAACCGAATCCGGATTGAAGCCCAGGAAGAAAGGCATCGAGTACCTGGAGGTAGGCTGACGATTATAAACCCTATGCACCGTGGACTTGAACCTATTATTCGAAAGACGCTGGAGGAAATCGCCAATATTAACCACCAGCGTGCCAGGTATAGGCCGAGCATCGAGCCACTCGTCACTGGCAGACAGGACCTGCAAACCGCCGGACATATCCTGCCACAGAAGAGTGACGCACTGGATATCGGTGTGCGAGCCAATGCCGACGTCGACGTCGTCATTGTTCTCCTCGAGTTTATCGGCTGGCGTAGCGGGGTAGTGTACATAAAGCCCGTCTGCGCCGGGGTTCGTGGTCACCGCATCAAAATAGTCTTCTGGCATATCGAGAGCGAGCGCGAAGATACGAATCATCTTGCGCGCGAGTGTGAGGCGCCGATGATAGAATTCAATTGTTGTTTCGTGGAATCCAGGCAGATGGCTTGTTGTATCCCATGGGAAGTCATCGTCACTGGACAGTGCGTCCGGGTCGGAGACAGTTGGATCGTTTTTGGGATTGTAGCGCAGAGAGAATGTCTCTTTGCGATCTGGTCATCATTGTTAGTCATTCCCAATATAGCAAGGATACACACCCTGCATAGGTGTGGGAGGTGTGTTTACCCCTTGTTTCGGTTTTATTAATCTGGGTACTCCCCAGCCCATGCCATCCATCTGCGTTCTTTTGAGTCTTGCTTGTTGCTAGCTGTTTCTTTTCAATTGGCTGGTCGAAGAAAGCTTTCGCTTGGGATAGGGCATTCTGAATGAGTTCTTCTGAGATCCCGTGGTTTTTGATATAGAAGAATCCCGTGTTCTCAGCCGCTGCCTTGACTTTGGACGCGATGGTCTTTCTCGCCTCTAGATCCTTGTCGATCGAAGCGATATCTATGACCGGGATCTCATCCTCCGTTGGTAAGCGAGGAGGGGCAGTTGACACTCGGCGGAATTCTGGCCCGCTGAGCGTGAGGAGTTCAATTTCAGTGTACTCGACTAGGGTTGCCATGATTAGTGCGACATACAACAATGGCCAACACTAACTCGAGGATGCTGAATTTATTCCCGGTTGTTCTCCCCGCAATATGTTCGGAAGATTAGAAGGTCAAAAATCCACCGATAACCGTCGGAGAAGCGTTGCACGGCAATCGCCGAGGTTATCTCCATAAGGCCACATGCACATGTGGTTGGCTGTAATGATAAGCCAAGATAGGCTTACTTTCTGTACTTTTGCTCTTGTGAGATAGCATCGATACCTCTCTGGATAGTGTTATGAGTGTTTTGCAGGTCAGTGGACAGGCGCGGGTGGTTCCTTATCAACCCATTGGCCACTCTAAATAGCCAAGTAGCCCTAATAAACACGATATATCCTGCGCATACTTCCCTGTCACCCCCTTCCCCCCTTTATTCACGTTTCAGAGCTCATCAATAAGATTAGCACTCGAATTCGACCATCTTTATCTTTTACCTGTTCTCCACTCTCTATCTACCCCCACCCGATATACAATCTCAACCATGTCCAAGCTATCGCGACTTCACGAAATCCTAATAGTGAAAAGAACTCAACGAGATGGCATCGCTCGCCCCGTTGCTATGCTTGACAATGACTCTATCCGACCAACACCAGTAAAGGATCGAACATGGTCCCAACTCACTTACATCATGTTCTGGTTCTCTGCGACTGCGAACGTCAGCAATCTGTACACAGCTTCCACGGGAATGTCCATGGGATTGACTATGTGGGAAGCAATCGGATGCTCCTTCGGTGGTCAGATTCTTGCCGGGGCCTTGATGGCTGTTAATGGGCGTGCTGGCGCCATGTATCGCATTCCGTTCCCCGTTCTTTGTCGCTCCAGCTTTGGGCATTGGGGAGCACTGTGGCCGACTTTTAATCGTGCGGCCATGTCGGTTGTATGGAACGGTGTCAATTCCGTTCAGGGAGGGCAATGCTTATAGTGAGTCTTCTTTTCTTAACCCGGTTCTTTCCTACAGTAAAGCAAGCGCTGAAAGTTGGGTTATTGACGTCTATTCCCAGTGTCTTTCTCCATGCTATCTTTCCTTCTATTGAAAATATCCCGGATAAGATGGGATCTAAATCGGCTTTAACTTCAGCACAAATGATGTGTTTCTTCATCTACTGGTACGTTGACTAGTATCTCAATGCTTATCTATTGCTAACCAGTCTCTGTAGGCTTATCAATTGCGCATTCTTAGTGGTGCCTGTACCAAAGATGAAGTCGCTCGTTTATATCAAAGTCGTCGTCTACTTTGGCGCAGCCTTTGCTATGTTGGGATGGACTGTGTCTCTCGCTGGTGGCTCTTTGAAGTCAATCAATGCACCCTCGGAGATAAAGGGCACCGAGAAAAGTTATCTCATATTCAAGTTCCTCTTCTTGGGACTCGCGAGTTGCGGAACTTTTATCTCCAATGCGTCCGATCTCCAGCGATATGCTACGAAGCCTAATGACGTCCTCATTGGCCAGTTTGTTAGTTTCCCGCTGTCGAACTTCTTGGTTGCCGTTTTGGGAAATCTCATCGCATCAGCTAGCAAAGCCATATTTGGAGAGGTTTGTTATATCAAGTCCCTTGTTAAAAGGAGCTATAGACTGACGAAGCTCTCTAGCTCATCTGGAACCCGCTGAACTTCTTAGATAAATTGATGGAAGGAGAGCGATACACCTCTGGCAACCGCACGGCCTGTGCTTTCATTGCTCTGGCATTCGTTTATTCGACTGTCTTCTCTGCCATTTTTGAGAACTCCATCCCGTAAAGACCCGTTGTCACCCTTTTCTATGCCTATGCCAAATACTAACAATCCTCAGCGCGGGTAACGATATTGCAGCCCTGCTACCAAAATACATTTCAATCAAACGAGGATTCTTCATCTGTGCCGGTAAGAAAAGAATCAAAGAAACTTGAACAACCCCATTTGTCTCAACACAAACTAACAATCGAACCCAGTCCTCTCTTACGCAATCTGCCCCTGGTATCTCCTCGCATCAGCCTCAATCTTCATCACATTCCTCTCCTCCTACCAAATATTCCTATCAGCGATCACCGGCATTCTCATCTGCGACTACTACCTAATACGCCGAGGGCTACTTAACATTCCAGCCCTGTACGTCTCACGTCCAAGTCCGTACCGGTACTTCCACGGATTTAACCCGCGAGCATTCTTGGCCTACATTATTGCCGTTGCGCCGAACTTTTACGGGTTTCTTTTCCAGATGGGTGTCGATGCGCCTCTAGCCATCCAGAGATTCTACTATATCGCTTACCCCACCGGCCTGATAATCGGATTTGTCGTCTATTACGTGTCATGTTTGGCTTCTGCTCCGCCCGATATGAAGCAGGCATCTGGATGGATGGAGCCTAAAGAGTTTGTGGAGGATAGTGATGTTTCCGGGATTGATGGGGTTTCTACTGATGGTCTTGAGCCCGGTTTTGCGGAGAAGGGGGCTGTTGCGGTTACTAGAGCAGCAGCTAATGGCGAAAAGGGTTCGTTTTAATGAGATATGTCCTGTTGGGATTTTAGGGTGTTTATGTTGAAGGAAGCACATTAATTTTTGATACTGTAATCTAATGCCTGCAGATGGTGTACGCAGAAAATGTGAGATCTTCATTTTATTTATACAGTCTACAGTTTCTCTAGTCAAAAGAAGGTGGAGACTGTATGGCAGATATCTGCCTCTGTTACCTCTATATGCACAATTTAAGATCCATTTTACGCTGTCGAGTCCACTGAGAAGACTACGGCCGACTATTCTTATTATCGGAATTGAGATATTGTAGAAACTGACCCTATATAAGTCGATATTGTAGGAATTAATCACTAAAACTTGTACGAAGAAGATAATAGCGAGTTATTGGTGTGGAGGGCTGTCAAAACTTAGTATAGAAAAATACGATATGGCGCACTGGCAGCTATATTTCGGCACAATGGGTTCCATGATCCACTTAGTGGCTTTTACCAGCCTCAAATAACCTGGATAAAATGTGGCGAACCAGGCCAGCGGTAATTAGAGATTATCGGACTTCGCTGCATAATGGACATTGGATCTAATCGAACTGAGAGTTGTAAATACATATTAAATGCCTCAAGCCACTGCCATTCGTCTACAACGACGGTGTATTGGCAAGGATATTACCCATCATTCTATACCAGCCATCAGTAAGGAAGCTCAGGCATTAAAAAGGGCAAAAGGCAACTTACATAGCAGGGTATCGAGTGCCAGCAATCTCCGTTCGCTCTACCAAGTCCCGGAGATCCTTGACCTCCTTGTCCGTCAGCTGCAACAGAGCAGACTTGGTGTTTTCATCGACCCTCTTAGTGGATCTGGTTCCTGGAATGGGGAAGATGTCGGGTCCCTGAGCAAGTAGCCACGCAATGGCAACCTGCGCAGGGGTGCTTCCATGCACCTGAGCCACACTCTTCAGTCCTTCCACAAGCTCCAAGATCTTTGGGAAGTTCTCCTCCGAGTACTTAGGCGCCACGCGACGGAAGTCGCCCTCGGGGAAATCAGCAGGAGACTGAATCTCTCCAGTCAATATTCCACGGCCGACAGGGCTATAGGCCACGACCGCAATACCCAACTCGCGGCAGGCTTTTAGGAGGTTGACGGTGGGTGACTCGATATCTAGAGCAAAGGCACTGTACTCCACTTGATATGCGGTAATAGGATGGACGGCATGGGCTCGGCGGAGGGTCGCTTCTGAAACTTCAGACAGGCCGAGGTATCGGATCTTTCCTTGGCTGTAAACTCAACCCGTTAGCAATGTGCCGATTTAGTGATATCGGAGAGGCGGGCACAAGTTCTCCTACTTCTTCAACTCCACCATAGCTTCAACAGTCTTCTCAATAGGCGTCACTCCATCCACACGGTGGCAGTAGTACAAGTCAATTGTGTCAACACCAAGTCTCTTGAGGCTTTTTGCGCAAGCCTGCTTGACATATTCGGGATCAGAGCGGACAGTCGTGCCCACGTTCGGGTCCCGCTGGATAGCAAATTTTGTAGCAAGGAAAATGTCGTCACGCTTGCCAGAGCGCTTGAACCATTCGCCAACGATATCTTCACTATCGACATACACATCGGCAGTGTCCCAGAACCACTGTCCAGTGGCATGCGCATGCTCCAGCAAAGCGACCTTTTCATCAAGGGAGCCTGCTGGACCATAGATGCCACCGATACTCATCAGGCCCAGGCCAACAGCAGGGACCTGGGGGCCATTTCGACCAAGGACTCGAGTGGGGATAGACATTGCTGGGTGGAGACTTCAGGATATATGATCAGAGGGAGAATGTTTATGAACAGAACAACACGCTAGGCTTGGGAGGGTGACACTCCTTAAATATGTGCTCACAGAAGAAATTAAAGAACTAACAAACCACTCCAGTGCCGGGATCCGTTCAATGAGTTACAATTTATGAACGCAATTAGAAGCATAGTTATCTTTTATGATGTATTTTGGCGGAGTTAAGCACGGAGTTAACGACATCGCTCAGAATCCACATTGACGCACCACGATCAACCTGCTGCATTTCCGACCAAAGCAAATAAGTAATCCACTCTCTCTTGGCTATATATCCGTGGAACAAAATACAACAACTTTGCTGGTCGGTTTCACTCGGATTCATAGGACAACTTATTTTCCAAACCAGCCCCTAAGCCGCTACTGGGTATGCAATTTGTCGTATGTCAAAGATCACAGGGGCCGTCGTGATCGAGAATCTGGGGCGAAAAGGACAAGAACTGCCTTGGTTTGCTGAATGGATATTCCTACTCGCCATGCACGCGTCAGCCATCTCCATGGCAGCAAAGCGGCTCGCAGCACACCGCAGCCTCGGAAAGCGAAGCCCATAGGTACAGTAGTCCACATATAACCTAGTGGGAATTCCATGGAGTGTACTTGAACGAACAGGTTCCACTTCCCTAGTGGCACGATCTCCGTCCTTCGAGCAGCGACGGCACCTAGGAGTCCCTAGGATCTGCTGTAAACATGCTCCTTTTAGCTTTCCGACTTCTTGGACGACTAGTAGAGCTCATCCATTTGGCCGGTCAGCATCGGCTTCAGTCTCTTCCCCGTTGCTCTCGATCTAGTGGGCTCTATCCGCTTCAGCCGCCTTCGCTATTGCTTCAACAGTATACTCATCCGGGTCCCACTCCAAAACCCTGGTTTTCATCTCTTCCAACTTCCTAGCAACCAGTTGCTCCATCTCCTGTATTTCCCGTTCACCCAGTAGGCCGAGCCTCTCCTTCCAAGCTGTCTCGGAATTTTCAGCAGCCTTGAAAAACATCGGATCGATTTTCTGCCAGTAGATTGCGTCGAATGCAAAGCTATGCAACGCCGCATACACGATCCAGAAAGTTCCACTATCCCAGCTCTGCTGCATATGGCTAGAGAGGCGGTCGTTCTCCTTCAAGTGACCTTTTTGAATCTCTGTGTCTTCGCAATCTCTCATCGCTCTCAGAAAAGTCTTCAAGCGGTGTGCAAACACATCCTCCCAGTCGTCTATGCCATTTGGCCAGAACTCGGGCCTCTCGATAAGCAGCCACCAAGGCGGCGCATAAGAAAACTCAACTGGCGCTGCATATGCGAACTCCCAATCTACCACTCCAGCAATTTTCATGTTCTCATGGAGTAGTACATTCGCCGGTCGGAAATCGTCACACCAGAGTTTGAACGGGCCGTGCTCAAATGGCGAAACGATAAGTCGCTTTTCTCTAGCGAGCTTACGGAAAAGCTGTCGCGCCACAAATTTGCGTCGACAGTCATCTGCTGACTCCACAGCATCATTCCTCTGGTGCAATAGGTGCTCGATGTTAAGGTCCGCTAGGGCCTCAAGATAAGAAGATGTTGTACTGAATATGGTGTTCGGAAGCTTAGAGCGTGGTAGGCAACCTAGTCGTACTAGTTCATTCATATTCATTGATAAGGGTCGCCGCGATACTTCCCAGGTGAAGTCATCGATCTGAGTGAGAGATCCTATACGGGGAAAAGAATTCTTGAAAAGCTGGAGTAGGACACCCGCTAGCTGACCATATAAAAACTCAAGCGTATCCTCGTTGATATTCGGGTCTAGAATTCCACGCTCCTCTTTCGGGCATCCGGGAGTATTAAGAGCGCCGTACATATTTGCTTCGTGCTCGACATAGTCCATCATAATAAACGGGCTTAGTTCTAGAGGGCTTTCCTCCTTCGTCCCCGAGTGAAGAATAAAAGGAACAGATATCGACGTCTGATCTGCTAGAAATCGCATTATAGCAACTTCGTTAACGACTTTTTTCTCAGGAAGAATACGGCACCGGGCTGCGATAGCCGTATAACCACAGAATTGTTTTGGTACTACATCCGTAAGGAGATGTTATAAGAACCTTTCCCGAGTATAGTAAACTCGGTACCGTCTCCTCTATGGTGCTTGAGGATGAACATCGCGATCGGTTTCTTGATTTCAAGTTTGAGGAATTGAAGCAGCCAATTGTGAGATACCTTCTCGGCCTGTTCCCAGGCCATATCGTTGGCGTGCATTGGCATTGTGTGCATTGTGTCGCTTGAAGCTGGATAGAATAGTTCCTTGGAAGTAGGTTGGAAGGTGGGGAAGTGAAACCATGGATCCCAGCTCCACAGCAAACTCTAACCACGATAGGCTTGGCACAGTGCCCATACTAAATTGTGATAGCCTTCCAAACCACTATTTTACTATTACCTCCTTCTACAACTAGTAACTAATTCCTACAATATCAATTTCTATAATAATTTGTATTGTGAAGCCCTGGCGAAGCCTAGCACTGCCTCTACCGTCCTAATTCACGACACGCTGTTTGGTTTACTCGCGTTCTTTTAAGCCCTCCGAGCAGACTCGGTACGCTGACAGACAAGTATGATCAAAGTTCAGATACGGGTCCACTCGGCACCACAATGTGCTGAACAGCGTACAAGCCAAATCTGATAAATCTCTGTAAACATAAGCCGCCCTATAAGCCCTTGACGTGCCTGCGGCTTAATCCTCATGCACCTTGACCACGACCTTGCCACGCGCACGCTTTGTGGCGATGCGCTCGTAGGCGCGTATAGCGTCCTTCATCCCGAAGACAGAATCGACAGGGATACGCAGGCGGCCCTCTTCAATCAAGCGTGCTAGATAGACTGCGTCATCACGCGATGGGGGCGTGCTGAACATTATATAGCGACGCGGCACGCCGCCCAGCCATATGGGCAGCCAGCTGTTGAGCAGCACGTTGCACGCCGTCACATATATGCCCTCGAGCATGCCGATATTTACAACGGCACCCTCGGGCTTAAGATAAGCTGGGGAGTTGGCAAAAAGTGCTTGCGTACCGACGCAGTCAAGCACGAAGTCAAACGGCTTGTCGCCATACTGATGCGCTAGGTAAGCTGGAAGCGGTCCATGTTCGCGGTAGTCGATGAACTATTTGTATGTTAGTCATTTCCTTGTGCAACGTTGACAACTGTGCCTACCTCATCTACACCCAGCTCACGAACCATGGCCTCGTTGCCTCCACTAGCAACGCCGACCACCTTTGCACCACGCAGCTTGCACAATTGCACGAGTACCGAACCGACCGACCCGCTAGCCCCATTCACGAGCACCGTGTGGCCTTCGCGCACACCTGCTGTGCGAATCATCTTGAGCGCGGTGCTACCGGCCCCTATAATGCCCGAGGCCGACGCCATGTCAATACCGTCATCGATACGTGCGACCTGGCAGCCAGGCAGTCGTACATATTCTGCCAGCACGCCGTGGCCCATAACCACGGCGCTAGGAATGTTCTGAAAGGCAATGACGTGTGAGTTAGGATCGCGTACTTCTGCCGGTGCACCCCCGCCAGCTGCTACTACCACGCCGGAAAGTTCAATCTCCGGGACCCACGGGCTGGTGAAAGGCAGTTTAGGCAGTATCTTCATCATCATCTCACTGCTGTACTGTAGTGACACGTTTGAAACGCGGATTAGGACGTCGGGTGACGAACCAGTGGGCACCTCGGGCGTTGGGTAGTCGGTGGCTAGCTCAAGCGCGCTACAAGCAGGGCCGCGCCGCCGGCGTACCCAGGCACGCATGGTCGGCGGTACGGTTGGGAGCTGCGTGTTCGGTGTCATTCCTTCTGCTATTGGTGTGCGGTGAATAAACGAAGGGGACAGTGCACGGTAGAAGCAGGGAGACTAGGGCGTTGTTGCGCGATTTGACGCAACAATGAAAGAGCTGGTACTGTAACGGGGCAAAAAGAGAAATGCGGTCGACGGGTCTGAAAGCTACTGTTAAGAGCTTCTTACAAGAAGAACGGACGAACCGGACGAGGTTAACGGACCAGACGTTTGGGGAAAACGCCACCAAATCAAACCTGGCTAGCCCCTGGAGCTCTCCGATGCTTACACATCTATCGTCACTCCCAGTTTTCTTCTTTTCTTCAATATTTGGTTGAAATTGTCTTTATACGGCATGTAGCTAGCTTAACTGCGCAGTCATAAATTTTGGGATACAAAAGAAACCGAGTTTAGCGGGTGATCTACAGTCTCTCTCTTCCACTTCCTTTAACGTGTTTGGAGTTTGCAAGTGACAGTTTGGAGCTGGTGCGGTGTTTGGAGTCTGGAAGGGCTCAGGATCGAGGTTGATATGTCCGGAGTATGCAATCCAGTGGATTGGGAACGACACGTTGCGGAGTTGGCGTGGAAGGTAGCGTGGAAGGAGCCTCTCTTTCGTGTCTCGTGACTTTGACCCTAAAAGACAACGGATCAGTTTTCTGCCACTATTCGTAGATTGGGCATTGCCTTCTGTAGGAAACTGCACTTCTCTCTGTGATGAAACATCGTAAACTTACCTGCTAAAATAGCACGTCCCCACCACCAACACGATGGCTCCGACAACAACACTGCCGACCAGTTCGATGAGGTCGGTATGCCAATATGCGGCCATGGCCGCGAGCACCAAGAAGAAAGCAAGAATAGACCGTGCCATTGTTCAAGATTTCAAAACAAAAAAGCTTTGGATGGTATGAAGATGGGAAGAAACAGAAGAAAGAAGAAGAGAAATCAAGTTTCCGCTGTCGTATTGGATGTCGTGGTATGGCAAATTGGAGTAATCCCAGTACATAGACACGCCTGTGCCATCAATGCGAGTCGCTCGCGTACATAGTGAGCAGGCTTTCTGCAACCTCATGCATGGGCCTGGAGGATTAATGTGAACAGTGTGTAAGAAGGAGAGTCACAAAAAGAACCCATGTGTTGGGGTTTGAAGTGTGAAGTGAGGTTGAGGTAAGAAGGAAGTGAAGAAGGATTCATAGATGTTCTAAGGTTCTTTTAAATATCACTTTAGGTAGTGGAGCTATACGCTGATGTTGCATTATCAACTCAGTCGGGAACCGAGGACTTGTCGCTTTGCCCAGACCATTAATAACTGCTAGTCCAACAACCTGATCCTGATATCTACTTGAGTTTCAATTTCCAGTACTCTGATCAGATTCTACACCCGCGGAATCTTCATCTACAACATGGATTGGTGAGATTGTTCACAGGAAAGATTCAGCAAAAACAGCAGAACAAAAAGTCAAGAATAGACAGAGCAAGGATCACAGTCGAAGAGTTCATGCGCGGGAGAAGGAACTCTGACGAGAGAAGGATGGTAAAATGGCCAACTTCTTCTGGGGTTCACCGGGTCAGACATACAAGAGTAATGTTCGTGGTCCGGAAGGGGTTAGGATATCCGAATGAGGGCCCAATTCTACATGAATGAGGTTTGGAAATTTGATTGAAAGCGTTAATGGTATACCCTTCTGTTAAAGCTCTAGATGCTATAGTTTTTATCAACTCGAAACTCCACGCCCCATGCTTTTGGGTATCACCCAAGCCTCGAAATGAAAGAAACCCTTTATGCAAAATCAGAGCAGATGCAAGATGAGTAAGTATAAAAGACAACCTTGGAATGAACGCACCAAGTAACAACCGTGTATGCAAATGCAAAAGAAGCAAGACCAATAAGAATGCAAACCTTGAAAACACACCAAACACCAACAGTAAAATATATTCCCATCATGAATACCGCACACCCAAACCAGCAGGGTGCACGGGGGAGCTCCCACTCCTCGGACGAGTCCCATATACCTCCAGTCGCGGCGCAGGCGCATAGACTTGCCCATCATGCTGAATCAAAGGACCCGACAGATTGGGATGATATAGTTGATACTGCTGAGGCCTTGGTGTCACCACACGAGCCGATTCATTGAGCCTGAGTCGTGCATCCCGCACGTCAACACGGTGTCCGCCAAAATGTAAAAATTGCACTGGCTCAATCTCCGCGTTCCAGCCGGGGTCGGGGTACTTCAGTCGCTCATCCATGGAGCCAAGCTGACCATGTGATGACGCCGGCGGGCTGGGGTAGGTGGGATCTGGCTGGAGAGCACTACCCGCCAGGGGAATTTCGGTTGTCCAGCCAGCGGCCCCGGCAATTTGTTGTTGATGTTGATGTTGCATGCTTGATGGGGGGCTTGGGATCATTTCGGCAGCTTGTTGGAAACTTGGAACGGGTGAGAACCGCGGGGGATACCGCACGGGTTCTGTGGCCCACGATTGATGGGAGTACCCGGAAGAGTCGCGCGACATCGGCTCGGGAATGGAGCGCTCTGGGGCTGAGCTCACCTGTACTTTGGCATTAGATGATGGCAATGCGCTCGGCATGATTGCGGATGGATGAGCAATGGGAGAAGGTCTAGGAGCGCCTGAGGCATTTATTGAGCTTGGTGCAAATTGAGAGGATCTTCTGAGGGTTGGAATGGCGGCGGAGATGTTCTCATCGTATGGGAGCGGTGGTGGATAAGGAAGGAGGGATGGCACGCTTGCAGATAGACTTCGTGGGACCTCCAGATGTGGCACTGAACCACGCCGAGAAGGAGCCCGGGATCCAGGCGCGGTATGTAAATCTGTTTCGTGGTGGTGATTGATCGTATTGTAATCAGGCTCACTGTAGGTTGACCGAGTGAGAGGCTCTGTCATCAATTCATCCGAAACGTCATGGTATAGCGGGGACGTAAAGGCGTAGCCCGCTTGACTGTCGAGAGACTCAGTGGACGGTTTCATCTGCAAGCCGCCATTCAGATGCAAACCGCTAGCTGGATCAAAAGCCTGCAAAGTGGGAACAGGTGGTGGGCGTTTTGCCATGGTCTCTACCTCTAACATTCGTCGGGTGGCCACATTCGCATACGTCGGCATGTTCTCTTTGTTTGCTGGTGGAGAGGTGGTCGCAGGCTGCGGGGTGTCAGCGGACGCTTGAGGATTGCTAGACCGACGCACTGCAGCGAGTGCTTTCTCAGCCTCCGAAGCTGGCACCAAAGAGCCCCCTGTTTCAGCAGCGGTTGTCCGACTTGATGATCCTTTTCCTTGGATGGAGGACAGTTTGACCAGTGGGGTGTCGAACCTGGTATCCCTAAAGCGACGAGGGCCTTTGTTCCGCTTGCTTGTTTGATTCTCTTTATTCGACCTTGGCTTTGAATGTCGATTGACCACTTGCCACTCCGATAGGCCAGTTATTGGCGGAGGACTCGATGAGGGAGGTGTCTTGTTCGGTTTTTCCGTGGTTTGACTTATTTGCGACATGGCTGGAGAGATTCGAAATTCCCCCTTAATTTCCCCATCCGTTTCATAGCCTTCTTCGGATTCATATCCAGCCTCTCTGAATATATGCGGTGGGAAAAGCTCTAGTCTGAACTGGGGAGGTGGCATACCCATCTCCTCGGGAGACTCCGCTCGAGGTGACCCGAGATCACTCCAGTTGAAGGTGGACTGGCGCGATGGACCTTCGTCTGCTGATGAACCGCGGAAGGATGATGACGAGCTGCTTGACCTGTCGAAAACCGACTTTTGATTCCGTATAGACTGCTGTGAGGAGCTTGGAGACATGTTCTCTATTTCTTTGCTTATGATCTTCGTCAACCGCCGCAAGTTCTCCCGTGTCTCACGAACGATTAATGGATGGAGGTTAATTGATGCCTTCTTTGGAAAGAGCTCAAGCAGCCGCGAAGCGTGAGTTTTGTACTCTCGGTAGTCCCGGACAAGGCCACATTCTTCGTAGTGAGCCATCCGTCCCATAGCGGCTTCGTAAGACGTGATGAGGAACCGGGTGGCAACAATCAACCAAGTATCAAAGAAACCAGGGTCATTCTTGTTCATGATCCCTTTATTCTCTTCGTCCTTGATTCGGAGCTCATCACGACAGAACCCCTGCACCACACTGTGGATCTTGACTACATCAACCACTGATTCATGACGGTAGTTGGAGAAGAATCCTTCCTGACTGCTCTCTGTCAGGGAGTCCGAGAGTTCAGGAACAGTCTTTGCATCCGGGCTCATACGATCGCCCCCAAAACGATGCACAGACGACCTCTGCTGGAAAACGTCAGCATCTGAAATCCGTTCAATCAACCCATAGTGAATGAGAGTTCCAAGTGTGGTATCAAGATCAGGGTCCTCTCCGGCCTGGGCGCTGGTCTGAATCTCCAAATTCTCAGCGGTCATAGCCGCTCGACCGAGGTTCAGAAGGCCCACTGGCACCTGGTGGCCAAGAAACGACAGAAGATTAATCAAGTGCAGCGCCTGCTTTTGCTGCAACCGAAACAAGTCGTTCATGATGCTCAAAAATGGTTCGGCAAGCTTCTTGTCCGTCACCTGAGATTTGACATGATACTTTTCAATCGGTTTACCCGTTGCGTTGAGACGGTGCCCAATTGCATGGATTGCCAAAGGCAGACATTCGTAGTGCTCAACTATCCGGGTAGCCTTGGAGATTTGCTCAGGCGTCGCTCGCGTAATCCCAAGGTCCTTAAACAGGAGCTTGCAAGCATCTTCCACTTGCAGTCGCGAGATCATCAGACAATACGGCTCGTACAGTCGCTGCTTTTTGCGTAGTGTTGTGTCGACCGAGGTGTATATAATGCTGCACTGTTTGCTCCATGGCAAAACCTCCCTGAACTTATTGATATCGTCGTCACGATCGAAGGTAACACCATCGAAGACAAGGAGCCAATCCTGACGTGTCTGAAGCCAGAGCCGGACTGCATTCACGTACTTTTCAGTCTCATGATACTCAGGGTTCACGGCCACCTTCTGTTCGATCAGTGTAGCTGCTTGAGCAATCTCCCAAAAGCACCTGTACGTTGATTCACGGGACTTGGCGTCAATCCAAAATACGCCGCCTGGGTAGCAGTCACGCTGAGTAAACACGTACTGGCGCGCTAGATGTGTCTTGCCGGAGCCTGGCACGCCGGAGATCAGTACGGCCATTGTCTTTTCCGGACGCGCCTTGGCCTTGAACAACCGATTATGCAACACTTCAAGTTCTTTCTCCATTCCGAAAAAAGTAGCATTAGGATGAAATCCTGGAGGTGCCACGAATAAAGGCGAGTCCTTGGTGGAATAGTGGGAGAGTTGGAGAAATCCACTGTTTCCCAGATCAGATACAGGGGAATTTCGGCCTTCTGTCGCAGGGGCGCGCGGTAGAGATAATATGGATTGGCCTATAAGAGAGTCAGCCAGCATGACTCTAAAAAGTGATGATTCTCATATTGAGACGATTGCAGGTCAGCTAGTTTCAGGACATGAGATGGGAGCCACCCTGGGGACAAGACGAATAAACTAAGTACAAAGAGGCAGAGCGCACTGTGGACTGTATCAAAAAGAATAGAGTGTATTTGCAAATGTATTTGGCGCTTTGACTCGGTAGCGAATGGTCAAGTCATAGACAGCATCATAAAATGACAAACGTGGGCAAACTGAGCTCGAAGTAAAAGTAAAGAATAAACAAAGACAAAAAATCAAACGTGGCTTGCTGAAAAGCTTCATCGAATAGGAGGCTCCTCAATCTCATAGTCCCTCAACGTGACAGACGCTTCCGGTGCAGGGAGAAGGTATGAAGCCGTACCGGTTCTGTTCAAATCAGGCATGCTCCGATTTGCGGAATCATCTACTCTTGCTGCAATAGTCAGCGTCAAAAAGAAGACACATCAAGGAGATACATATTTTGCAAAAGACTCACCGTCGTAGATTTCCCTTGCCTTGGCCTTCTTCTCCTGAGTGCGGGCTTTCTTCTCTTCCGCCCAGCGCTCCGTAATCACCGCAGGAGCCTGACGTGAGTACCGAAGGATCGCCTCCGCCACAACCTCATATCCCGCCGCATTATCATCGTCAAACTTGCACATGTGGCTATGGTCGGCCTCGATACCCGCCCGCTCAACACCTTCCATGTACGGCGCGGCTGAGTGCTCGTCCACGATCACTTCGCGGGTACCATGCATGTCGGTCGACCGCGTCTCATGGAAGAAGTAGATGTGGAATCGACTCATTATATCAACGAAGAGACTGTTGATGTGCTGCAGTGTTTCATTGTTGGTCCGCAGAGCTTTGACAAGCTGCGGAGACGCCTCCATAAATCTCTTAGGGAGCACAGCATTGCAGATGTTGTGCAACAATAAGCCCCATTTTGCAATGTCAGATCCATTGTGAGGTGTACCGAGGAAGAGGATGCCAAAAGTGGAAACATAGACAGAGCGTAGATGCTCGGTCTTCTCGTTTGAGAGACTACGGGAGTATATCAGGGCGCGCTTCACGATCAGACCCCCCAGCGAGTGGCAGATGAAGATGATCGGACGGTTGGAGCAGTCGCGCAACTATAACAGAAAACGATGTCAGTTTTCGAAGCTCCATCCCAGAGCAAGAAGATATCAAGGGAAAGAGCAAGCAAAAGTAAAAGTTGAGCTGTCGACCTACATTTCGATTAGCAGCGAGACTGGACGCAAGAGTCTCAGCATGGCTGACGACCGAATCGCGCGAAGCTCCATCTGTGAAAGCAGTAACATTCGCATTGTAGCCATAAGTGAGGATGCGGGGACACAGTGAGGCAAGCACGTCCGGGAGAAGGTCCGTCGGCCAGAAGCAACCGGTGGTTTTACTCGTCCAAGAATCATGAGGGTGGCCGTTCAGACCGTGAACAAAGACAATATCGATCGTAGGCTCATCGCGCGGGGTATAAATCTGCGTCAAGCCAAAGGCCTTGATGGCCTTTGGATCGGCGATACGGGGCTTGGACATAGCAATGGATGGGACAACAGCAGAGTCAGGATGCTATTGCCATAATATATGAAGTTGAGTAAAAAAGGAAGTTAAAAACCAGTCCGGCCTTTGGGGTTTATAAATGTGATGCAGGTGACTGGTAACCGGGGGCAGCCCCCCTGACCCAGGTCACCCGGACTATTTCAGTCGATCCATGGGGTTTCTGCATCGGTTGTGAATCCCGGGTGACGGCCCGCATATTATTCTCTTCTACCTTTTTTTTTCATGTCTTGGGTTTTGCCCATTGGTAGTTTAACCCGGGGGTTCCTTGCACAGCCCTGTCAGATCGGGTAACCTGCCAGGTACCGTGCCACTCAGGCCTCGAGTTGCCGTTATTCATAGACATGCATGCAGACATGTACGTGTATTATTGCATCATTGCTGAGTATGCCTTGATCGGGGTATGTTGCCTTGCAATATTCCTATATGGGCAGTGAGTCATGCAGTAGATCAAACCATGGGAAAATGAAACACCTTAGTTTTGGCCCCAAGACCTTGCAGGGTTTCCCTGTTTCTATTTTGGATCTCAGTTACACGATTTTCATCTATATTGTAGCCTATTGATGATTATATCTGTACATATGTACCTAGGTAGGGTAAGAACTACCTAGGTATGGTAGAACAAGACACCTAGGTATAGATCAGGCAGAAGTTTAAAGTACAACCATGGAAACAGAAGATATCAGATCCAATCTTGGAAGTATAGGACTAGATCCTAGTACATATTATACCTACACTATTTACTGTTTATAGTCACTGGATTGTCTTATGAGATAACTCTACTTACTACCTTTCTCTGTACCCGGTTATTACGTCTGCCCTCATGACCAGAACTATGTCCACATGACGTCTGGGGATGTTAACCAGTCTACTTGAATATTCTACTCAAGTCTATTTAAATCAATTTCACTTCTTTTGACTAACAAGAAGAATCTATACATAAAAGTCCATAGAATTATAGGACATACCATTTTGATAATATAGTCTACCTAGGAAGATCACTTTTCCTACATATTCCATCTGTCACTCCATACTCAACCCGAATCATATAACATTACCTCCCACGGAACGCCGGCTTCCGCTTCTCAACAAAGGCGCGCAGCGCCTCATACCGATCATCAGTCTCGACAACTGACTCATAGGCCGTATTCTCCGCCCGCTCACCCAGGGCATGGGCACCGACAGCCTGCATCGCCATCTTGATAGCAATAGGCCCACCTTCACAGATATCCAGGGCGAGCTTGATACTCTCCCGGAGAACACGTTCGCGCGCAACGCCGTCCTGTGCCTCCTCCTCAGGCAGCACCTCCACAAGCCGATCACAGAGCCCAATGAAGTAAGCCTCGGGACCGGTCACCCGACGGCCGGTGAGGATCATGTCCCGGGCGCGGTTCACGCCAATGATCGAAGGCAGTCGGTATGTGCCGCCGGCGCCAGGGATAATGGCGAGACGTGTTTCAGGGAGACCGACAGCGCTGGAGGATGCGAAGACGCGCAGGTGCGTGCACAGCGCGAGCTCGAGGCCGCCGCCGAGCGCCAGGGACGAGATGGCGGAGATGGTGGGGATTTCAAGGGAGGCAAGGTTTTTGAAGGTGGAGCGGAGTTTGAGGAGGAAGTCTTCGGTTCTGCATAGTCGCGTTGAGAGGTTAGCTGCATGTATTTGCGTGGGTTCGGGCTTCAAGCCCGGGGCAACAGGCGTCGGGCGCCGGGCACCAGGGCACCAGGGCACGGGGTTGTTTCTCACTCGGCCTGGCTCATGTTGGCGCGTTCTTTCAGGTCTGCGCCCGCGCAGAATGCTGCGTCTGCGTTACTCGCTATAACCAATGCCCGGGTTGGCCCGTTGCCTCCTTCGGCGGCGATGGCGTCCACATGTTTCGAGAGCGTGTCGAGCAAGTGGGTTGAAATCGCGTTGCGGGCTTTGGGGCGGTTCAGCTGCAGCACGCGCACATGCCCTGAACCTGGGGCGGGAATCTGCTGGGTCTTGATGATGTCTTCTTCTGTGCTGGTGCTGTAGCGAGAGACAAAAACCCGGGTAGGCACTGCGGTCGCCCGAAGGTGAGCGAGGGGTGCGGAGAGGCGGACAAGGCACTGTGACATGATGGTTGCCATTGTGCAGGCGATTCAAAAGATCGAGTGGGACTGACTGCACTCGACCGTAATATTAGATAAAGAAAGATAGATCACTACGCTGAAAAGTTCTCGGGTAGAAGTTGTTCTCGGAGCTCGGGTGTGGGGAAAGCTCTCGAGGCCGACGATTACCGAAAGCTACAACATGAATGGGATATATGGGGTATCATGTACATTGGAAAAAAAAAACCTCTAAAACTACAATATTATATACATAGTCACTGGCAGTACTCTGTAACCTCCGCATCACTCGGCCAGTCCCATCCTGTCCGGCTGATAAGGTCGTATGCCTCCACGATCAGGTCCGATGGTACCCGCGCGTCAATCCGTTGCTGTCGTCTTTCCAAAAACACCCTGATCGCCACAAGGGTTCGACGCATCATTTTGTCTCCGTTTGCGTGTTCGTCTGCAGCTTCTTTCAATAGATCGGCTGACCGACTCATCCAGTGCAGCAGATGCAACAACCCTTTCGTCATCTCCTACAGATCCCAGAGCCCGAACAAAGGCATGTAGCGTGGCAGGTGATGGTATCTGTAGCATCGAGGGGACATTAAGTTGTGTTCCGGAAGTGATTTCTGTTGCAAAGACACTTCGCTCCGCATGCTCCGAGGTCTTGGAGGCTGGGAGAACAAGATGATCAAACTGATGCTTCAAAACCTGCAGGGCGTGCTGCACCAAAGTGTCAACATCGTCATCACCTTCGTTTTTGGCCTTAAGACGACGAATACGAGCTTTATGAATCAGCATAAAGCTTTGTTCGGCAGTGCCAGGGTGTCTGAGAGCAGCATCAATGGCTTTCGTAAACGCCACGCATAAAATGCGGAATCCTTCCTCGCCCAGTTCGACATCACGCTGTCGCATCCAGCTCAATGCTCTGAGAGCCTGATGCCAGGCCAGTATGCGCTGAAGACTTCGGCTTCTTGAGCCATAATACCCAGTAAGGCGCTCACGGGTCAGGGCAGATAAAATGTGAGTCCAGGTCGGGGTGTAAGGAGCACGTCGCAGTTTGGTCAATTGGATCGCGTGCCATAAAGCCCTCGGGTGATGCTGGTTTCCTGGATGCTCTTCGGAATATGCGACAAGGTCAATTTCCGCCCCAGACGAGCCGTCAGCAGCTATCAAGCCCGGGAAACGGTCGGGTGTGAGTATATTCCGATTGCCGACATCCAGACTAGCAATATTTGAATGTGCGCATAGAAACTTGACGAACGATGCGAATACCAAATCCGGCAATTCATGAAAAGCTTCAAGATCCAAGGTGTGGTATTTGCTAGGTTTGGCCCGCACAATGGAGAGCGCCTCGATTTGAGCACTTGTCAGGCCACTGCATTGGAGATAATGCAATCCGGAACGCAGAGAAGTAGCAGATTGAAGAAGTAGGCCGAGGAATCTCCCAGAAGGCCGAAGCCCCTGTGCGCGCATCTGATCAAGTAACTCATCAACGGTAGGTGGTTCCGTGGGCACATAGATAATGTCACGGGCAGAAGCCGGTTCGGGATGAACTTCGCGGCCATCGCCTGGCAGAGCATGACTCATTTGGTCAAAGTCGCGTTCTATGGCGTATCGTCTGTATATTAACTTTTCAGCCATGGCAGCGTAGACGGCGCCCTTGGGGGGCAGACCATGGTCCTGATAGGAGAGAAAGCACGCCCAGGCCTCGCGGACAGTCCTTGTAGACCGAATTCGAGCAACCCATATTTCGTGATGATTGGACTTGGGTCCATGTCTGTCTGGTAAAGCTTGTGGGCGACGCATCAAAGCCCTTGTCTGCACCGTCGGGCTGTGATCTGTGTCCCAACCCGCCAAAATCGAGGATATATCCTCCCAAAGACGATGAGAGTAGCCAGCATCTTTCATTTGTGAGAGTACCTGCATCGCACGACTGAACATCCCTTCATTCCCGCGCTGAGAATCGATTCCCAGTTTCTCTTCCTTCCACGGAGGCCATGATGGGGCTTTTAGTTCAGCAGACTGGCGCTCTTCAAACGTTTTCTTATGGGCGAGCTGGACTGCAACAACTGCTCGATATCCTTGTCTTGTGACGGGAAGGACGGGCTTGTGGATGGCCATGGCTCGAAGAAGTTCAAATTGCGCTTGCTGTTGGATAGATGTGGAGCGGTAAGGAGCAATGCTGGCCGGTATAGAGAGTAACCAGAGACATTGATTAAACTTGTCAGTTTTGACGCGATCATCACGTCTAGTCACCAAAACTGACCTCTCGGCATCATTCACCCTTGGAGCTGAGAGGAAACGAGCGAATGCACGTGCAATAGTGAGAAGTGATTGTGGCCACACGCATCGAGCATGACGGATTAAACGAACTACCAAAATCATGCAGGTGCCCGAATCGATTTGAGGGCGGAAGTCCTCGGGGGATAGCTCAAGATCATGTTCGGCAACCCCGGTCAGAGTTTCAGTGACAGGGAAGGTATGTCCGCTCATGAGGTGCAAAGAGTGGATTAAGAGCAAACGAAAAGTGTGGGCATTAAGGTTTTGCTGTCTCAAAAGATGCAGCGGGATAAAAGGTGGGATGCTTGGACTAGCAGCGCGAGACTTGGCTCTGTCAGTTTCGAACAAGAATAGCCGTACCATTGCCTGGTGGGGGTTCTGGCTCTTCATGATCCAGGCCCAAGCAGCCACATCGGCGGAATCGTAGCCACGCGATGATAAGTAGTCATGACTTGTGCTTCTGAATACTTTCTGAAGAGCGATATCCAAGCACTTATCCGCACGGTTATCCGGCGCAGACGAAAGCAACGGGTCCACCTCTCGTATGTACTCTCCAAGAATAACCGGCAGTGACGGCTTTTTTGGTCGGCCAACTGTCCTCGACTCGTTCTGTGTTTGGTGTGCATATTTGGAGTAGGCCCGGTCAAGCCAGGCTGACTGGCTATCGTATCCAAGGGCGTGGCCAGTGTTTCGCAAAGCTTTGGAAAGATATTGGGCGGGCTTCGGTTTCACTCTGATGCTTGGGGTCTTTCCAAGCCTTTTCTCTCCGACTGGGCGATCCGCCGCGTCTTGGGTTAGTGTTGCGCATTGTTTGTCGAGTAAGGGATTTGACCGCTTTTTGTTGAAGTGATCATCGGATTGTGAGGTTTGAGTGTCGATTGCTAGTGACCCGGGCACATTGAGGAACGTGGTGGATTGAAAGGAACGGAAACTGCCTGGGTTCAGGCCAGCTAGGGAATTGCGCGGATAATATATGGGAAACTTGGTGTCACGATGAGGGATTGCCTATTATACGGCGAGTTATTTAGCACAGTATCCAATGGCGGGGAGAATGTAAAAGAAAATCACCTTGTATAAACGTCTATTGAGCAGGTCTGCTCTTAGCCGCGATATTCCCGAAAGGCTTCGGGCATGCTTGAAAACTGATGACATCCATGAACGTAGTCATGGGTAAAAGTGCCTGAACGCCACAGACCCATCCAATAGGCTTAAAGATGTATTTGTCTCCGAAGATGAGAGAAAGTCAAGTCAAGAATCAGAAAAATACAACCATCGCGGCAGAAAATGGGGTCACGTGATGGATCGTCAGAAGGCGCGCCATTCCGAAAAGCGCAAGTGAACGTTCCTCTCCAGCCAAAACAGAAAAAAAGAGAACACTTGACCCTATTTGTTCGAGGGTTGCCTATTGCATTGACCATTGTTCTAATACCTTGGTCTCTATTGACAATTATTTCCACCTCATATTCACCTCTTTTATTGTGGTGACGTGAAGGTTTTCATCTTCATCCCCTCGCTCTTCGCGATCCCCATCTTCTCTAAGGATTCGTGACGCCCTACCCATCGAGGTTACTTGGCCTCCGGTTGCTTTCCGAACCAAGTATCAACCTCAACACTAAATCGCCAGCAAATATCTATTTCCGCGATCGCATCCTCCCAATCTTTACTTTCAATCCTCTGATTTGTGGGGCCCCCATTCATTCGCATCGGAGGGGACCGCGTCAAAGCAAGTATCGTCAACCTTGACCTCGGCGCGACTTCGCAACCATGAGCGCCGACGAAGCTGGAAACACAACCCCCATGTCCGCCACAAATGGCGAACCTCATCCCGACCCTGCTACTAATGCAACCTCCGGGAAACGGAAGCGCTCCACTCAGGACGACAAACCGAGCAGTGATTCAGGTGCCACCGCCTCGCGCGATCGAGCAAATCTTCACGAAACTCTTCGCAGCCTGGTTGAGCTTCTACTGAAGTAAGCTTTGATGAAAGTATATGGTTCCTAGTCTTATGCTGACAAGCCACAGGCACGACACCGAACTCCAACTCCTCTCTTGTCCCTTCCCAAATACAACTGCCAAGCCTCGAACGAAGCGCGCAAAGGTTTCTGGCGATACAGAAACCTCCAACATCCAAACACGCGTCAACTCGGGCAAATACAACACATTGCAGGAATTTCTTTCCGACATCGAAAGAGCATCGGCTGCTGTAATTGAGCGCAATCAGATTCAGTCCAATGGCGCAAAAGAAGATGGGGCACCTTTGAATGAGGTGGTCAACCGGATCGCAGCATTCAAAAAACATATGAACAGCTTGATTGGGCAATCCTTCGTCAACCAACCCGAGGTCAAAACAGAGACAATGGAAGACGATACCGACGACTCAGCAGAGCTTCACGCGATCAATGTCTGCCAGCGAGAGGATAAGCCTGCCCTGACACTCTTTGGAAATCCGGCGAATCCCAAGCAGCTATTCTCAAGTCTACAAAAATCCGTGAAGGTGCCGTTGCAGTCCGAATCAGGACCTGAGAAGTTTGTTGAAGTGCAGGAGGAGCTGCGCGAGCTTGCCCTGCCTAATGGCATCACAGCCACCAAAATTATCCCTTACAACCTTGATGGTGCTCAACCACCGAAGCGAACATTCGGTGAGGTATTCGCTCCACGGGAAACATTACCAAAGCTGGAACCTCCGCGCAAGCGATCCCACCGGGCTAATTCGACCACATGGACGGACCGCTTCGACACCACTTTCGATGTCAGGACGTTTTTGGGAGAGCGTAGCAACTATTGTCTGGCACTTCTCCCTTCAACCCAATGGCTTCAATACGGTGGGGTCACATCGTCACCTTCCTACTGGGACCGTGTTGAAAAGCAGGCAGATTCGGACAATGTTCATCGACATGGCGATCCTGCCCTTTGGACTGGCCCTGATTCATCTGCCTTCCAAGGTGTCTTCTCGTCATTTGCTCCTTCTTACGACAGCTCTGGTTCGATTGTGCAACTCGCTTCGAAGGATATGGTTTGGTGGGGACAACGGGGTGCGAACCGTGTGAACACCTTGCTGTCTGTACCAAGAGAAGGCGATGTCGAACAAAATGACACTCGGACCGCACAGCCTGGCAATATTGGCGAACTTGATGAGAGCATCCTGGATGAAATGGTTGAGTCATTCAACGCCCAAGACTTTGCTGGAGACATCATGGAGACCCATCCGAGTAGTGAAGTTGACCCGGAATCAAAAGAGATCAAGCAAATGCTTGAGGAAGTTTCCGACTTGCTCCACACTCTTAGTTCCTACCAGCGAATTCGAAGTCTCAAGCCCCCATCTGATCTCCAGCCGCCTGGTCAACAATTGCCTGAGTCGAATGAAACCCCTGACCTTAATGTGGACGACGTGAACACACCCTCCGAAGCAGAAGCCCTGGTCTATGATACCCTGAAGTCAAGCCTTGCTGCAATCATCAGCAACTTGCCGCCTTATGCTGTCGCTAAATTGGACGGTGATCAGCTCGCTGAGTTGAATATCAGCCAAAAGATTCTGGTTGAGACTCCTGACTACAATGGCACCATGGAAAAGGATGACTTCACTTTGTCACAAGAAAGGGCCGCAGCATTGCTCGCAGCAGCCAGTGCCGCAAATCGCACTTCAACACCCTCTACCTCACGGCCTAGTAGTTATCAAGGCTCTCATAGTGCCTACAACCAACGTGCTTTTGCTTCCAATGCTCGGGCGCCGCCTCAGCCCGGGTTCCAGGTCACACCACAACACGCGCGGCAGCCCTCGGCGCCCACTACGTACACACATGCTTATGGCGCGGGTCGTCCACCGAGCACACCCAGCCAACGTCCAGGCAACACTCCTCAATATGCGCAAGTGAACCCACAGTACAGCCAGGGTGCCCAATACCAGCGCCCTGCTTCCAATGGATATGCCCAAGTGTCACCGCAGCCTTACACACCACAGCCTAGGCAGCCAGGCACATTCAACGCCACGCCACAAGGGCGTACGCCCTACGCGACTGCAACCTCGAACCAGCGAGCTCAGTACCCAGGCCAAACTCCTTCACAAGCTGGCTACTCAAACTCGGCCGCTAGTGCCACATACTCTCGTAGTGCGGCCGAACAAGCTGCGCTGATGGACAGGAACAAGGCACAACTGGCAGCTCGACAGACAGGCCACAGTCCTTCCACACCTCAACCTCAAGGGCTGGATGCCCGTGCTTCTCAAGAAGGCAGCATGACACCAGGGAGCAAGCCGAATGGCACTCCCCTTTCCACATAGGTCGTGATATTTGCGCGAATTTGAGGATGTGGCGTTGCGTTCAAACTCCAAAAGTGCGGTTTGTTTCTGAAGAGAGAGGTCCAATATTACATTCCTCTACAGTCGGCTTTCTGCTTTATTGACTTTTGCATTTTCTTCTATTTCGTTTCGGATTATGAGCTCTGGATGTGATCCGCGTCTCCGAATTTTTCCCTTCCCAACTGTGTTGTTAATGAACCTCTTTATCCCTGGCTTTGTATGATTTTTCCTTGTTTGATGTTGTATTATGGACTAAGCGATTGGCGTGGATGGTTTTTTCAAGACAGGTCGGCCTGGGTGTACAGGCTGCCATTGCGATACAGCCAAATCTTGCTTAGAGAGTTACTTGATTTTCGCTTTCGATGCAATCCAATCAATATGTATGCTGCATACAGGTAGCACACCTTATGCTTTCCAATGTAGATTCGGCGAGAAATACTGAGAGAAAGGAACTTGCAGAGTATTCCTAGAATCATATCTCATCAAGTACATTGATTGCTCAATAGGGTTCCCAATATAAAAAAACACCCATCCTGCTATCGTATCTACCAGTCCGCTGTATCTCCTGCCCAATCCTCATAGTTTGTTACATGCCAGGCCCGAGATACCCGTCTATCTTCCCTAACTATCCGATTATTGCCTAAGAACGAACGCCATCTCTTTCTTGCGTGCCCAGTAACGAATGCCCTTCCAACCCTTCACTTCACAAAAAGACAAAAACAAGACCACAGCGACATAGAGGACTCATCGCCAAGGAAATACAAAAGACAGAGTAAAGAAGATTCGTAAGTCATAAGTCGATGCATGCAGAATGCAAGTTGAGGAAATGTAACCTCGAAGCTAGGGAATGAACATAGCAGCCATAGTCATAAACCCAAAATATCTAGAAAAGAAAAGTCAGTCTATGCAGCCGCAACAGAATCAAAACAATCATACATCGTAGCACAGCGCCAACCATCCCTCGAGTCGACCAGCGTATCAATACCAGCCGAATAATTCGCCGCAATAGCCGCCGCGGCACCGCCAACAACCGTCACAACGACAAGACGACCGGAGAACTCCGCTATAAGGCTGAACGCCAATAATGGAAGCAGGAGCGCACCAGATGCGATGATGATGGCGATGTAGACGGGTGCTGCGGCGGCAGAAGCAGCCAGTCGTGGAGTGAGGGAGACTAGATCTGCGTCGTGAATTAGGAACCGCGTCTCGACACCAGCGACGGGCTTGTTTTTCTCTCATCCAGCTGCGGTAGCCCGTGATCTCCTGTTCCGAGGCCCGCGGGAGCGTTTGTAGGACTTTGCTGTAGGCGCTGAGGGCGTTGTCTGGATTCCTTGTCAGGGGTCTGCTTTGTGGACAGAAATACGGAAAGTGGAAGGGGGTCTTACTGTATTGTTCCGTCTTGTGGATCAAAGCATTCATGAGATCCATGCGGCGGTAGTGCAAAGACGAATAAGCCTGGGACTGGGCGTCCCGCCGTCGTGAAGCCGGTAGGGGCTTCACGCCTTCATGCTCGGCTGTGCTGACCCGGTGCATTTCCTCATACTCATCCAGGGTGTGGAGATCTTCTTCCATTTGGGAGATCTCGTCTTGGAGGTGGAGCAAAACGCGGTGGTTCATGGTCTCGAAGCGTCGGTAGAGCGGAGGGAAGCCTCCGCTGTCTTCTGAGGCGGACTTGGTTAGGTGCGAAGCTAGAAGCCCGTATCCGGATAGCTCTTGCGACGCATTGGAGTCTCGTCTCTTTGTCGGAGTGGTGCGGTGAATGCTATCTTCTGGACTTCTAGGCGGTGATGGTGGGAGCGGTGGTCTGTGGACAGCACCGCTGTCTCGTGATGGGCCATGGTAGGTCTGTGGTCGGGACAATTCTAGTTGGCCTTTGCCTGGGGAGATGACTTCAGTCGAGATCGGGCTCGGCTTTCTGGTGAGTTGTCTCTTCCGCGTGACTAACTGATTGTCTGTAGAAGGTGCGGGTGCCGGCGCGGGTTTTCGTGGTTCTTTTGGACTTTTGGATACCACTGCAGGTGCTTGTGTGATTTTACTCGGGGGTGTGTTGCCTCCTGGAGCCAACACTCCGTGTGGCACAGTATTTGCCCGTGGTTTTGGAGCCTGGATCTTGGTGGTGGTTTGTATAGGGCGTGGAGGCTCCGGCTCCTCGTCGGATTCAGCCTCAGAGGATGACGATGACGATAGCGATGAGTCTGAAGAAGATTCTTCGTTCTCTTCCAGGAACTCGAACACGTTAGGCATCTTCGCGGGCTCTGCGGGTTTCTGAGGTGGGTTCTCTGGAACGGCAGGCGCATTTAGGGCTTGTCTTGACCGATTGGCCCGTTGTGAAGGTGAGCTGTTCTCGACAGTTTTAGGGGTCGTGACAGGACCCGCCTGTACGGTTGTATTATTGGACACCAGCGAGTACGTCCTCTTTCTTCCATCCTTTTTTGGCTTTCTAGTTTGGAGCGGCATGGTGATCGGAGAAGTTCGGAATCAATATCCGATTCATACCTCTTCAAATATAGATACCAAATCAGGGTATACCCGCAGGGACAGAAAAGAAATGAGAAATGACATGGAATTAATCGCAGTGATGGAGTAATGGAGTCAGGAGTATAGGGACCCGAGGCATGGCCTAGGGGGTGGAATTCCAGGTCTCAGATCGAGTCTGTCAAAGGCGCGGAATCTAGGGGGGATCGATGAAAAATAGTATGATATCTCCAATTTCCCCGCGGATCCCATCAGACATTCCCTATGATAAAGGGAATATGGTATTATTATAGAAACACGAAACGTCAGCCCAAGTTGGAAATAGGTTTTCGTGTCAGCTGGAACGAGCCCAAAGGGTTATGCTTGTCGAAATGGAGACTTGCAATTCGTCACAGTCAGTCTGAGAACAATCTGAAGCAACTTAGAAGCGCCGAGCGCTTTATTTAGATCGACCAATGGCAATGGTGTCGCAGGTCCCTTGTATCCCTGTCGATCGACCTCTCTCACAACTCAAAGAAATCAAGAAGGAAAATGGTGAGGAATTGTTGAGTTGCTGAACATTCTGAACTGTTCAGAGTGGGTCAGATTGTGACAGCAAATCAGTCCTGCTGAGTCCGAAAAGGAAATGCATGCGTGTCTGAAGATAGAAAGGACCATGTAGTTATGCGCTGGTCGATCTTCCTTGCATCTGGCGGTCTAGCAAAGCGGGGGAATGTGATGCAGCTATGTGAGCAGTGTATGTACTCTGTACAACGCCACTTATCTGCCATATTGCGTGCATAAAGCCTTGTCAAGAATGTATTGATATGGAGCTGTAGTTGTAGGGAGTATAGTAGGTTCTGAAGTTGTGAGGATGGAAAGAGGGTGAGAATCAAGATGATCAACAAGTCAGTATAGTGAAGATTGAAATGTACTTTTATGATTTCAAATTCAATAATTGAGTTTAGAATGACGATTCTCAATTCCTCTATGTTCTACATGCAATATACAACATTGTATGCATACATATCTAGTTGTGGCTTTCCCAAGGCCTTCCTATCTTCCAAGGTTGGCTGCCATTTTTGTAAGGCTCAAATAAGTCACGTCGTGCTGACTAATGCTTGGGCACCTGCCAACCTTGGAACCTTCCAAGGTTGGAAGGTGCGACCCCAAGGGACTTCAACTGACACAACATACTCTTTTGTCCCTAGTTCGACACCGAAGAAGTCTGGGGAAGCCCACCGTCAACAACTCTTGGGTTTCCATCGGAAGTTCCATCAACAGCCATACCACCATTTTCTGTATAGACATTGGTGTAGTATGGGTAGTGCACAGCAGACAGGTTGACAGCAACAGTAATCCAAGCAAACAATCCATCTTCAACACGGTCGCCCAGATACGCGTAGTTAAGCATCGGGTCAGCATCGGTGTTCTGAGTCTCCTGGCCCACCACCCGGTCCTCCGCGTTAGGCGTGATCGGAATGTTGTTTGTGTTGTATGGGTAGGTCGACTCGACTGCATTGATAATGTCCTGATCCCAGAAGATCTGCGCAACGTGAGAGACCCTGCCACCCGCAATGGTGTTGTTTGGCAGTCTCTTCGCATGGAAGTGCGCGATGTTGTGGTAGTGCGTGGTGCGGCTGTCATAGTGGCCAGGGAACAAGGTGTCGAAGGTGACTACACCGTCCGAGTCGGTCTTTTGAATTCCGCGCAGGAAAGTCCGGTTACGGTTCGACAGGTCCGCTGAATTGCCGTTGCCGTCTGCTACCAGGCCCGAATACACGCCTGTGGCATTGCATCCCCAGATCTCGGCATAGAGATCCGGTACCGGCTTGCAGGTTTCCACGTCGATGTATTGCTGCTCGATCACCACGGGCACACCGGGCTGGCCTTCGCGGATGTGAGAGCGTACCCGCTCGCCAGGAAGCCAGTATGGTCCTGTTTCTCCTTCGGGGCTTGGGCCCAGGAGACACACTTTTTCTGGGGAGTTGAAGATTTCCTTCTCCGACATTGAGGGGGACATGGGTCGTGTGGCTTGGTGAGACTTGTTGAGAACTGCGTCGGTATCTCGGACGCGAAGGTGACGGCGGTGCAGATCGACCATAGCCTTGCGACGAGCTTCGGCTCGGGCTTGGAGACCATTGTTCTGGAACTCTGTCGAGCATTTCTGCAGGCCAGCCTGGACGTTCCTCTTGTACAACTGGACGCCAGAGCCGTCGAGGGGCTCATGGTGTCCTGGATGCGCGGAAGCGAGGAGACCGCACCCGAGGATGGCCAGGTTCAGAGCACTTTTCATGTGCATCTTGATCAATAAATAAATGCAATGTTCACCGCAAGGAAGATCGCTGAGACGCTGTTGTTGATTCAATCTTTGTGAAGACATCAGACACCGGGTCTTATATACCTTTTTATCCGCCTACTAGCAACAAATTCGAGGAAGTCGACACCTCGTCTGCCCGGATAAAACTTTACTCACCCACACGATAGACAGCATCGAAAGAGATGCTTCCATGCAATAGACCTAAGCACATCCATGGAGTTCCTGCAGGTGAAATGATATTATGGATATAGCACCTCATTGGCACAGGTATGGCTCCAGCCAATAGCTTCCACCCGAAGAGTCTCATGCACCTAGCTTACGCATCCTGAGACCCTGATAGGGTAAGACTTGGTCGTTAATATCTACAATTTATGCAATGCGGCTCTTGGCAGCTCCGCCCCATCTTAGAAATTCGCTATTTGATAGCGGGCGGATATAAACTCATCCATTCTCCATTAAGCTGAATATGATCGACACGGAAGTGGGGCCCTGCCGACGTGATTACGGTCCTCATCAACACTTCTCTAGTGTGAAAATCATAAATGAAAGATTCATGGCTGCTAAAGATGTTTTTCCCGGATAGAATTGGTAAGTTCTGGCGACCAATTCTACTTATACAAGTATAGTCTGAGAGATGGGGCGGTAGGGGCAGCTGTCAGCCAGTTAATTATATACCTTAGGTCAGTATGGATTCGATTACCATGAGAGACTTCGTTATTGGCTACCTCGAGGAAACGAGTAGGTTCTCTGTGAACCTTACTGTCATCTCTAGGGGATGTGCATTTCCGGAAAGATCATCCTGTGAGTATGTGCCTGATGGTGGTTTGGTAGAATCCTGTCACAGCTCGACATATAACCAGCCTTATATTACATGCCAATTAAAGCACAGTCTCCCGATTGCACCACACTATGTAGGAGCTTCGCATGTCTCCCCGATCCGCCTTCGTCTTTTGGCCACAAAGAACGGATCAATGTCTGATCGACATGTCCCCGAGGCCATATATAAACAATACGGACCGATAATGTCAACCACGTAAGTTTCGGAGGGCTAGCCCTGAAGAGCAACTACTGATGACCATCTGGCTAAATAGGAGCCGGTCCGTAGAACCCGTTCTGTCAGAAGACTAAAAATCACATCATTTCCGAACAGTCTGATTGGAAGGCAATGCTACGTATCCAGAGGATACACTGTTGTTACATGATATTTATTATGGACGAGCAATGAGGGCACATCACACTTATACTCTAGAAGATAGGCAAAATCCTCTTGCATCATGTTCTATTGGCATACTACCCCCACTACTTAACTTTGTATATCATTGTTTCGTTCGTTCCTTGTCAATTCCACTAAAAAGTAATAGTGGGTTAAAGAGTACCGACTAAATATAGTAGCGTTCAACCCGACGTGGCTGGTTTACAATATCTTAGCCTCTACGGAGTAGAGATGAACTACTCCGTACCTAGTGGCAATTATATTAGGACATTCCAGGGCGCCCCATCTAACTTCCCACGGCCTATTGGGCATTTATTTCCACTCGCACAATTAATTGCACGATACCTAAAAGGCTCCCCACAATCCCAAGGTGGCTGCCATAGATCCGGATGTTGGCCAGTCGGGCCGGGTAAAGATAAAGCAGGATGGCCCGGTAGGCATATTCGGAATATCGCATCCTATTTTTAACCAAGCCTGAGTACTGAAAGGCTTTATGACTTGGAAACGAGGCTCTGTCTGCCATTAAGCCTTAGCATGGCGATTTAGTCAAGTGATGCTATAAATCTTGCATCTCAAGCCTGTATTCATCTTCATGAGAGGCTCATAACCAACAAGGTGCTAAGTCTGGAAGTCTGGATTGAGAGAGACAAACGAAATAAATAATCATCCATCGAATAATTGAGTGGATGTCTGTGGATTGGGATCATTGATTTGTTCGAGCAAACCCGTCTAATTATAGCACTGATATAGGCATCTCAAAGTGGGAACCCAGACTCAAGGGTATATAAGCTGATAATAACCCGTCAAACAAACATAGCAACCACTCATTCAACTTATCGCAAAAAGTGTATAATATTTCCTCCCGCTCGTTCAAACCATCATGTCCGCGACCACCACCTCCCCCACTTCCTCCGCATCAGCTACCTCCAGCTGCCATGCCAAGCTGTACGATATCCCGACCCACGACGCCGCATGCGCAATGTCTATTCAGGGCAACAACTCCGCTATCATGAGCAGCTGCTGCTCCGATGCATCTGTCGTCGAGTATGACGGGTGCGACTACTACTGTCTTGCTCAGGGTCAGAGCGTTGGCACCCTTGCCGAGTGCCTGATCAAAGCCTCTGAGCCCGGTGAGGTTTGGTGCAACACCAATGCCAATGCTACGGCTACAGCGACAGCCACGGCTACTGGTACTGGCGTCGTGACCCTGTCTGCCACAACCACTGGTGCGGATAGCACTGGCTCAAGTACTAGTGGCTCGACTGCGACTTCCACTGCCAATGCGGCTGCTGGTATTGTTGCGTCTCGTCCGTTGTCCAAATCTGCTATTGGTGTGGTTGGTATGCTATTGGCTGGATCTGCAGCAGGACTTTTCCTTTAGAGGTGTCATGGTTGACATTCATACTGGAGTTGTCAAAACCAAAGATTTTATCGGTTGAAGGTGATTGGGTGGATGCAATGTAATAAAACGGCTGCGTGCTTTGCAGTATCTGTATATTAGTCTGGAGGCCCTTCTTTGTCGTTCGTTTTCTTGGGTGTGGCATTGGACCCAACTTCCAAGCCGTGCAAATATTTTATCTGGTAGCCGAACGGCATAAGAGGCATATATCCCAGACAAGCACCTTTTCATATGGATGGGACTATCGGGAGACAGCATTAAACCGTTGACATGGTACTTGCGGCCATAACCAATGAATCGTAATTATGAAGAGGTTTTTCCGTGTGTTTAGGTAGAGAGAGGTAGAGAATGTAATGTTGATCAATGTGAATTTGTTTGATTTATTACAGATTGATAATATGCACGCTTGAGGAATTCCATGACCTTTACTGTTCGCCCCAAATTGGTATTACACAAATGCAAACGTGAATCATAGCTTCGCGTCATGCTTCCAGCCCGGCATGTCAGCAAGGTCCTTTGCTGGAGCACTGCGTTTGGACTTAAGGGCATCTCCCCCTGGTCTCCATCTCCACGCACTAGCCAGGTCTTGCGGTAGGCGTCCTTCTATCAACTCAACGACATGCTTTCCTATATTGGGCAAAACCTTGAAACTATGGCTGTTGCATGAGGTGTCAGCAAGATAATCGCTATGTGCAGCCGATTGTCATCCACTTACCCGCTGTCGCCTGTGGCCAAAATAAAGTTCTTCCACTTGGGGTGCTCGCAGATCAACAAGTTGGCATCAGCAGTATCGGTGCACCAGCACATGCTCCGATTAAAAAGCTCCTTATCCTTGAAGCGTGGCATGAACCTCGCAATCGCTTTTCGAATGGTTTCTTCAGAAGCATCTGGGTAGGTATCCGTGGGATGCTTGGCGTGTGATCGAGGAACGGATATAAGCTTAGGAGAGGTGGCACCGTAAGGTTGATGCTGCTTGAAGCGGGAGAACCCGGGGAACTCATCGCAGACTTTGATTACTCCGTGTCTGCGGTGAATATTTAGCGTGGCCGGCCTTTGAGGTTGGGCTAGGAGCGATTGCTTACTCGTTGGGCTCGAAGAAAAAGCCATAGTCACCGTCGTATACTACGGGCACGTCCTTGTATTGGGCCGATTCTTGGGGCGTGAGTTGGATATGAGCGAACACCCAGGCCTAAATTCATCGTTCAGTTAGCGGCATGGTCATTTCAACCGGCTTTTCCGGGAATCCTGAAATACGCCAGCAAAGGAAATGTCCACAACTGACCTTCGAAACGCATTGGTCCTCCAGATCTACTAATGTCGAACTCCAAGCACCGGCGGCCAAAACCACCTTGTCGGCGTGGTATTTTGTTCCATCTACTGTCTCAACACCATTGCATGTCGTCCCATCAGGAGCAAACAAAGGTCGCTTGAAAGTCCCGGCACTGCAAATACGCATGAGCAAACACCGACTTTTCCACGAAGTTGCAAAAGTTCAATGTCATACCTTCCAAATCCGAACTTGACGCCTTGACTTTTTAGAAAGGTTCCGATCGCATTGATGGCCTTGGCTGCAGCAAGCCACCCTCCATCGCCGCAAAACAAACCCTTCCACCCCTGCCATCTGTTTAGCCTCTCGTACCCTTATTCTTTTTCTTATGGTCAAATTCACCTTGATCTGTTCCCGCGTGAAGTGCGGGGCTTTTGCCAGAATATCATCTTCACTCTCTAACCAGATATTCGTCTTCTCTAGTCCGATATTTGCGTCGGTGAGGTCTTGGTGCTTCCGCCGAAGGCTTGCAATACCTTCTTTTGTTGATGAACAGTCTAGCTAAAGGTGCGTAAATATGTAAGTTGCTCAATATCAAACAGGAAGCTATTATGACTCACCATGCCAACGTTGTGAAAGAAAGGCTTGAACAACGGATCATTTTTCCACATATCGAGAGCCTCCAGGGAAAGTTGCAAGTCAGGCCCGTTGCGTAATCGGATGCTCATGATCTTGTTGAGATCATATCCTGCAGATTGCAAGGATGGAATTGGATATACATCAAGGACGGTGATGTTTGAGGGAGTGTATCCAGAGCGTATCAGGTGTAGCGCGGTTGAAGATCCCATTGTGCCACCTCCCCCGACAATGACGATCTTTGTGCTTTCTCGCGAATGGGCCATGTTGTAGTAATCGACCTTGCGGTACACTTGGGAGGATTAAACAAAGTCTTGGAAGGGGGGGAACGACAATTTATTGAACCCTTATTGAGAAAGCTATCAAGGCCAATCATGATACACATCATATGAGCGATGTCTATCCGGAAATATGTCGATTGCGAAGTGGAGAAAAGCTTCGCGTGGACCTTCACCATGCCAGCCACGGGTTTACCTAAGCGCCTAAACGGTCGCTAGGGGCCCTGGAGGGCCCTGGAGAACGCGGGAATTGACCCACCAAAGGGCCGAAGGGCCTCGGGAGTTACGAGATAAGCATCGCATATTTGACCCCGGTTTTTCTTTGGTAGAGATACGGAATTGATAATGATGCAATAATACAGTGCTTCGCCAAAGGTATCTCGGTTTCGCGTGGACCTTCACCCATCCTTTCCCCAGTGACCCTGGCTTTTGTCCACCCGAGATACGGAGTACAGACTCATTGATAATGATGCCGATATCAACTAGTGAGTCACTCGTCGCTATCGGTACTAACACGCGAGTACTTCGCTGAGGATATCGCATTGGTTCCGCGTGGACCTTCACCAACCCCCACATCCAAGAATGGACTCCCCACCCGATGGCACGGAATTCACCTTGTAGGTTGAAGGGGAACTAATCGGGAAATATTCCGGGGTTGAAAGATAAGCCCGAGGTGCAGATGATTTGCGAACATGTCCTGTATAAATAACCGGCATGGGCCGCAACAAGTCTCAAGCATATTTCCGAGTCACTCACACTATACGCGCTGTGATCCTACCATCCTATAATGGCCAACTCGAAGACTACCCCCAAGTCACACGATGACTCTCCTTTACCGGACAATGTACCCGATATTGCTGAGGGGGTCAACATGGAGCAGTACAGGACAACTGTCCCGCTTTGGAAGCGGGTATGGCAGAACAGTTTGACGCAGATGATACTTCTGAGCATCCAGGCGTTCTGTGGGCCAGCTATGTCAGACGCAATTATAGGTTAGAGTGCAATGCCCGTCATGGTCTGAATGTGCAGCTTATCTTTTACAGGCCTCGGTGGTGGTGGTCTTGCCTCTCCTCGGGTGTCAAATATCTCGACGGCGATTACATATGCCATGCTTGCAGTCGGTATGCGCCCCAATATCAAATCCCGCCTTTCAATGCACTAACAAAGCGCACCAGTTTGCTTCTTGGGTGGTCCCCTCGTGAACAAAATCGGTATCAAGTGGGCCCTCGTAATCGGCTCGATGTCCTTCCCCATCCAGGGTTCGGCATACTACTGCAACAGCAAATTCGGAAATGAATGGGTAAGTGAGGCCTCCCCAACATATCTGGCATCAATGGACAGCTTGAAATGCTTTCACAAAGTCCAGAATATCTGATTAAAGTTCTTTCCTGCAGTACCTCATCCTCAGCGGTGCTATTAGCGGTATTGGAACCGCTTGCTGGTATGTCGCCGAGGCCGGTGCCATCATGACGCTTGCACCTTCTGGTGCCCGCGGCAAGTATCTGGCTCTATGGATTGTGTCACGGAATCTTGGACAGCTAGTTGGCGGCGCAATCAAGTAAGCTTTTTCCGAAGTGTACCCCAACGGATGCATGGATGAGTTTCTTATCATCTCGCTTTTTACAGTCTGTCGAAGAACTACGAAAAAGGGGTCAGCGGCGGTGTCTCTGCCGATACTTACATTGCCTTTGTGATCATTGAGTGTCTTGCGTGAGTGCATCCGCGCAGCGAACAATCTAAAGAGCGAAGAGATGACTGATACTAATTATATTGCTTAGCCTGCCATTTGCATTGTTAATAACTCCCTTCGAACGTGTTGTTCGATCCGATGGTACTCGAATCGTCACCTCAGAGACCCTGTCTACCAAGATGGAAGTGAAACGCATTGCGAAGACCATGACCTCGAAACTCATTGCATTTTCTTCCCTTTGGGCATTATGGTCATTCTTCTACACGTACGCCAGTTTCCTAGCCCCTTACCCGTCGTTGAAGGACAATAAAAGGCTAACAGATATGCCAGCGGTACCTGGACTACCTACTTGGGAACCCACTTCACCGTCCGCTCACGCGCCCTATCGTCCCTCATCTCGCCTTTGTTCTGCATGTAGGTCCAGTCTGTGGAGTTTCCTTCTTATTAACACCTGAACTAACCTCGTTTCTCAGCATTGGCTGCTTTGGCCTCGGATTTATCCTCGACATGAAGAGCCTCAGCCAGCGCCGCCGCGCCCAGATTGGCCTATACACCGTCGTCATCCTCAACTTCGGTGTATACATCTGGTCCATTATTATGCAGGTCAAGTTCAACCGCCATGATCCTGGCGCTATCGATTGGGATGATGGGCTATACCCTTCGTCCTTCCTGCCGTATTTCTTTGTGCAGACTACAGGTCCGTTGTCGCAGTCGTACATGTATTGGCTCCTATCATCGTTCGCGACAGATGCGCAGGGTGAGTATCCAAAAAATGTTTCTAGGGGATCAGCAAAAACCTGGATGCTAACTGTCATATTAGAAAATGTCCGTAACGGTGCTGCATTCCGATGCATCGAGGCTATTGGACAGGCTATTGCCTACGGCATGAACACGCAAACGACGAGTAACCCTCTGATTGGATTGTACGTCTGCTCATCTCACTTATAATACCCCCTTATCAAGCATATGTCTAACAGGCTTTTTAGCGGCGTGACATTTGGGCTACTCGGGGCTTCTCTTCTCCCTATGATTATGCTTGTGAACACGACACCAGACCGCATCCCTGCCGATGTAGTTGCTGAGGAGCAGGCAGCCGCTCGAGAGAAGATTGATGATGTTTGAGTCAGCTTGAATTTGATGCTTTAGGCTAGTAGTGGCAGGTTAACTAATTTGATAGTATATAGAGAGATCGAAATAAGACTCTTGAAGCTTGCCATGGTCATTATCTAGGATGATTTACGCAGTTTTCCTTACTAGGTGGCTCAACCTAAGACGGATTGCGATAATCGCAGAGGCTGAATGAGTTTAGGTTTAGACGGGAAGCGAGGTCGAATGAACCTGGAAGAAATTGTCCCATGTTATAGATAGAAGCGAAGCTATTCCAGCTCAATTAGGCCACTACAGGTAGATAGGAATTGTCGCTACAGCGGTATATATATATAGGGACCACACATTATTAGGAGAAATTATAACTATATTAGGCTTAAGAGATATTTTAATATCATATATTACTTTGAATTTTGAGAAGCATTCAATGTTGTAGTATAAATGAAAACGGGGTTAAAGAAAAGTGTCACTCGAGGCTAAAGTCCAATAATTGATCTGCAGATCGCCAAGTCCAGCTTCTCCCGCTAGTTCACGTCTTGCAAGGCTCAACACTAACAACCCAAGTCCAATCTCTCTATGCTTCGATCATGGATCGGCAGCGGTACGCTCCGCTCACTTTGCGTTCGACGCTTGACTCGGTCATCCCTTTCATTCCCTAAAGCTCCATTCTCCTCCGCGCCAAACCGCTATCTCCAACCGCCGACCTCCGCAGATCGCGTTCCCCTCCGCAAACAACTCAAGCAGGAAGCCAAAGCGCTTCGGTCGCACAAGAGACAACGCAAGGAAACAGAGGAGGCTTCGAGGCAAGAATGGGAACTCACAGTGGGCGTGGAGATCCACGCGCAGTTGGATACAGAGGCCAAATTATTTTCCCGTCAGTACGCCTTTACACCTGGAGATTACGAGTCATCCTCTCATAAATTGAATAGGGGCAGCAACCTCGACAAGCGATACTCCCAATTCCAACGTTGCCTTGTTCGATCTGGCATTCCCGGGTAGCCAACCGGTTAGTGTATAGTTTACAATGCTGTGAAATAGGGCCAGGGCTGATCTGAGACAGGAATTCCAAATCGCAACACTCCTCCCAGCTCTCCGCGCTGCCATTGCACTGAACTGTGAGATACAACCAGTCAGTCGGTTTGATCGGAAACATTACTTCTACCAGGATCAACCGGCGGGGTATCAAATCACACAGTACTATGGTAAGTACTGTCCCTCTCAGACGTGAAATATGCTGACCAGCTCTAGAACCATTCGCGCGAAATGGCTACGTTGACCTATTCGATTACGACGGAATCGCCCCGGAAGACGGCGAACGGGTTCGTATTGACATCAAGCAACTCCAGTTGGAGCAGGACACAGCCAAATCCCAGGAATACCCGCCCTCGACACAACTTCTCGACTTCAACCGTGTGTCCCATCCTCTTATCGAAATCATCACCATGCCGCAAATCCACACTCCTGCAACGGCCGCAGCATGCGTGCGGAAACTACAAGCGATTGTACAATCGTGTGGTGCCGTGACTACGGGAATGGAGATGGGTGGTCTTCGTGCAGATGTCAACGTCTCCGTCCGACGCCGAGGCGAAACACCCGGGCAACATCAGTACGATGGGATTACTGGGCTGGGTCAGCGTACCGAAATCAAGAACCTCAGCAGCTTCAAGGCGGTAGAGGATGCCATCATTGCTGAGAAGAACCGTCAGATCGAGGTGCTCGAGAGTGGCAGTGTCGTAGAAGGAGAGACACGTGGATGGACGATCGGCAGCACTGAGACTCGCAGACTTCGCGGCAAAGAGGGCTCAGTCGACTACCGCTACATGCCTGATCCTGACATTCCACCACTGATCATTGGAGAGGATCTGCTCTCTAGTCTCAGAGAATCTCTTCCGACAGCGCCAGATGCTCTTCTTACGCTGCTTGTCGGATCTGAGTTTAATCTGCCAATCGAAGACGCCAAACCCCTCATCGAGCTGGACGACGGAGCCCGCCTCGAATACTACTACGATGTGGTGGATATCCTCCGCAGCCTTCAAGTAGACCAAGATGATAAAACGCGCGCTGGTCTCGCGCGGGTGGCGAGCAACTGGGTTTTGCACGAGCTGGGCGGTCTCTTGACCAAGGCAGACCAGGCATGGGATGCTGAGATCGTCCCAGCCCGATCCTTAGCCCATCTCATCGACCACCTGCAGCGGAAACTCATCACCGGCCCGACAGCCAAACAGGTGCTGGCCACCATCTTTAACGGGGACCATCGACCAGTGCCGCAACTACTTGAGGAGGAAAATCTCTTGCTGCGGCCGTTGTCGCGGGAAGAGTATCTAGCGCTAGCGGAGTCGGTCATTGCCCTGAACCCCCAGATGGTCGAGCAGATCCGCAGCAAGAATCAACTGGGTAAACTGGGGTGGTTCGTGGGGCAAATGATGCGCACTGGCGAGAAGGGCCGGGTGGAGGCGTTCAAGGCAGAGGAGATTCTCCGGGAATTGATTCTGGGATAGCTTGTATAGTATAGTATAAAATGTATTCTCATCAATGATACCCAAGACTGTGGCCTTTATCAATTATTCTCCAACTCTGCCGGACCTCCGATACCACCCCACGCTGAATAAAAGCCCGGAAATGAGATGACAGAATTCCCGGTCTATCGCTGACTGTAACAGGTCAAAGCAAAAGCCTGTGGGACACCGAATGGCCCTAAAAAGGGGGAGCTCTCCTCAACCTGTACTTAACGGAAGTGATGGAGATCCCGGCGGAGTCGCTTTGATCGCTAAAAGCAGTTTTTAGCGACTTCGCGGGCATCGCGCAAGGAATGAGAGCACCGCCCCGGTTGAAGTCGGGGGTTAATGGGAAAGACCTAAGACAATTCTGAGATATTTAAAAGGAAGAGTTATCCTCTTATTTTCTTCTTTCAAAATAAAAATCACATCTTGACCTCTCCAGACCTCTCTGATCGAGGCTCCACTTTTTATCTTATCTTGATCTTAGCTCTCTTTTCTTCCTTCACCTACTTTCTATACATCCTACACAATGACCCAACCTTCAACCATCACTTCGCGGTTCCTCTCACACCCTAACCAGCTCGGCGTCGTTGCCGTTGGTTTCAATGGCGGCCAGGTAAGACAGTGCAGAAGCTATAGATCATGGATCATACTAACCCCCACCAACAGTGCAAAATGGGCGTCGAAGCGGCCCCAATGGCCCTCATCGAGTCAGGACTCCTAACCCAACTCAGCGAGGATCTCGACTACGACGTCCACCACGACGACATAGTCCACTACTACGAGAAGGACATCCCCGCCGAAGACCCCGACCATCGAGGCATGAAGAAGCCACGAGCCGTCAGCGCCGTGACTGAGAAGCTCAGCTCACAGGTCTACGACTACGCCAAGGAAGGAAAGTTCGTACTCACTCTCGGCGGCGACCACTCCATCGCCATCGGCACCGTCTCCGGCACAGCAAAGGCAATCCGCGAGCGTCTGGGCCGCGAAATGGCCGTCATCTGGGTCGACGCCCACGCCGATATCAATATCCCCGAAACAAGCGACAGCGGGAACATCCACGGTATGCCGATGGCATTCCTGACCCGGCTGGCCCGGGAGGAGAAGAAGGATATCTTTGGTTGGATGCAGGATGAGCACATCGTGAGCACGCAGAAGCTCGTCTATATCGGGTTGCGTGATGTCGATCGTGGGGAGAAGAAGCTCTTGCGTGAGAATGGTATCAAGGCTTTCAGTATGCACGATATCGACCGGTATGTTCTCGTTCGATTTTCCCTGGTTGCGGTGGTGGTGTGACCTTCGTTGCTAACCTCTCTGTCCTCTGCTAGTCATGGTATCGGTCGCGTTGTTGAAATGGCTCTCGCTCACATCGGTAACGATACTCCCATTCACTTGTCCTTCGATGTCGATGCGCTGGATCCTCAGTGGGCACCTAGTACCGGTACACCAGTCCGTGGTGGACTGACACTGCGTGAGGGAGACTTCATCTGTGAAGCTGTGCATGAGACGGGAAATCTGGTTGCGATGGACTTGGTCGAGGTGAACCCCAGCCTGGAGACCAAGGGCGCTTCGGAGACCATTCGAGCGGGGTGTTCGTTGGTGCGTAGTGCATTGGGCGACACTCTTCTATAAAAGATTCGATGAATGGTGTAAAAGATAGATGTGTTAAAACAGTTAAATGAGACTTGAGTTATTCAGTACAAAAATTGGAAAGCATTGAAGTATTCAAATGTCGAAAGTCGATCAAATCGAAAGCCACTAAATCCCCTGCCACCCCAATTTCCTACTTTTCCCCTCCCCGGCCTTTTGTTTTTTTTATTTTGTTTCTTTAATTTTTCTTCTTTCTTTACTCTGAATATCTTGGCCTTTTTCTCTCATTTAGCTGATTCATGCGCAATTGTAAATATCCACGTCGCACCTCCCTCAAGGGCGCCCAATGCGCTGTCCTAGTCACGCCTCACCAGAGACATCCATACGATTCTACCAATCCTCTCAGAACTGAATCACTTGACTCACGATCTGGCCATCGCATCCCAAGCCTGCAACAATAGGGCATCGAAGCCTGCGTCGGGCAGTATACAAGACCAGTATAAAGCACACAACCCACTCCGCAATCGCAAGCTCCACCCATCGCAAGCCATCACAATCCAACACAACCCAACACACCTCGAGAAACCTCCATTCCACATCCCACACACAATCAAATGGCAGTCCGCAAGCGCCCCGAAGCGCGCCGTCGCTACCACTGGCCCGAGCTCCAACTCAACATCTGGATTATGGTCGTCCTATCGTGCTCGGCAACATGTCTGGGGATATTCTCCTGGTTCATAGTTGTGCAAACACAAATGCATCTCGGAACACCATGGTAAGTGACTATATCTATATGTATACTATGTGGTGGGGAAGCATTCTTACAGCATTGGAATCTACACCCCACATTCTTACATGTCAGCCTTCTTATACGATATACGATGTATACTAACAATATCCAGGCTCTTCCCTTACATGGTCGTGTGCAGCGCACTCGGGGTATGCTTCATATTCCTAATTATGGTCCTTGCATCGCGGCACTTCCTCTTACCGGGGATTATCATCATCGGCAGCTTTATTCTCCTTGTGCTGTGGCTGACAGGTCTGATTGAGACTTCGCTGCAGCTGTATGGGGTTGTCGCGAACGTGAATGATAATTGCCGGATCTATGTGGAGGATAATAAGGCCTGGGGGAATAATATTAATACCTTGGCTTGGTTGACGCAGAGTACTATTTGTGAGTTTTTGTCTTCTATGTCTTTCCCACTGTTATATGTCGGTGACTGACTGGTTTTATAGGCAATTGCTGGAAAACTGCCTTTGCGCTTGAGCTTGTTAATACGATTTTCTATCTTTGGATGATGATCATGTCGTGGCAGGTTAATCGGGATGTTTATTGATTTGATGTTTTGTGATACCATCTTTTGCATTTCTGGCGTTGAATAAGCGATATAGCGTTGTTGTTTTTGGAAATGTACTGTTCGTGAAACTTGGCTATATCGGAATGGATATAAATGAGTTATTTCAACCTAGACACATAGATCACCTTGATGTAGACAGAATCCCAAGTGGTTCATGGATAGTATATGAAACTGAATTGTACATAGAGATTCTCACAGATACACAACTTCCTGGGAACTACAGACAAGAAAGAAAACAAAGTCAAATAGACCTAATAAACGCCGTCGCTATGCCAAGAGCACATTGCAACCGCACACACCCCGGTTATGACACGGCAGAGACACAAAGAGAACCTGAAACGAGAAGACAAAAAACCAATGGAGTGCTCTATCCATTCTCAGCGGCAGTTTCTGCCTCTACCTGAGAGTCATACCCTCCGCCTTCGAATGCAGCAAGCATCTCCCGTTCCAGCTCGTCATCGTCGTCATCTGGGTCAGGATACTCAGCCTTGGCACCGCTGCTGGTTCCCGCTGTTTCGGAGTCAGACACTCCCTCCACAGCTGGTGTTTTTGGAAGGTCTGGGGAAACCTGGTCACTGCCAGGGGCAGGAGCAGATGTGATTTCTCGCAGCTTGGTGTTGCGCTCGTAAGAGCGTTTGATGCGTTGGGAGAGCCGGGAGCCTTGTTTGTCATGGTCGTCTCCGTCGTCATCTCCAGACTCTTCTTCATCAGTGCCGCTTTCGGTTTCTTCGTTGCGTTTACGCTTCTTGCCTCCTGTGGATGGTTCGTCTAATAAGGACTCGGTGTCGCTTTCACTTTCGTCATCGCTACCCAGGAAGTCCTTAAGTTCATCATGCACAGCGGCTTGTTCATCGGCATCATACCCGACCGGCGATGTCTCGTCCAGACCGGATGCCTTGAAGATATCTTCGGCGTCATCTTCTTGTGTCCATTGCGACCCTGTCATATCCTCGTCTGTGGATGAGAGCATGGAGGTCTCAAGTTCGAGTTCACTTGGGGTCAGGGGGTCGCCTCGGTCGTCTGGGTGAAGCGGGAGGAGATACGGTTCTTCGTCTACATGTCTCCACTGAACCAACGAGTCGACAAGCCATTGTGTCGTCACAATCTTGACGTTGGGATAGCGAGTGGCTTCTCTCACTTTGGCGGTGCGATTGCGCCCAGCCACAAGATGAGTTGTGCGGGCATTTACCCTTGACGAGATCGTCACACCAAAGCTCTTCGCCCACAGGGAGATGTCTGCATTCTGGAAGTCTATTCCCAAAGGAAGCACACCTGAAAATACCAACACTACCCCTCCGAGGATACGCCGCTTAATCTGCGGCATGATATCCTTGACATCGGGGACCAATTTGAGATCCACGTCTTTGTCTCTCGAGTGAACTTTCTCACCCCTTAGAGCTGCCACCCGACCGCCAAGAGCGAGAGTCCGTCTCTTGTCATATTCATCATAGAACTGAAGATGTACTTGCTCGAGTCGGTTCTGCAGCTGGAAGAGTTCTTGATCGTGATCCTCGAGTAGGTGGTGTCGATGTTTCGCAGATTCATGGGCTTCTTCGGCGCCAGACGATGCCTCACTGGCTTCAGCGATATTATCCTCAGCCTCCAATTCCTTTTGCTTTTGCAACAAAGGTCGGTCCTCCACCTGATGCAATATTGTCTCTTCTTGTGCATCAGTCTGTTCCTGTAGGAGCCTTGGGCTGTCTCCACCTCCCATGGTCACCAGCTGTTCTAATGCTGAGATCTCGGTCCCCTCTTGTGTTTTGCCATTGACGTGGTGTTCTTTGGTCTTCTCCGGTGCCTTTGCTTCGATCTGAGGCTTGTTCGCTCCAATATCTTCCTTCTTTGGGAGGAAACTAGAATTGATGTCACCAATTCCGACGAAGAAGTCATAAGGCGAGACCTTAATCAGATTGGGACTCCACCGCCAGATGTCACCACGATCATCAATGATCACCACCATCTTTGTGTCCACTGGGAACAGCCGTTGCAGGTCCTTGACCGTCAAACTTCCGCTCTCGTCACGACTAAGAATTCGGTCTCCGAAGAGCTTGCGGGTAGGATCAATGATATCAACAATATGTTGGGCATAAGCACGGGTACCCATGGTGTAGATGTGCAACTCATAAATCTCCGCCACATTTTGCAGGAATTCCTCCAGTCCGGGCCGCAGCTTGATGTAGTACCAGCATCCACGCATCCCAGGTCCATCGTCAATCAATTGAAATTGTCGCACATCCCGCACAGCTTCGTGGTTTGGATTTTGTTTGTCTTCTCTTCCATTCCCTACTGTTGGATCAACAGTGGCATGGATAATAGTTTGATCAAGATCCACCACCAGAGTCAAACGCCTCGATGCAAGTAGCCGGCGCTTCGCATCTTCTTCAACCCGAGTTGCTACCAGCTCGCTGACCGTAAGTGTGACGTTGTCATGAGCCATGGATATTGGAGCACGCATAGCATCTGTGACTTCGGTGTTGTACGTAGACCTGTTCATGAGACGGGCAGTTAGAAAAGCTCAATTTCCTTTCCGCTGAAAGGCTTATACATACTCAGTCATGTCCTTCCCGCACTCGGCGCAAAGTCCTCCAAACTGGACCTCGTGCGCGCAAGGCTCATTGATTTCGACGACATTGACCCTAGCAAAGAATTAGACAACGTTCGACAATAAAAGATAACGATCGATATGCTCACGGTTCATCAATAACATCTCCCTTTTGGATATGCCATTCAATGATCTCTCCATCAACAGTCGCTTCAAATCTAGTCGGGTATCTACGCATCACCTCGACAGTATTCCCCAGTCCATCACCCTCGGTGACGGCAGTCTGATAGACATACCAAAACAAAGCCTCATTCTTTTCAACCGTGTCACCAGGCTGTTTGAGCAGCGACGTCACGGTGATCGGGTAATGTAGGCTGGTGGGCAGACGGAGAAGCATCGTTGCTCTTCGTTCGCCCCCAGGCGATGTAATGTACTAACTCTCAGTTCCTGTCCTGACACTCTCTCAAAAGATATTCTGTGCCCTTGGTTTGTTGACAGCGCGCGCGTCAAGGACTGTGGGTCGAATGGAGTGATCGCGTGCGACTCCGGCTACGTAGCCATCACCGACACGCAACGCGTGTAGAGCTGGATAATATCGGGGTTTTTGGTAGTAACGAAGCCTATGACTCAGTGGTCCAAGCTAAATCGGTGGAATAAGTAGATGTGAGTGGTGATTTAGGCAGCGCAATGGGAATCGCCACTCCAAGGCGCGGATGGGAAAAGAAAACTGTGCGCCTAGCACAACCTGGCGCGGAGTCCAGTGGTAAGCCACACACCAGGCGGAATAATTCACTTGGATTTGAGGAGGTGGAAAATGTTGAAAGAGGAATGCGGGCTGCGATCAAAGAAAAGGGAAGCTCATTGAAGTTGTGCGGGGACTCACTCGATCCAGGTTGAGAGCTACTTCCGCTTATGTCATACCGGTACTTGAAAACCGGTATCTACTCTTACTGATTGACATGCGATTTACTTCAGTTCAAGTATCTTATCTTTTATGAATGATGTGGTCCGATACCTAGGTATAATGGCTTGATCAGGTAAAGTTTTACTCTTGAATGCTAATAGTAACATCCCACTCGCTTTCTCTGACTGTATGTATTAGAAACTTAACTGTTAATGCTTACCTGCACCTTAACCAGCATAAGCTCCAGCCAATTGCCACTCAAGTTCTTACCGTGTGGAATTTGCCGAGGGATATAGCTCTGCATATCGAGGCCTCTATGAGGGAAGACTTATTCAATAGAAAGGACAAATGCAATAGGTAGATCATAACCAATAAAGATATCAATTTGCAATACCAGTGAACAACAGGCCTCGTGATGGGGCTGTGCCAGCAAAAACAAAAACCCTGATCAACATGCTACCTAGCAATAGGCAAATGAAGTGCGCTATGAAAGCATACGTTCAACCCATGAGCCCCATGTATATACGAAGCAATCTCTTGGTGTCAACTAGTACTTTGATATTCACAGCTCACCTGGCCATCGAGCATTAGGGGGATTTATTTGGCCTTGGCCAGACCGACGGCGTTGTTACCGACATCATAGACACTGTACCAGCGGCGCAGGAAGGCATCACCCAAAATAGCCAGGGGACCCACAGGCTCGGGGAAGTCCATGCCCATGAAGCTGCTGATGCAAGAGCCCTGGACCTCCAGGACGTAGTCGTAGGGACCAATGGTGAACTTGTGGCCGCCCAGGGTGAAGGTGAGGTCGGGCAGCGAGTCCCGCTTGTCACACTCGACACTGTACTGACCAGTGAAGCCCTTAGTGGCACCGATCTCCTTGTTTCTGTGGAATAAGTCAGTAAAGAGGGTTACAAAGACAGGCGAAATATCAACTTACAGAAGCTCGGCCATGGTGGAGGGCAGGGCAATGAGGGGAAGTACCAGTGTCCAGAATGACACCGGTGTTCTCAAGTTCAGCAACATTGTCACCAAGGGCAATGGAGTTGAGCTCGACCTCCCAGTATGCCTTGCGACGGAGAGGGATCTTGATGAGCTCGCCAGTGTAGTGGCTTTCGTCGATGCCACCGAAAGTAGCCACGGAGTCATCGCCATCCTTGTTGGCATCGCCAAGGTAGAAAGCGAACACAGGCTCATCAACGAGCTTCTGGTTGATCATGTGGTAGAAGGGAGGGACCATCTTGTTCACAGAGATGGTATCATAGCCAAGGCCAAGAATACCATCGAAGCGACCGAAGGCAAAAGCCAGACCAGGCTCATTGGTAGCTTCCGCAAAGTCCTGTCCCTTGACCTTCAGGTCACCAATCTGAAGGGTGTCCCTAGACACGAAGCCGCTCAGGCTGCCAGATCCATAGCGAATCTCGAACTCGGTGCCATTCTTCTCATAGGTGCTCGAAGAAGACGAGTCATACTTGCTGTGAAGGAAGCAGGCGATAGAGCTGCACTGCGAAGAAGGGACCCACAGGTTGGAGCTACCGGTATCAAGGACAACCTTGAAGGTCTGGGGAGGGGTACCGATGGAGATCTCGGAGAAGTCTGGAAAGGTCAGTGTCATTCCTCAGAGGCTGAAGTTTCTCTGAGGTGGCATCTTACACTGAGCATTCAGGAAGTTGTCAACCAGCACATCATGGCCAGCAGCAGGATTAAAGGAAGTGTCGCGGAACAAGTCCTGGTGCTTCTCGGGACGAATTCCCATGTACTTCTGGCCCAGGTTGTGCACATGAGCATCGATGTTGTGTGTGTTCTTCAATCTATTAGTTTCGGGTATCCTTGGGCCGATAGCGATGATCATACCAGTTGCTCGGCCAGAGGGACCTTGTTGAGCTTCAGTCTGTGAACCTCGGCGGCAGCGCTGCCCAACAGCGCCGAAGCCGTCAGGAGAGTGAACGACTTCATCATTCAATACGAAAAAAAGAAAGTTGTAGATGTTGGATGCAAAAAAGAGAACGACTCGGATGTGAGAAGGAGAGAGGAGATAAGGGCAGTAGATGGGGAAGTGGAGGCTGGAGAAGACGATGACGGAAGCGGGAGGGTCACACTAACCCCTTTTGGCGATGGACTCATGACATGGGTTGCCTACCCGGGACATTCCAGTTCCTGACGTATACAAAGGACATTAGGATATTTCTTGTTTCTCGGGCCATTTTACTCACTGGCTTACTATGACTCCTCCATACTATTCTCCGTACAAGCTTGGAGAGCAGGGGGAAAGCACTTTGGGCTGGTGCCTGGGCGTGGTCGGACCTGGTCGGAAGACACCCCTCCCGGCGTACCTGGCAGCTGCACGATAGATGATGTGGCAAAAGGCTACGCTGATGATGCTATTATTGTTTTACAGGAAGGTAATCCTGCCCTGTTGTGGTACTCCATAAAGTTTTTGATGTGCACGGAGTATCATTGTAGACTTTTTAAGCATGTGTAGCCCAGAGGCCGCAACTCTCCAGAAAATACTCCGCTTGGCGCTTTTCAAGGGATCGCGTGCCCTTTCAAGGTTCAGATGCTCAAAGGCTGCCTTGACTTCAACAAGTGAGTACCACGCTGCATACGGGGTACATCGTCTAGAATGGGCCTCGGTGTGGTTCGCTTGACTTGAATGAACTTTATGACTTTTAAGTATATTCCAGCCTCATAAATAGTTACTTGGAACAAGTAGGTAAATACGATATTGAACTGTTAAGCCGCCGCTTTGTGGATATATTATTAAAACATAACCCAGGACGTACATATAGATAAAGAAAAGAAAAGTAGTTGCTCCCGGATCGAATGGATATATATATATCTCGACTCTTTTCCCGAGTCATCCGCATCTAAAACCGATACTAGTTATATGATATATCATTGATACCATATCGGCTATTTCAGAGAAAAGTGACGGAAAACATATTTAAATGTACTTAAAACTGTCTACGGATAGGATGCTGCCAACCAATCTACAATGTACATCTACAATCTAAACGTTGAACGGATATCATAGGACCAACAAACAATTGTGACACATGGCGCCTGCATATTATTGATAATACAACTGGTGAGGGAGACCAAGCTCTTGTCATTCATACCCACGTTCCCGAGAAACTCAAGAATTTACCGGTAGAAGTCAGGACTGCAAGAAATCAGTTAGTGATATAGAAAAAAACACAAAGAGCAAACAAGGAACGTACCGGTCATCATCCTGTCCAGTCTTGACCTGGACAGCATAAGCATCCTCAAGATCCGATTGGATAATATTGTAACGGTTCTTGCGGACAGCCCGCAGACCGGCCTCCTGCATGATAGCAGCAATGACAGCACCAGACAATGGATCGTTGCGCACGATCAGGGCATCGAGGTCCACTTCTGGGGACAGTGACATCCTTGCTGCAATGGTTGTGAAGATCAATCGGCGCTCACGTCGGTCACGCAGGTTCGGGAACTCGATTTTTCGGTCCAGACGACCAGGACGCAGCAAAGCCGGGTCCAGGGTGTCGGCTCGGTTGGTGGCCATGATGACCTTGACGTTGCTGGTTTGTTCGAAACCGTCCATCTGGTTCAGCAACTCCAACAGAATACGCTGGACTTCACGATCGGCACCAGTCTGGGCATCGAAACGCTTCGTGGCGATCGCATCGATTTCGTCAATGAAGATAATGGCCGGGGAGTTCTCACGAGCCATCCGGAACACGTCACGGACCATGCGAGGTCCCTCTCCTAGGTACTTCTGTACAAACTCTGATCCGTTGACACGGATGAAGCTGGCGGTTGTGCTATTGGCCACGGCTTTCACCAGCATGGTCTTTCCGGTTCCCGGGGGCCCATAGAGCAAGACACCACGGGGAGGGTCAATACCTACAAACTGTTAGCGTCGCCATTAGCCGCAATGGATCCATTACTACCCACCGATTTGCTTGTAGAGTTCGAAATGCGTCAAAGGCAACTCGACGGCCTCCCGAATCTCCTGTTTCTGCATATCCAAGCCACCAACATCTGCATACGTCACATCGGGCTTCTCATTCTCACCCAGCATCGCAATCGAGGAGTCAGCCTCGGGAGGAAGAATATCGACAAGGGCATTGGAGTGGCGGTGAAGGGCGACCGAGGATGAGGGCTTCAGCTTCTCGCGGTCGAGAGTGGAGAGGATACGGACGACGTAATTAGAACCGGTCGAGCTTTGCACAATGCCGGTACTAGAGATACTAGTTAGCAAAATGATCATCTCGCCCAGAGGCCCAGACGCAGAAATGCATAGCATACTTTTGATCGATTGCCTCCATAAACTGTCCGATGACCAATGGCACACTCTGTATGCGCTTGATCTCTTCTTGTGCCCGGACTAGTTCCCGCTTCAAGCTCCTGCATCGAACGAGTAATTAGTCACTGATGCAAATATTAAATGACAGAATCCAATATGCATACCTCTGCTCATCCTTGATGTATTCTTCCTGCAGTTGGATATACCTGTGTTCAGACGTCAGTACAGATCACTCCATCCAACAAATACGGTCAGACATACTCGAGATGTCTCTGTAGCCTCTTGAGGGTAGCATATTCATCATTTCCATCAGCCCCTGTGCCATCAAGGGAATCCAAGTTGGCGAGGGCGTCAAGCGCACCTGGCTTGGTAAGAGGCGTGACGTTGTTCGCCGGGTTCTCCACGGCAACGTCTCCCATGATGAATACTTTGGGTAGCAAGCAAGATGAGAAAGGGTAATATATGTATCAGCGGGAAATGAAAGAAAATGTGATGTGCTTTGGAGATGGTTGGTGAATGACGCGCTGTGTGAAGGGCTCGGAGTTCAGCCATCTGGAGCTTTCGATGCTATGAGCCCGGGAAGCTTATCGATCACGTGATGTCAGCCATTGGCCTTGCCAACAGCCCAGTTGTAGACTTAGTTCCAACCTTGGAATGTGTTTATGGCCATGTAAAATATATCATAAGATGGTTATTTTCTACATTATAGTGTATATGTAGCTTACTTGCATCATTCCAATGTTCAAAAAAGATTGTTGCAATTGGCGATACGGTAACACTACCAAATTAGGCGCCCCGTCCACTTGCAATGCAGTAGTCTCACCAGGAACAAGATAAATTACAAAGAACATCCGAGAGACTTGATAGTTCTGACCATCATTCTCCTTGTATCTTACTAGGTGTCAAGTATACACTAATCCTGTCTTGAGTGTATCATCCAAATCTATGGTCTGACGCTAGCGGCGGCTGTGGAATATGTAGCCTTGGAGCCAATGACGAGCCTCTTAGAAGGCTTTTAGGCTCATTTGCCTAGGCTATTTGTTTCATCCAGTGATATATAGATGCACAAGCATGTCAACTTGGACACCTGATCAGGTTCAACCCAGGAGAATATCATATTGGACCACCGTGCGCAAAGGCCTTTGAGACACGAGCATGCTTACCATTGGAGTTAGCCATGACCTCAAGCTTGCCAAAGCCCTACAAAAGGGAAATGAAGAAAAGTCGATCCAATCATCTCTAGCGGTGGAGTAGGCCGGGACACGGTAGGTGGGACAGGCACCAAAGCCGTCATGATTTCCCATGCGGATCGAGTCGGATCCTTGCACCGGGTTCACGAGGAAACCCAGGTCAATCCAAATCCACTCTTTTAGTTGTTGGCCCTCGAATTTTTGGTGACTTCCGGGGATTGGGCGCGTATCGAGAAGATGATCAGACGCTAGCCTGAGCTTTATATAAGGAGAACCACCTGCCCAGGTGGCCACCGTGACGGCTCTAGTTCTGTTTTTATTTTTATTTCCCTCCCATTATTTCTTTTTCCCCTTCCCCCCATATTTCAGTCTGGAAAGACTCCCTTTTTCAAACCAATTCTCCCCTTTGGAATTTATCACTGGGTGGCTGCTAACATGACCATATCGGGGTTGGAGTATATGATCTAACCTGACTCGGGAGACCGTTGGAATGGATCATCGTTTAGATGAACTTACAAAGTCTGAGGGGAAGATGGGGGTTTTATGGGAATTTTCCCTCAGAAAGAGATTTCCATATTGCCTCTGTTTCCTTAATTTTCCCATTATTCCCCCCTATGTGTGCCCTATGCGTGGCCAGTCTCTTTCATATGCAGGTTGAGGCTGGCAACACCCGATCTGAACGAGATAACAACACCAATGAGAAATCCAAACCAACACAAGGGGGGAAAAAGGAAACTGAAAAAAAAAACAGAGAGAAGACTAACGAAAAAGACGAGGAGAAGACCGAAAAAAAAGAAAGCGACTCTAAAAGAAAATTACCCAGTAACACAAGTAACCAGAACAGGTGAGGTGATTCCAAGGTTTTACGAAAGCTCTGAGTCAGTAATTTTTCCCCTTCTTTCTCTCTCCACTTCCCCTTTCATCCCTAACTGAACGGATCTCGTGAATTGGTAAGTTCTATTTGGTTATTGTTTCGTTTCGTTTGCTATTATTTTTTTTCCTTACCGTTCTACTCTTATTTTATTACATGTATTGATATTATTTGGTTGTGGCCACGCACCCCCCCTTTTCCCTTCAAATGTTATGTCCCTCCTGTAACCGTCATTTGTCCGTGGTTTCTGGAGGAGCTTCCATTATTATAATATCTTGGCTCTTTCAAAAGATCAAGACTGAACTTCCTTGTGATTTGCTAACATTTTTAGCCTACCCCAGCTTCTTACCCTTCCCCCCATCCATATCATCTTTAAACGCCTTTGACTCCGTCCTTATCCGTGGTTTGTTGCCTTAGGTTTCAACTCCACGTGACCACACCTGGCCAACCTCTATCCCCTTCATATCCCCCATCTGCCAATTCCGGGAGGCCTCAGTCATCCGTATAAAAAGCGGAATTTAAGTCACTCCAGCCTTATCGGTATGTACCTCATTCCCTCCCCTCCTTTCCCCCCCATATTATCTCCAATATTCCCCTTGTGCCTTCCCTCCCCACCTTCTCTTTGATCGTGTCGCGACCGGGTCTGCGCGCGACTCCAAACATCTCGCCTCCGACGCGTCCACCTGATCGTCCATCATTGGACTAAATCCTATACTTCCTTGATTCCTATATGGCGTATTTTGCACATTGTTAATAATGCATGAGCCAATGTTCGCGTGCTGACTCCGTCCTAGGTAGATGGGTTGGCAAAACCGCTCGACATGAATGCCTGGCTTGCCGACGCCTCGAATATTCCTGGCCAGGATAATGGCGCCTTCCATCCACCCACTATAGATCCCTCTACTGCTTTCCTTCATGGCTCCCCCGCCCCCCAGGATCCATCCCAATTTCAGCGCATGTTCAACAATGGGGTGCCGCGGAACGCTTCGCCAGGCTTCCACAATCCAAACCAAGTGATTCCATCCAAGCGAGCCCGGCCAGAAGATGGCATGCCCATGTCCCCAAGGCCAGCACCCGGCGGCGTGACGGGGTCGCGATCCCAGACCCCCCCACCAGCCATTTCCAGGTTATCAAGGACCGGCCAATGGCACTCCGCAATTCCCGCAACACCCAACTCCGTACCAGCATCTCCAGCAAGGAGCGTCTCCGAATGTAACGCAGTCGCCCATCATGCAGGAATTTGATCAACAAAGCGCTCGCATGGGCACAGCGTCTCCGAGCCCCTTCTCGCCCGCTGGCCCGCACCCTGGACCCCATATGTCTCCATCACAGTCGGATGGCAGTCGCGTGAATACGCCCCAGAACGCCAACTTCATGCAGGCGCAGCAGTTTGGTGGAATGACCTCGGGAGCCCCTCAGCCCTCGATGCAGGCGCCGCAGTTTAGTGGCATGCAACAGGGCTACCATCAAGCTTTAGCGAATCAACAACAGCGGCTGGCTGCCATGCAACAAACACGGATGAATCCCAATCCTGCAATGCCTGGTCGCCCAGTTCCAGGAGGCATGAACCCCATGGGCAATCCTCAGCCCATGGGAGGCATGAGACAAATGCCACCGAACATGCAGTCGAACATGCCGAAACCCAATAACCCAGAAGCATTCTTGCGCTCATTGCACAAATTCATGACAAGCCAGAATCTTCCGTTGGACCAGAATCCTATTGTGTGTGGTCGTCCGATCCACCTTGTTCAGCTCTACGCCACGGTGATGAAGATGGGAGGATCAAAAAAGGTCACAGCGACGAATATGTGGCCAGCAGTTGCACATCAGCTGCAATTCCCCCAGATGCAATACCCCATGGCTGCCCAGGAGATTCAAGCTCAGCACTCCAGGAACCTGGCTCCTTACGAACAAGCTTTCATCAGCTCACAGCAAAAACAAATGGCGGATCAGATGCAGCAGCAGCAACATCAACAGCAGCAACAAGGCGGGATACCGCGGCCGCCTGGTCAATTCCAGTCTCCTTCAGTGAAGCCTAATCCAGGATTTGAGCAAGCTCAGGGAATGGCGCAGTCCCCCCAGAATAACATGCCAGTTCATAATAATGCCCCAGGGAACCCAGTGAATGGGTTCGCCACGCCGACACACGCGCGAAGCCAAAGCAGGCCAGCTCAGGCCGGGCATCGGCCAAGCATCTCAAGGGCGTCGCAACCACCGGTCCCACCTACTGAGCCCGCTACCGGACAGTTCGCAGCTCCTTCCCCGCAATCTGCAAAGGGCGTCACGCCTGTTCCGGGCCCACAGCAGCCAGTACAACAAGAACAAAAGCAAGAGCAACTAGTAAAACGACCCATTGAGGAAACCTTTAAACCTATGGTTCTGGCAGGAAGTCGTTTTCACGGGCCTATCGCCGTTGATGAGATGTACCAGATTGGCGATGATATCTCGAGGCTAAAGCCAGACGTGCCAGGCTTTGCAGAACTAGGAGTTGTTGATATTCACGCGCTGACGATGGCGCTCAAGTCCGGCATCTATGCCGAGATCCGGGTTGCTTTGGATACACTCACCACACTTTCTGGTGAACCATCCGTTCAGATATCATTGGAGAATTGTGATGACTTGGTAGAGAGCCTGATCGACTGTGCTGAAGACCAGGCCGATCTTCTAGCACAACACACTGTGGAAGAGTCGGATACTATGGTCCTACGTTCCTATGATGAAGTCACACGTGACTGCCAGTCTGAGAACACATCGCTTGCAGATGTTCCCGAATTTGGAAGTATCGAGTACGAACTAGACCGGGCCGTCGATCGACTCATCTGTATTACCACCATCCTGCGCAATTTCTCGTTCAGCGAGACGAACTTCCTACCTCTTGGTATCCCTCCTGTCGCTCAGCTGTTTTCCGCCGTCTTTCGTTACATGGGCACTCGCAAGATGTTCTTGCGGACAAGCCACAACACGTTGGACTTTATGAAGGATGCTGTGATCTTGCTGAGTAACTTGGCGCATGTGGTTCAAATCCCCGGCAAGGACGAGGCGCTGAATCTGTTGATTTTCCTTTTGGCGTTCTCGCCCGAACCTGAACCCACATCACCCTCCGGGAAAGTGATGTTCACTGCATTTAACTCTTCGGTTGATCGATACACCCCAGCTGCTGTTGATGGGCTTGCCAAAATGTTGGCAAGAGATGACCCGAACCGAACTTACTTCAAAGCCATATTCTCTGGCGATGGGTCTGCACCACCGCAACCGGAGTTATTAACACGCGCGTTTGGCCTTGCCATCTCCTGTGTCCCCGACAAAAAGCCCATGGCCGTCGTGGATGCACGCAAAGTGTTCCTGATGCAAGGTCTTTTGTCAGCTGATGTTCTCACCACATTCGCCGATGGCCCTCTTGCCAAAGCATGGCTCGAGTCAGTCGACGGGTTCGCCGTCCATCTCCTGCGACTTTCCTGCGCACTGTGCACAGAACGCATCCCGCAGATCAACATGCGACAAAGAAGTCAGGCCGAAGCCGATGCGTATGCCTTCAGTTCGATTGTCAATCGAGGACTAGGGATTCTACGCCGACTCGCCGAAAAATCAAAGCAAGTCGACAACACCTCCCCTCTCAACATCCCGTCCGGAATCCTTCCCAGAAAAGAAAGCCTGCTAGGTGCACTGCTCCTCCCCAACATCGACGGTGGTGTTGTTCGCCAGCTCCTCACATATGCTCGGTTGGCGGAGTAAATGATGTCTGCATGAACTTTCAATTGCGCTGGTGACAAGTTGGTTTCGTACAAGTCCCGCCTCGGGGGAATCGGATCCTCTTCCACTTAGCATATACGACAATCTTGATTTTCTCTCATGTCATTTGTACTCATGTTCGACTGTCAGTCTTTCTATTCTTAACTTTTGGGCGCTGGTGGGTGATGGGGATTTTACTTTTTGTTCTCGTGAGATAGCGTTCTGTTCTGCTTAGGTGTACAATGCTCAAAATACCCTCGATGCAAATCGAGAGATACTTGCATCATGACCAATTTTCCTTTGCTTCCATTTAGAGTCGTAAATATCAAATTAATGGCTTACCACAGACTAGGACTTGGACTCGGCCACATCCAAGCATCTAACAGAAATACAAGAGGGCAAGAAAGCCCTCTCAGTTCCGTCCGCATGGCGAAGTAATTGGAATCTAGAGGTCTTGAAACAGGTCTGCCAGTGACCTACACTTTCCAACAGACAGGACCATATATACTGCGCACCTACAGGTTTCCTGGATGATTTCCTAAATGGAAATGCCATGTGGTCATTCAATATCAAAGCACTAGCACCCATCGAGTCGTCGAAAATGTACAGATTGGAAGTGTTACAGGTAGAGAGAGAAGCAAGGAAACAAGAACGCAAAAAGCAGGTGGACGCCAGAAGACACGACCGGAAAGATAAGACACAAACACCAAAGAAAGAGGAAAAGAAGGGGAAGGAAAACAACCCGCAACGAGATTAAGGTATGCACCGAGAGAAGGGGGAGAGAGATCAAGGAAATAGATATGACCCATCCACATCAGGGACCACCGTGAGCGTTCGTTTCTTTCTTTCTCCCTTGTTTTCGACGTGATGTGATTTTTGCTCTCTCCGATAAGTATGTTCTAGCATACCCCTCGCAATAGGGGTATGATGATGCTTTTGGGGTGAATCTTGGGGTCATTCGAATGGTTCCGATGAGCTCTTCAATCGCAGGCGTATGGGATAAGATTGAGATATTAGAGAAGAAAAACAATTAGAATCTCCGCTCCTGGAGGAAGTTCACAATCTCGGGTTTGCGCCAGCCCTGTATGAAAGATATCAATTTCCGTTGCATGATAATCAATTGCACTGTAGAAGACAGCATACCTTGACAATGATGTGGCCAGTGAGTCGGTTAAGAGTAACGTCAGGGTTAGGCTTATTTCCGTCAACAACTCCCAGGCAGAAGCCAGGTCGTTGCGGAGCGCGTCCAGATCGCCCTCGGTCTTCTGGAGCTTGGTGAGTTGCTTGGTGCCGCCGGCCTTTGTGACGACGTAGACAGGCAATTGGTTGGAGGCAGTGCGACGGACGAAATAGGGAAGGTTGGTGAGCTGCAGGGGGGGATTGGGTTTCTTGTCTGATTTGGATGGGGATGAGGTCGCCGATGGGGTAGATTGTTGTTTCAGGGCTTGCGCTTGACGACCGAGATGAGCGAGGAAGGTACGGCTTTGGCGGGTAGGGAGAGTAGGGTGAGAGAATTGAGGACGATCTGAGAAATAGGGTTAGCTATGCGCTCTTTGCTCCGAGACGAAACCAACACAGCATAGATGCATGTTTTTCCTTTCTCTTTCTTGTCCGTTGGTTACAAGATAGTGCAAGACCCGAGGGTTCGGCTTTGCTCTTGTAGTTCACAAGAGATCAGGAGACCAATATAGAATTGGACGAGAGGTAACTTACGTGAAGCTTGCAATTTTGCCTGAGGACATAATGTGGAAAATGAACTACATCTCTGAACGGAAGCCACGGACTGTGTAGAGTTGACGCGAAGAGAAATGGCCGTTACCTGCTTTCGCATAGCCGAGGACGGGCCCGAGTGTAGAAGAGACGGCATTTCTCACGTTCTAGAGGACCAAGAGAAAGGTCCTGGTTGGAGAAAATGGGAATATCAAGGCAAAGACTGGTGAGATCAGAGAGCGACATCTGATGCTCCTCTGCTCAGATTTTCTGCCACCGCTTTTCCAACACCCACTTCCAAAAAGGGTTTAGGGCCACCGACGCCCGCACAATCTGCAAATTCTCCATTGATCGCGGTTGGCCTTTGTTATCCCCCTCTAGACCTTTAGCCCCCTCCTGCCATCTTTTGAGATCCAATATGGCAGACAACGCCCCCCCTACCGCTGAGACCTTGCTCAGCGGCGCTGCTGCTCACACGCCCAAGACCGCCGAGGATATCGCATCCCAGCATGATTTGCTGCCCCGACTCATCCCCTACCTCGACCGTCACTTGGTCTTCCCCCTGCTCGAATTCAGCGCTACCGGCGATGAGGAGGACAAGGAAATCACCCGGGCGAAGTACGAGCTCCTGAAGCACACCAACATGACCGACTACGTCGCCAACCTGTGGCAGGAGATCAACAATTCCGACACCATTCCCGACGAGTTTGTGAAGAAGCGCGAGGAGGTTCTGGCCAAGCTACAGCACTACCAGGATCAGAGTGAGAAGATTACCGAATTGTTGCAGGATGAGGAGGTCGTGGGCAACCTGCGAAGCGACAAGGCCGCCAACTTGCGGTTCCTCGAGGAGCAGCACGGTGTCACCAACGAGATGGTCAACTCTCTCCACGACTACGGACGGTTCCAGTACAGCTGCGGCAGCTACGGAAATGCCGCTGAGCTGCTTTACCAGTTCCGTGTTCTGTCCACCGACAACGACAAGGTTGCCGCCGCCACATGGGGTAAGCTCGCATCAGAGATCTTGACCACCAACTGGGAGGGTGCGATGGAGGAGGTTCAGAAGGTCAAGGACTCAATTGAGACTCGTCTGTTCAACAACCCCATGGGTCAGCTCACCAACCGCTCTTGGCTCATTCACTGGTCGCTGTTCCCCTTCTTCAACCACGACCCCGCTCGCGACGTCCTCACCGACCTCTTCTTCTCCCCCGCCTACATCAACACCATCCAGACCAGCTGCCCTTGGGTTTTGCGGTACCTCGCCGCCGCTGTCATCACCAACCGCAGCCGCCCCCACAAGCACTCCGGTGTCTACCAGAAGCAATTGAAGGATCTGATCCGCGTTGTGCGCCAGGAGGACTACGAGTACACCGACCCCGTCACCGACTTTGTCAAGGCCCTTTACGTCGATTTCGATTTCGAGGAAGCACAGAAGAAGCTCGGTGAGGCAGAGGATGTGCTGCGCAGCGATTTCTTCCTTGTGTCGGCCGCCGACGCTTTCGTCGACGCTGCCCGTCATCTCATCTCCGAGAGCTACTGCAAGATCCACCAGCGTATTGATATCAAGTAAGTTTTGTTTATATTTGGAAATTGCAATGAACAACAGACTAACGGTTGTTCTTTTTTTACTAGGGACCTGTCCGCTCGCCTCGGTCTGAACCAGGATGAGGGTGAGAAGTGGATTGTCAACCTTATTCGCGACACCCGGGTTGACGCCAAGATCGATTACAAGGAGGGCACTGTTATCATGAACCACCCCCCTCAGTCGGTTTACCAGCAAGTCATCGAGAAGACCAAGGGTGCCTTCTTCCGCACACAAGTCTTGAGCTCGGCTGTTGCAAAATAAAAACACCATGACCTTGATGTTGAAAACTGAACTTTTCTCTGTTATGTGATTTCCAACTTGTTTCTGCCTACCCCCCCATTTTTTAGTGATCTCCCCGTGTATGTCACAACACGGTTGTTTGGGGACTCCATGCAGAGTGGCATCCGGCTGGCGTTTTTTTTGGGGGTCCACACTTATTTCTTTACCTCTTTAGTCTTGCAGTTCTTATGCACACTCTCTCCCCATATTTTCACTTCCCGTGTCGGATATTTTGCTTGACCTCTTTATGTATTGGCCATTTCTGATGGAGGTTTGGAGGGGGTCCCCAAAAGCAGCCAGAGAATCATGGCGCCCCTGATCTTTGGAAGGGGAAAAAAGATGAGAGATGGAGATATGATGTTGTAGACTCTTTGATCTTAGGGTCTGATTTATCTATGCTGTTACGAATGGTCTATAGAGATGAGTGAAAGATGATGTCTTTTTGACAATACCCCTTATTCCAACCTATACTTGTTCTTAAGCTAGGATTATACTCGGTTATAATGGTATCTCCTAACTATCATAATCAGCTTGGACATATCGATTCCGTTTGGCGTAGTAGCATAAGGCTGCCTCTTCCAGCATAGCCTCTACGTGGTTAAATCCCCTCGCCTTATTTCCTCCCAAGTCCTAAAAGATCAGTCCAGCTTATAATTTGATCTAGGCCAACATCTAAACCAAGATTTTATAACAAAATCAGATGGCATTATAACACACCAACAGGCATTCAACACCACGAGAAATAAGAGAGAAGGGTATATCAGAATGAGACAAAAGGCACACGTTCCTATCAGCTCAAAACAGGGCTACCGCTATTGCCCACAAGAGCCACTTCCATCCCAGGACTGCTGTTCTTTTCTTTCCCCTGGTTCGTCCGGGTGGGCTTTTGTAATCCAAGGATTCCACCTGGGCAACGGAGTCAGGCTTGGATATCCATGTGGCCAATGTCTCTGCAATCCACGAGATACTCCGGGGCACGAAGAACGTAGTTTCAAGAAAAAACGGCCAAAGGGAGCAGTATCAGGCGACTATACAGGAAAGTCCTTCCTCGTAATGTTGCTGGCCGACGGAATCCCAGGACGGATCCAAGGGCTGGAAAGGAAGCACCGAGTCCAATGGATAGAAGCAAGGAAACAAATAGGCCTCAACGACCGCCTCGCGAGTCTGGTTCACGCCTGCGTGCTCCGGGTTGACTAATAGGGATGATTTCATTGATGTACGGCTCAGACTGGGTTACCGAGTTGTCGCTGCTGGAGCTAGAAGTTGAGACGCCGCTGCTGTTGTGGGCCATGCGAGTAGCTTCCTGCTTCTCGTACTCTCGGGACATTACCGCGAGATCATCAATTTGTTCCTGTCCGGAGCAGTTAGTGATGTGTAACGTTTGGTTCTCTTTCTCTTTCTCCGGCTTCAATTCATGTTTAATAAAGATGGGGGAACAAACCCGCGTGAGTGGCACACCGTTGATGAGGTACCCTTCGCGTCCCTACAATTATATCTGGTTAGCATGGGTTATATAGAGGGCGTAGTGGAAGCAATTGCAAGACATACTTGGTAGCTGTAGGGTCTAACTGTTGCACTTGGTCCAAGGAAGTACTGGATATGGCCGAGGACAATATGTCGGGACAGCCCGTACCCGGGAAGCCAGTATTGCTGGACGGGAGACATCGTAAGCCTAAGAGGTGAGGCGTCGAGGCGAGGCGAAGGAAGAGCTAGGGTCTGATGTCAGTCGACACCGACACAAACGGTCCGTGCCTGGAAGCTCTTTGTGGGACTTTTGGCACAGCTCTGAAGGACGAGGCATGGGTATAAATAGGTGGGTTGGTACCCTGGTTCATCAAATAAAAGTCCCACCAGAGATGGAGACGAATAAGGCAAATCTCAATCGGGAATGCACTAATCTCCAGTCCCGATCCTTCGGAGAATATGGTCTCACAACAGGTCAACGGCAGAGGGGACCGCGCATCCCCCTTCCACAGCACGATCCACAAGGTCGACTGCACACAGGCAAATGAAACCAACCGGCTACCCACGAATGCGGGAACTCTCGAGCGAGTCTCCACGGAAGACAGCAAGAAGAAAGGGGGAGTAGCGGGAAACCACCAGAAACGGCCCAGATCCTGTGCCCTCGCCTTCGAGAGGAGAGTTCATGTCGGAACGTTCGGGGGCCGGAGGACAAGAGAACCATCCGCCTCACTTTATCAGCCAACGAGATTCAACCCTTCTTTTTTCCTTTGATGTATATCAAATTGGAGCTCCTGACCGCCGAAATGAAACGGGATCATAGTCTGCCCACTTTACCATTTCCTACTACCGAGGACCCGGTCTTGGATGAAAGTGAGGCTTGCATGGAGGAGCATCGGCCTCGAATCAATCCCAGGGCGCATGGAATTGGAGAATTCTCCTAAAAAAGAGTGGACAGTGCACCTGTAGGAATATTTGGAAGCGGAAGGAAATGAGTTCTGACGTCGCCGTTTCTCTCACCGCAGATTCCCAAACCTATGCAGCGCCAAATTGGCTCTTGATGCGGTGGTGTCGTGGCACCACGGATTGTGGCCTTGGGATTGCGGGGGCAACTGAGCTGCAGCGAGGACATCTGCAGCTCTCGCTTTTAGGGCATGGTCTCGCTCTAAGGGCTTGAATTCTGAATTTGCCAAGATCATATTGTATATGTGGTCGAAACATATACCAGATGGAGACGAGTTTATGTGCGGGAATGATTGGAGGCCCTCTTTCAAGGAGATATATCAGTCGGGTCCAATATCATTTGGCCAAGGATTAGTGTGCGTTGTATCTCCGATCGACCGAGATGTGATCCAAGAGGTTCATCACAGAGGTTAGTCAGGGTGTGATAAAATATGAATGGACGCATTCATGTCCGTTAGCCTGGATGCTCTACATGGGGTTCAAACCAATCTTAGTCCACAAGGCTAACGCTTCATGTAATATTCTCTAGTCTTTTCATAATTCGTCCGACATGAGCGAAAACAAAATATCTCGCATCGACATCGCCTTTACTGCGGAGGCACATATGGGGTCACCAACATCTCACTGAACTTCTCCAACTTCTCCTTCCCGCGCACTTCCTCAACAAGCATTGGCATGCGGACCACATTGAAATCCTCATAGAGCTCCTCGATCTGATCAAGGTACTTCTTCTGCATCTTTCTCCGGGCAGTGCACTGTTCGCAGTCGCTTGCTTCTTTGGGGAACAGAAGCTGGTTGACAACGATTGAGTGGGTGTCGATGTTGTAGCTGGTCAATTCTTGGATCATACGTTCCGTCTCGTAGAGTGACAAGAACTCTGCAATGCATACACACACAAAGGTGGTCATGTCTGGGTTCTTGAATTGCGTGTTGACCTCACTAATCGTCTCCCGCAATGACTCCATCTTCTGTAGCAACTCATCCATATTCTGACCGCCAGGTAGACCGCCACGAGCGCCCAGAATTGAGTTGAGCATCGGACCGAACTGGGTGGAAAGCTGGGAGAGCTTGGCTAGCGCTTTCTCGAGCACGGTAGGGAATTGGAGGAATCGAAGGGTGTGGCCGGTCGGCGCGGTATCGAACACGATGACTTCGTAGGAGAGGGACTTGACCTGCTTCAGGACTTCGGCGAAGGACATAGCTTCGTCAACACCGGGAATCTGGAATCACCAAGAGTTAGATTGACACGTAGAGTATAAGGGCGCGACAGCGGCATAAGCACTTACGCTGAACGCAAGATCCTGCATCATGTTTCCCATGCCCAATCCCGCCATGGGATCTTCACCCTGACCATCTCCGGTGGCAAGCAGATCCTGGATGCTCCCATTGGGGTCGATCTCCATCGCGCTCAGGTTTGAGTAGCCATCGATCAAGCGGGCCTCCTTTCCGAACTTCTGACCGAAGGCGTCGCTCAGGTTGTGTGCGGGATCGGTCGAAATAAGCAGAACGGATTTGCGGACTTTGGCCAACTGGATGGCCAGCGAGCAGGAGGTGGTGGTCTTACCCACACCTCCTTTTTCCTCCGACGAAGATCCAGCGGAGAGTGTTTTGGTTGAGGACCGACTGGAGCGTAGGCTCCATGTCGAGATCGTCGCCATGTACCACGGCGGAGGACATTGTGTATGATTTGTTGAAGTTGTACTCCGTAAATGTTGCGAAGTTGGGAAGTTCACTTGCCCCGCAACATCGAACTTTCCGGAAGACAAGACTTTCACAACATCCCCTTGCAACTTTTTCTCTGGTTCTTTTTTATACCTAGGTAATTATAACACCCAATTAGCGTTGCAATATACCTAGGGTCATAGTTACCCATATTCTTCTACTAACTGCAAATTCTATGGCATTTAGAGATCGTTCTCGAACAGAACAATCAGAGTGAAGTTGACAGAGATAATTCTATTTACTACAGATAATCACGAAAAGAAGAATCGGAGAAGCTATACAACATTCATGTGCAAGATGGATCCCAATTGACAGCTGCATGGCACTCTCCGCAGCCATCGGTATCCTCCGATGAATCTTGGATAGGAATAGTTATAGATCTCTCCTCCCAGTATATTCTTCTTTTCTCCCCCTTTTTTCTTTCTTCTTTCCCTATCTTCTATATTTCCCTTTGAATGAATGGACTCCCTTCAAAATAATCAACAACCTGGTCGCACCAACGACCGCCTCGCACTTTATCAGCAACAAATCTCCCCTACCCCGCACACCAAAGACTCAGACCCAATCAAGAAACCAACCATGGCAACCCGCGATCCCATCACCTGCCATTGCCTCAACACTTTATCAGGGACACCCGCAGCCGATCTACCAGTGACCCTGACCCTCCTCTCCAACACGCCAACCGTCCTCAGCGGCACCTCGTTCCGCGCAATCACGAACGCCGACGGCCGCGTCGCCAACTGGACACCAGTCAACACAGGCTCGCCATCGGTCCCTGCTATCTTGGCTGCTCTTCCTGCTGCAGACAGCATGACCAACTGGTCTGTGTGCTTTGACGTCGGCCCCTGGTACGATACCCAGGGTATTGAGAGCTTCTGGCCAGAGGTTGAGGTTAAGTTCACTGTCAAGGGACGTGGCCGCGAGGGTCAGGAGGGCTGGCGCCACTATCATGTTCCTGTTCTCCTGGGTCCTTGGAACTACTCGACTTACCGTGGTTCGTGAAGCTGTGGCGGTATAAGGGATTCCTTTTGAGGATGAGCTGGATATTGTGTAAATATTTCAATCTTGCTAGGGCTTGATGGATAGATGTCAATGGACTATCTCTATTGGAAAGGTGCTGTTTCTTAAGCATGAATCTTGGCTATGGTTTTCATTGCTCAGTTGTCTAAAATATTTGCTTTTCTAGATATATGTAGGCGGGTATGAGCCTGCCTACCTGGGCCGGTGAGGATAACAGCCTCCTACTGATTAGTATCTACAGCTTACTCGTTCTTGGAAAGAGAAGCAGCGCACAGACTACTACAACCACCGTAGATAACTGTGGATACACTGAAGGTCTTGTCAAACCTTGCTCTTTCTATCTTCCATCAATTACACCGCGGAGTAAGTCATCAAGATAGAGTTAATGTAGTCGAATGTTTCACCTAATGCCGGGGATATCTACATTCGATATGAATTCGTTCCCTCGAAAGACATTTGAGCTTTCGAGGTTCTTAAGAATTGACAAGTTGATGCACAATACGTACAAAATCAGGGTTAAAGGATACCAAGACTGTGGGGAAGTAGCTCTCCACAACGGCCCTGCCCTCAAACCGACGAAATCGCCCGGCTACTTTGGGCTAGAACACGCCTTGTTATTGTCGCATTGACGTTCAAATTAAGGTTAATTACTCTGTACGATGTATAAGATCGACTGCACGTTCTCGAGACACTAGTACTAATAGTAGTTCGTCAATACCAAATTATTACTCCGTGCTAGTCTACGGAGTATAAAACTCTCCTTCCACATGGCAGTTGGCCTTTTGCATTAAGATCAGGGGCAATACGGAGTACTATCGTACTTAAATACGAAGTGCCGGACGCGATCTCGAGCTTGTACAGCATACAGTATACGGAGTACTCCGTATGCATACATGTACGCGTCCGAACCCATCTACACGTATGGATACATGTACGGAGTAGGTACTCTGTCGCTGATTAATAATTACCCTGGCCGAGAGGTAACGGTCGTACAAATTTACACATACAGACCTTGGTCAGATACGATACATACCTAGGTATAGAGTCCTTCCCTGTCTCCCATTTGGCATATATGAATATGTCAACATGTACATATGTATAACTACACATACATATCTGCTCTGTACATATCTGAAGATCAAGATATCTTGAATTCCAGTGGCAAGATAGACCCTCGCGTGCCATCGATTGCGTCATCATTTTCACCGCATTCTTCGGGTTAGGTGAAATCCCTCGCCTTGGCACTGGGAAATTATGTTCTTTGATTGGCTAAAAGATCCATATGATCCACAGCGGGAGAGATTTCTGTCGTCACCGTGACATAATGAATATAATACCCGTAGACCTGGATGGGATGACCAACCTTGGAAACCCCCCCGTATCAAAGATGCAAGCATCGACTCTTTTGTGCTCTTGTCCTTGCACCTTTTGTTATTGAACATTTTCTGTCCTTTTCAGCCAGTGAATCACCGTTGGACCAGATTGACTCCGCTCTCCAAACTGACAAACTAAAATTGACCTATTCAATTCTCCACCTTATAGTCAAGGTCCTAGGTAAGGGTTTCTTTATCTTGTAGAATGTCTGAGATGGGGGCCAGGTAATACCTCATTCGGATAGAATAAGGACAACGTAGATATGTATGGATAAATAGAGGATAGAAGAATACATGTACATATGTATGCACCAATAGCAGTATCCGAATATTGTACAAATGTCTCCAGTGGAAACCAAGACCGAACCTGATTCGGTGAAAAGACAGTTACAGTCACGTTATGTTGTATACACCCATAATTTGTGACCCAATTTTATTAAAATTACTGTACGTGACGGTAATTGTGTTTTTTTTCTTCATCTGCCAAAATCCCAAATTCCCTAAATTTCATCATATCCCTCTTCCCCCTACGTCACTCTCTTCCTCTCTCACTCACTCTTACTCCTCGTGAAGCCATTGTTTGTTTGGCTTTGCACATTTTATATCCATATTCGACTACACCAGGTGATGTCTGCTGCGGTCGCCCCAGCCGTATCGACTCTTCGATCAAACATGTCTTCCCCCATGGACTCGAAGAAGGCAGAAAAAGAAGGTTCGTGTCACGCTTTCCCTACATTTTTTTTGGGGCGCATTTTTCTAGTACTTCTGCTTTACAATACTGTGATATTCCCATTATGAATCTTCTTCCCTCATTTTGTGTCCTGCATTATACTTCCAGAAAAGAAAAAAGTCCCCTTTTTGGTTGGGTAATACGCCACTGTCCCCGATCCTTAAATTCCCCTAGTGCTTTGCCGTCGCGATGACTTCACCCACTGGCGTCATTGATTTCCTCCCCACCAACACATGCATCTTCCATGCACAATGAAGCCCCCAACTCGATCCCAAAACCGCAGTGGTACCTATTTGCGATCGCATTAATTCTTGGCGCGTTGCTAACTTGAACTCTCCTGCCAGACTCGCAGGCCGCGCCTTCCCAGAACGACCAGAAACCCAACGTAGAGACTCAGACCTCGTTGGCGCCGCCTCCACGACCGGGTGCGCCTACTGCGTCTGATACTCCGGACTACTTCAATTCCATGCACAATCCCTTTTCGCTAGAGCCCAATCCATTTGAGCAATCGTTCGGAGGCAATCCGGCCGAGACCCCAGGCAAATCACTTCTTCCCTCTGTCGCTTCCCTCACCTCACCGGCCTTGCCTGGAACCAGTTCTTCTGGCGGTTACAATTGGAACAACTCCCTGCGTTCGGGGCCTCTTAGTCCGGCTATGCTCCCAGGGCCCACCGGCCCCAATGACTACTTCGACAGCATCGGTCGCGGCTTCCCTACCCCGAACGAGTCCTCCCTTCGCACCGGACTGACACCTGGCGGTGGAGGCTCTATGTTCCCGGCCCCCAGTCCCAACTCACAAGCTCTCTTACAACAACTTCAGAACGGCGGTGCTACTCCCTCCACTATTGATTTCCACCGCACTGCACTTACAGCAAAGAAGAACAACTCGAATGCTCCTACCTCCAACCCTAACGAGCAGGAACAGGCTGCTGCCAATATGGATGTAAAACCAGCTCGGCCCGCTGACTTCACTCAGCATGATGCAGCTGACGCGGCGAATGGACTGTTCATGCTGGCGAAGGGTGGCCAGGCAAACAATGCGCCAATGAACCATGCCCCAATGCAAAATGATACTCGCGCTGCAGCTGCCCGACGTGTCTCCCAGAACACCAATGGCACCAGTGTTGAGGATGCATCTGACCACGAACCCGCGAAACCCGCTAAGGGCAGGGGTAAAAAGAACACCAAGGCCCCTGCTGCCAATAACCGCCGCAAGGCTGATGACGCCCCGAAGGGATCCAACAAAAGGTCGAAAGCCAACACGGAGATGCCTTCGGATATGGATGATGAGGAGGAGGAGGACGATGATATGAAACAATTCCCCATGGATACCAAGAAGATGACTGATGAGGAGAAAAGACGCAATTTCCTGGAGCGGAATCGGTATGAATGGCCCTTTCTGTATTCAGGAGCTTGGGATGCTAACATTTACACTACAGTGTCGCGGCTTTGAAATGTCGTCAACGCAAGAAGCAGTGGCTGGCTAACCTTCAAAACAAGGTTGAGATCTTCACTCAAGAGAATGACGCCCTCACTGCGACAGTGACTCAGCTGCGTGAAGAGATTGTCAACCTCAAGACTCTCTTGCTCGCACACAAAGATTGTCCGGTCTCCCAGGCCCAGGGGCTCGGCCCCCTCATGATGAACGGCATGTCAGCCGGATACGATCACCACGGGTATAATATGCCGCCCAACATGGGCATGCAACCCGGTGGCATCCCTACACAGGGCATACGCCGGTGAGAAAAACTTGCTTTTTTTTCTCATCTCAAGATGCCTATCTTGCTTTTCGCCGCATGTAGGAAATACAGTTCACTGCTTAGACCTAGCGGTTGATCTCTTCCTGGGAGTTTGTTTTTCCTCGCGGTCTCTCTCGGCTAAGGCTCTACCGACTGTTTTGGCATGGGCAGGTGTTAATGATCCTCACGACTCAAAAATGGACGGACTAACCTGGTGGTCTGGAGTGACCCTTTTTTGAGGGTGTGTCAATTCGGCGTACGAGATGCTTTCTTCTTTCTACTTATGGCTACTTCGAGGTTGATGTTCTGCTTTATGACGTTCCCCCTTCCCCTTGTTGTATTTTTTTAAACCCCTTTTCGCTTTTCCTTTCTTTTAATCCTCCTCCTTGATGGCTCAGGGGGATTTTTACCTTTCGCTTGTCTAATACTTGAGGGCACATCGGTGCATTGTTTGTTTTCCCAAATGTGGGTTGCTTGTGTCGAAATACATGATTCCTGGACGGCGTACGGATGGCTTTTGTGATTTTCTGATGTGTTTGACTAGTTTCCTTGAACCAGATGGTTGGGCAAATGAATCGACAATCGCTTTCAAAGTGTCATATTATCCATTTTTGTAGATCTTCAGTGTACCCTTGGGTACTGGTAATATTGGCAGGTGATTGCAGTGCTTCGTGCGGCCCCCTCTGGAATCTCTACATGTAGGAATTGTATCATCAGATATCGTATATCATTTACTAACATTCTATAGTACATTTTTGAAAGTCGTGTACATGTCGAAAGCGCTTCAGAAAATTCTCGTCAAACTCGGCTTCATCCACATGGGCTGTTTACACTTGTTGTTTGCCCGCCAATTTTGGATCTTGTCATTGTCCCATCCAGCCGTGAATTGGTCGGCAATTTCCATCTTGCTAGCAGCCCCAAGTCGCAAGCTCTGCACAAACACACAGGCTCCAGCGGTGTCATAAGTGTAAGACATACACCAATCCTTATCATGGCAGGCCTGACGACAGGCTTCTAACGACTCATGCTGGGGCAGAGTATCAGGTTGTTCAATAATTCCACCGCGGGCTCCATTATCCCATCCTTTTCGCTCTGGCAACTGTCCCAGGCGGTGGTAGTCAACCAAGTCTGCGTATAGTAAGGGGTTCTGCATGATATGAATTAGCATGTGCACCAGTAGGTTCGGCAAAACAAAATCATACCGTTCTATCTCGCTTATCCTCCCACTCTGCCAGCCCAGTCATATCACTCAATTGCGATTTATGCATGCTGATCACAGGCTGGCACCAGTGATGATCATCACCAAACGGAATCGAGTCCAACGGGTGCGCATTGAACATCGGCCACATCCCAGATAACTCGATGCCCTTTTCATACAGCGCAAACCCAAGCACAGAGTCACCGCAGCAATCATCTTTCACCATCTGCATATACTGTTCGCTGAGCGATTGTCCAATAAACTGCCCATATTTACCAGTCTCCCGCGCCACCAATGTATCAACCGCAGCTCTGGACAGCACAAATCCCGAGCCACCGTATGCAAACCAGTTGACGTCCCCATCACCGATACCACGGCCCGGCGAGGGTGATCCCATATACAGAGGGAAGGATGGGTCGAACTGCTCCAGCATTCGGAACAGGTTATCCCACACGAAGTAAGTATCCGTCTCGAGAAAGACGTACCACTCCGCGCTGGGATTCACTTTCTTAGCCCGTTCCACCATGGGCAGGAACTTGAATCGATCGAGTTTCCACCCTGCCGCGCCGTCGATATTGCTCTCCCCGCGCTGGAGCGCATCGTACCCTTCGAACTCCGGAATCTGATTCCGGGCTGAGGGTGGCAGGTCGGCTAGGACATCGTGCACATGATGGCCATGCAGCTCACTCTCCTTGTCTGAGACAACTAGTAGATTGGAAATGCAGCGAGTTACAGAGGCCATGTGCGTGTCGATTCGTTTCGGGTCTTCGGTTGCGCTGGTTTTCAAGATGATCTGAACGCGCGATAGCACGTCTGATGGGAAAGTGTCACAGGTTGCATTTTGTGAACTCCCACCATGATCGCGGTCATTGCCATGCTGGGATTTCCGGAATCGGGTGCTTGTTTCCCATGTCCAGTAGTCTTTCTCGTTCACAAGCTTATCTTTCACGCCAGGTGAGACGTCTTCTGATAGAGCCCCCGAATACAGTGTCAGTAGGAGGATAGTCGAGACGGTCAAGAACACAGCGAGTAATTTGATCTTTGCATTGTATAGAGCTCTGAAAAATGGCCACACGGTTGCAGAGGTAGATGTGCCTGGACCCATATTATATTGGGAGATTGCGCATTTGGGTTTATTAACACAGGGACATAGAAAGAGAAAGGAACATATAATAATAGAAATAAGGCAGAAGTAAAATGGATTAAGGCCTTTGGAACCAAATCCTACAGATCCTGTATGAACGACTCTCAGACGTCACTATAGCGGGTCTGCTCCAAATTGGCCCGAATCATGGTCCTCATGTTGCATGCACCTTGGCTTGACCGCACATTAGCTTAGCTAGAGCCCGGCAATCGCTGAAATTTAGATTGAATGATTCAAGTTCCTTACACAATTTGGGGCGGGGGCCCTCCGGGGGCTCGCCCCCCAGCTACGCTCTAGTTTCCTTAAAACTGTGTATGTAGGCTCATGTGCAGATATCTAATTGTTGTGGGAAACTCATCGATAGGATAGCTCATAAAATAGCCCGGGTAACTATATCATAATGAAAGAATAGGCAGTCGTGGGCCTCAAGCTACTGAGTAACTAGGGAGCCCCGGAATTTTATATGACAGGGATGATATATCGGGTAAGGGCGGAAACTCAGATAGCGATAGTGACCTCGTATCCATTTGCTCCAGTACTGGGAAATCTGTGTCGAAGGGTTACCGTCTGCGACCCAAGCATCGTCTGCGCGTTTCAGCTCCGCTCGGATGTCGTTTGAAACAGTGGTCAAGGCCGGCTGAACTCTTGTTGCTTCGTTGAGATAGTTGAAAACATTGATGACGGTCCGAATGTTGACTAGGGCTTTTGCGTAGTCATCTTCACATATGCGAATCGTCCCGTTTGGAGAAGGACGACACGACATCCTTTGGACCGGAAATGAGAACAAAGCCAAGGGCACCAGCGGCTGGATCTGCTGTTGGATTGTCGGGATCAACTGCGCATTGGTGCTATAGCCACATAGGATTTGCAAATCCCATTTGACTGGATCTGTGACGGGTGGGGGATCTCTTAGTGGCACCGAAGACCTCTTATGTCCTTCGGGGGACAACTGAGGCCCCACAATTTATTCTGCGAAATTCAGGACTCCTACACGCTGCAAAGTACCTGCCAAGGCTGTTTCTGTCCGGCCCGCTGGCTTCCAAAGGGAAAAGGATGGGACTATTTCGGGGCCAACCTTCTATATGAAGTCCCTTATTCCACAAATATGTTGTAGGTGGACGATCAGACCCAACCTTGGAAGCTTCCGAGGTTGTTCTGGCCGAATCCCAGGAGCAGATAAACTTTACCCCGATTCGAATGCGTCATTTGGCCACTTTGTATTGATATGGTCACGTGGTATTGTGGAGGCCCGATTATTGATCAGTTGCTTGTACCTAGGTACTCTGTATTAGGAGAGAGCTTCTTTTCCTCCTCCTTTCTCCCCTCCGTCTCTCTTTTCAGTACAGTGTTGACCCTTGTGTTTTCATTTCTATAGAGTCCCTCGGAAGCGTTCATCATTTTCTTTCAACATGACAACCCGAGGTCGGCCTCCTGGCCTCGTACGCCCAACCACTCTACCAGATCCCACTCTCAATGCACGCCCCGTACCAAGCTATCGCAATTTTGTCCCTTTCTCCTTCGGACAAGGGGCTGCATCAGAATTGACGGTTCGATCGCTTCAAGAGCTAGATACCCTTCTCGAGGCCGATCCACAAAACACCGACGATCAATCCTACTTGAAAGAATTTGATACAGTGCGCAATTTACTCGAACAAGTTGAAAGATATGAGCAACTTCATAATGAAGACGAGGTGCTTGGACGAGACCCTACGTGGGGATTTTACGTGTTCGTGACGGATTATTCGCCTACTAATATTGAAAATATCCCCCGAGCAATGGAAAACCTAGTAAAAGCGGTCGAGCGCAGTGCGCGAGATAGTCCTTGTGTCTATATGGACGAGGTATCCCGTCGCTTTAAGCTAGATGTGGTTAAAGATAAAGAGGCCTTATTAGATGCCTCGGGCGATCGTGTACGGGAGGAGTTTAGGGCCTACCTTCGGACTACGCGCCTACTCGATAGCATAGGTTGTATCTGGCCTCCGGCGAGGAATATGGCTTGTTTTGTTCTTGATAGGAGTACGACTTCTATGCTAGCCAATCTTTCCTTCGATGGCAATCAGATGGATGAGTATAAGGCGTTCGAGGGAAAATCTATCAAAGTTGTGGACTCGCTATGGGAGCGCCCGCACATGAATACCTCCCCCGATCGTGGTGTGCCCCCCCCTATCGTGGTGTGGACCACTGTCCTCTTTATTTCATTCTCAGTCTTTATCTTCGGCTTATGAAGAATACACATATGAGGGACCTCTATCCTATGCACGACATGTGTTATTGAAATGGACTAGTTATTCGCGATTCTACAATTTGATTACAATTGGAAAAATATATCACTCTTGTTCAACTGACGGACTAAACCATAGTGAAATAATGTTTTGTGATTGCACTATGGCATATTTCTTTCTATGTAGAGAAGATGTGGCACATGGAACGATGGTAGTTCTCGATCTTCAGATAGAAAAGCTGGTAATTAAACATCGTCTATATTATTGAAAACGGCATCTAGCCTGTGATATATACCTAGGTACATGGATATATGAAGGTAGTTAGGTAGACCAAATCAGATATTGCCCTAAAACCGAGGTTATGACCAAATGGCCGCTATTTACGGCGACGGTCATGGATGATATATCGGGTAAGGGCGGAAACTCAGATAGCGATAGGGCGATAAGAGTTAGGTGCCTTAGGAAATCGGCATTAAGGCACGCCAAACATCACAAACACAAACATTCAAGCTTCAAGCTTGAGTCCGTGTTACTTCTATTGAGATGCAATTTGGAAAGTTCATCCCAGACGTGTATTGAAGTTGCGCTGTTTAGAGTCGGGCCTGATTCGCGACCTTTCCCCTACTGCCTGCTGCCTGACCGCAATCTCTGGTCCAACAATTCCTCTGCAAACAGAGCATCGCCAACCACGAGCGAACAGATACGACACACCGAATAATTCGCCCACTAGGGCACCGGGCAGACAATGTCAATTCCAGCCCGAAACCCTGCGCGTGGGCGCCGCCTAGACGACGCCCTCTCCCAGCTAGTCGATGGCCTAACCCCCGCGCTCCCGGTCTCCGCCATCCAAGACGAAGACTACTCCGACGCAGAGGAAGCCCTCGCCTCAGCCGAAAGCCGCCGTCACCATGCCCTCATGGAGCGCGCCTGGCGCATTCTCGATACCCACACCAGCACCAACGCCCCAGACCCAGGATCGCCAGCGGGGCTTGGTGGACGGCGCGGAAGTTTCGTGGGAACAGAGAGTATCAACAACGCGCCAGATCTGATTAAGCGCAAGCTGCGCCGTGAAAATATCAGCCCGGATAAGGCGGTGCGATTTTCCAATCTCTACTCCCGCCTCCTGACGCAGCCTGTGTTGTCGCAGAAATGGGGTATCCTCTTTTTGCTTTACAAGTTATCTGCCTCGGAAGAGCCAGTGGATGGCGGGGAACGAAGCCGGAGCCCGTTGCTGGACGAGGCGCATTTGCACAATATGTTGGGGAAGGGCGGTGCACGCCCAAGACGGGGCACGATGATCGACTCGGAGGATGAGGGCCCCGCTGTTAGCTCGTCGGCTTCGCAGCAACACCAACGCGTACTTCCGGCGAAGATGGAGCGACAGAGCTCACTGCGACATGATATCGATCGTGATGGTGTAGACCAGGCTGGATGCAGCTCGACTGAAATACCAGCCACCCGCGTTGATGCTGGAGTCAATGAGCGTCCCAGCGACGAGCATGTTCGTGCCGGCTCGCCTCGGCCTTCGAGCGCTAATCCATCGGGGCCGGTGAAATCCCCTGGGTCTATTGAGCATAGGCTCCTGCGCGACCTTCCATTCAACTTACAGGGGTTGTCTTCGTCGAATCTACAATTCAGTTCCTCGTCGAGCTTGAAATTGCCCTCGAATCTGTCTGCGCCGATAACCTCACTCCTTAACACGTTGGCGGAGCCTTGTCTCCTCTATAAAGGACTGTCTGCGTTTGTGGGGAGCGAAGAAGGCGGGCTGGTGAACCAGAGCTTGCGAGCTGCTATTGCCATTGAGTTGCGCGCATATCTTAGCTTAGTGGCTACACTAGAGGCAGAGATCCGACAGGCGCTGGTCGCGATTGGAGACGGAACCGAGCCTCAAGGTGTACGAAAGGGTGGCGTTACCTTGAAGCGGTGCGTGGTGTGGACGAGAGATGCTACGATGGCCCTTCGACTGATGAGCTTGATTGTGGAAGAGGCTCAGAGTAAGTGCACAGACAGATGACTAGATTTTATTAATGGCTGACACATTATAGGCAAGAGGGGCGGCCAGTTGATTTCCTTAATACACGGGTTTTCAACATCCCATGGAGACCCATTCGTGTGTGCATTCGCCGAGAAACTACTCGAGCATGTGACGCGCCCATTCTACGACATGTTACGACTATGGATCTACGATGGTGAACTGTCAGATCCATACAAGGAATTCTTTGTCGCTGATCCAGAGTTCCGGCCGAAGACTGACCCCCGACGGCTTGCAACCAGCGTCTGGGAGGACAAATATAAGCTTGATGATGACATGGTACCTTCAATCATTGATCAGGAGTTCGCGAAGAAGATTTTCCTGATTGGAAAATCCTTAAACTTCATCCGCCATGGCTGCGGCGATTCGGCATGGGTGGAGGCTTATTCAAAGAAAGCCTCCAAGGAGCTTCGGTATGGTGACACAGCCACTCTTGAGATCTCCATTGATGAGGCATATAAGACCACAATGGCTCGATTGATTTCCCTGATGAATGGAAAATTCAACCTCTTTGATCACCTAAAAGCACTGAAGAGTTACCTGCTACTGGGTCAAGGAGACTTCATTGCTTTGCTCATGGAATCGCTTGCCACAAATCTGGATCGTCCAGCAAATTCACAATATCGACATACCCTAACTGCACAGCTAGAACATGCTATCCGTGCCTCCAATGCACAGTACGATACCCCAGAAGTGCTGCGTCGGCTTGATGCCCGTATGCTCGAGCTGAGCCACGGTGAAATTGGATGGGATTGCTTCACGCTGGAATACAAAATCGATGCTCCCGTAGATGTGGTCATCACACCTTGGGCATCAACTCAATACTTGAAGGTGTTCAATTTCCTCTGGCGCATCAAGCGAGTCGAGTTCGCGCTGAACAGCACCTGGCGACGATGCATGACCGGTGCACGAGGAGTGCTCGGCAACGTGGAGGACAAAGTCGGAGCAGACTGGAAGCGAGCACGCTGTGTGATTGCAGAAATGATCCACTTCGTCAACCAGCTCCAATACTATATTCTGTTCGAAGTCATCGAGTCCAGCTGGGAACAACTGCTCGAGGCAATCCGGAGACCGGACTGCACGCTGGACGACCTTATCGAAGCCCACACCAAATACCTCAACTCCATCACCCACAAGGGCCTACTAGGATCCGCATCCTCCTCGCGATACGGCACCTCGACCTCAACCTCCGTCAAGCAACCAGAAGAAAGCTTCCTCAGTCAACTACACCAAATCCTCAAGTTCATGCTTGCCTACAAAGACGCCGTAGACGGCTTGTACTCCTTCTCCGTTGCGGAATTCACCCGCCGCCAGGAGATCAACGCCAAGATCGAGACCCGCACCGCTCAGGGTCAATGGGGTCTCACAGAGCGTGATCTCCTCTCCCGCCAGTCCAACACCCGGACGGGGACCTCAATGGCCTCGACCCCGGACATCCGACCCGATAGTGCTGGGGTGGACGGCGTCAACACCCCGCTTTCATTATCTGGTTCCAATCTCGCCGCCGACGACAACATGCTTGCCTCGCTTCGCGTCCGCCTCCGCGAACTCTCCGCCGAGTTCCGCTCCCGTCTGACTGTCCTCCTCGGCGATCTGTCGTACCAGCCGGACGTGGATATGCGCTTCTTGGGCGTTGTAATGAACTTCAATGATGTCTATGAACTGCCTAAACGGCGGAAGGCGGCTGGTCCTAGCGCTCGGGATAAGGAGAAGGAGAAGGAAAGGGAGAAGGCTAAACGGAGAGCTGCTGCGTCTGCGGCAGCTACGGGGTCTGGAACTGAGAGTTTTGTACAGAAAGAGGTGCGCAGGGAGAGGAGGGATACTGGGGCTAATGATCCTGGGTCTGCTTCTGGGACTGGGACATAGATGTCTGCAGCTATTACGTTCCTCTTGTGAGGGCATCATTAATGCAATTGACGAGTTCTACGATATTTTCTTTTCATTGGAATGTATACAAAATTGCCGGGAGCTGGATACATAATGGAATACCAACAAAAAATAAAAAGCAAGTTTATTAATAACAAGAAATAGGCACCTTAGGTAAGGATGTCGATGGAGAAGAAAAGTAGGGGGCCTTGCTAATCCTCTCTGTATATTTTCCCTTTACAGTATGCCCTGAAGGGCTGATCGTTAAAGTTCAATATAACCGTGACAACATGGTGAGTTGAACGGCGATGGCACGTGACATCAACATATAAACAGTAAACAGTATAATAATGTGCATAAAAACCTCGTACTCTAGCACCTTAATTGAGCTCGCGTGAAGAAAAAAAATAGGTAGCTTCTCTTTGATTATGCGTGTCATCCTTAGTGCAGGGGCCATGCTAATCTTCTCTGTATATTTTCAGTTGACCATATGCCCCGAAGGGCGAAAGATCTATGCGTTTAGTTCAATATAACCCCACTCTAGGGCAGAAACACACCGTCTTCTAATTTGGACAATATGATTGGTCCGCGGGCGGTTGTCCACGGGTGACAACAGATGGATGGATCCATCCATATCCCGTATGTCACCCAATCAAAGTTGCCGATCCAATGCCAAGCTTTCAGGCAAGGTCTATGGCAACATCCACGGATTAAACCTTGGGACTTTACCTAGGTTGACAACGATCACTTCCAAGTATCTTCCTCGGATGGTGAATTAAGGCCACTACGCCCTAGAGCCGCTCATCTCATCTTCTGCAAGTTTCCTCCAGGAATTCATCGTTGATCAAAACGACCCGAAGATGGAAGTGCTAGAGGTGCCCCCGTGCCATGCAGGACCCTCGCTGGGATCTTTGGTCTTTGATCTACTAGGCTTTCTGAGCCTATATCTATAGAATTTTGTCATTTAATTATACGTTTTTTCCGTAAACTATATGCTGTATGTATCTCAATGCTATATACGCCTGTGCCTTATGTACTAAGCTTGATTTGGAAATCTGTAGGATATCTTGGCCCAACAAAGCGAATGAGCTGGTCCGCCATTTCC